TCAAGCCGACCATGGGATGACCTCGGCGATCATGAAAGCCTGCACAAGAAGCTGCATGGTAGAGAAATTAAATCGCGTTACAACCGTATCTAGCTGCCATGATGTCAAGCCGTAGACCAGATTGCGGCTCACTGCGACGGCGGCTTTTCAAACAGCTAGCGAAAATCCTCGCAAGCGCTTGCCTGGATGAAATTTGAGAGGTCGCGTGGAGGTGAGCCAAGCCTCCTGGGCATGCCTGAGGTGGACAATGAAGCTAGCGAGAAGGGGAAGTCGCCCCGTTCAGGATTGACGCGCATTCGTCCACACGCAGAACGCCACACGGGCGCCATGATCACAGATGGACGTGATGGTTGCACCGATCTTGCATTGTGGCACCGAGCGCCAGGTTCAGTCCGATCCGGTGTAACCGAGAGATGCAAGCGAGTGTAGGGCTTCAACAGCCGCCTCCAAAACATAGTTCCCGTCATGGTGTTCAGTCAGGTACCATCGAGGCTTGTATTGTATAGCGAAGAGGGTTGCAGTGAGCATCTAGCTCCAATCATCTGTCTTGAACCGGGTCAGCGTTGGACGATTGCGTACTTCAATATGCTTTTAAGAAGTGACAATACTTGTGGGTATCAGATTAGATCGTCGCGACACGTGCGATGGAGATTACAGCCGATCTAGAAAAAGGACTATGAACAGCGCGTTGCCGTGGTTCGATTCTTTACGCCAAACCTTGGTAGGCAGCCTGGCTGGTAGGATCCCAGACCAGCGAGCCATGACCGAGCTTCTCCTGGCATGCATCTGATACACATATAGGCTCCAGGTATAAAAGCCGAACAAGGGTATTCTCAGACAGCTGCGGCTGGCTATGATGTTGCTGCATAGCTCTACCGTGCGATATTCAGGTGGCCGAGGTTGCATACTGTGACGGAACGTCATGATGCTTTACCTCAGAAGCAAGCAATGCCGATGAATCTGATAGTGGATCTCCCGCAAGCCTCCTAGATGGCGCTTGCCGTTTTGGTCTAAGCATGTACACGACAAGACATGCAGCATCGACATTCGAGGAGAGGTACTTGGTGGCCAGCAGTGGATCTGCGCGCCACAGCAAGACGCGCGCGGTGAGGCTGTATGTAGCCGCGCGAGGGAGCTGAGGCGGGCTGGAGGTTGACCTGATGCAGCAGGCTATACCAAATGCACCGACGTGCATCAGACTCTGCACAGATGCTGTGAAGGGAAAGGCCAGCGACATTGCCGACGGCAGTTCCCAATGCAGAGGCCGGAAGCGCACGACAGAGAGTAGATGATCCATGTTCACGTATGGCAGTGGACGCTAGACGTTGACACAGGGAGAGGTTCCAGTGGAGGCATGCAGGTCATGACGGCGTTGGCAGAAGAAAGAAGACAGGTGGAGAGGAGAAGAAACGGGGCGGAGGCGCATGCAGGACGACGTTTTAGGCAGTTGGTGTCTGGACCTCGATGCAGCCTTTGCGGCTCAAGATAGCGCCAGACATGTCGTTCATGTCGTTGGGCCGGGTAGTTTACGCGATTGGCCCGTGACTATTCTCCGGTGGCCGTGTCGCAGAGGTGGAAAAGAAAAACTCGTGACGAGCACTGACAAGGTCGTTGGGGAACGAGCAGCCCTGAGCGACTGCAGGTGCGAACCTGAATTTACCGACCCCATGCGCCCTAAGCTCTTTCCGCATCCCATTGCACTGGAAGGCGCCGGGCTGGCCGCCGAAAAGGGACCCCTAGTTGGACCGCAGCCAGCGTTTCTCGATGCAGCAGACTGCACAGGTGCCATGAGAGAATTGCGGCATGCAGACACGGTCTGGTGTGACACATAGAATTCGGCAGCGCTATCCTCGAATCCTCTCGGAACATTCACATCGCGCCCCTCCCTGCACCAGGGGCTTCGCGACGTCAAGATGCTACCATGACCGCGGCTGCGGAACGGCCAGCCCGCGTTTGACCAACCCCACCATGTCGTTCCCTTTGAGAGAGCCTCGTATTGGACGAGTGAGAGCAACTCCCCAGCCGATCTGGCCGTGCTACCATCAAGTACATCTTTTGCTTCATCTGTACAGCACCCGTCCGCTTTCGTTACAGTCTGTCCAGCATACTAAGACCGCGAGACGGCTACACGCTGCTGCGTGTTGTACACTACCGCGCCTGGTGGAAATGCATTCAGCTCTTCCTGTAGCTAAAGTTTATTCTCCACTGGGCCCAGCATCTCCCAGAGTCAGTATAAGACGGACTACGATCCGCGTCATTAGCGTCCTCGCAGTAGCAACAAGCAAACCCTGAAATCGTTCCTTCTCCAGTGACCAACCCTCAAGCGACTGCTGTTTCCTTCCAAGCCTTGCTTGCTTTTGCCAGCCACGGATCGAGATACCCTGAACACCTTCGCTTTCCAGTCCGATCCTACCTTAGCCTCAACCGGTATCCTGCCGCAGGCATCCAGGTCGGTACTTCACCTCTGTCACTATATCTACCCTTCCTATCCTCAGCCTCTCACTCTCCAATGCAGACAGTCGTTCCCGTTGAACCCACGCCTTCCACAAACTCTCCTACATCGCCATGGCTCGCCCCGCAGGCTGCTCACATAGCTTCAAATTGATCAAGTCGGACACCACTATCGTCCTCTGGAATTGTCACTTGTGCCTTGCCCAAAATCTTCCCTTTATCTACGAGTGCGAGCGATGCAAGCTCAAGACTTGCCAGGCTTGCGCAGCTAAAGCATAGGTAAGTCCAACAACAGCCCTTTGGCCAAGGTCCTCCCTACAATGGGAATGGCACCTTCGACCCACGGCACGTGCGAAGGTGTTGCGAAGGATCCTTCGTAACATGCAAGATGTATGTCGGTGCTGACTCGTTGGTTGCAGATGGAATGCACAGATCGCCGACTACGATCCAAACACCCGAGATCCCGGTACCCAGATGCGGGCTGTCATTGGCGACTCACGATCTTTCAAGATTAATCTACGACACGCATCTCCGACACGATTTTACTCAACACCCATCATGTTAGCATTTTTACCCTAGCACGGCGTTCAGGCATTCTGACTTTTCGTCTCACCGCATTCCTGGGCGGCAATATCCCGAAACGGCCAAACTCCTGGCAGGAATCGACTTTACGACTCGCTGAACAGAAGCAAAGGGGTACCCGCTTTGCAAGGGTTTCAGGCTGAACAGGGCCTGCACAGCAAGGCCGGTGGCGATTGCCGTTCCAACATGTCTGCCAGATTCTACATTATTTGATTTTCCTTAAGCATACCACGGCCGAGAACTCGACACGGCCCTCAATCTCCTTTGTCGCTTTACAGTACAACGACCGGTGCAAACCAGCAAGCCATAATGTCTTCACTTTCTCTCTCACAACATTTCGGTATTATCGGGAGGCCTGGATTGCCATCCCAACTGTCTACTTTAAGCTACATGTACATCTAGATGCATATCGGTGGGGGTTGCTGTTTCACATACCCATGGAGCGGCACGCCTTGGCGGCTTAATAGACTATTTCATATCATACCCAGATCGACTACACTGACCCGTCCAGTTTCTGCATTTGCGGCAGGAGCTGCGGTTAACGCCTCGTGTTATACCATGTCAAACTAGCTCATCCGTATTGACTAACATGGCTGTAGGATTCGGCCTCGTCTCGAGTGCCTCCCTCAATACCATGTTGCTAGATTTGCATCTACATTGCTTCGGTATTATATGCTAAGTTATATGTGGGCCTGTCTGCTGCTAACGCGAGCTGTCGAAGAGTTCATCCCAGGCGGTAAATTAGACGCTTACCGCGTGATCATCGCTTAAATGCCAACAGCTTTCTTTCTTTCGAGTCCCACTATTTCCGATCGACTGCCCAAGAGATCTGGGCATGGGCGCGCCGTCTCAAGGGCCCAGCATAGTTGTAGTTTCAGCGCGCATCATGAGACCGAGAAAAGTAGATATCGCGAGCCGTCCTGTCGTGTCGCAGCAAAGTCAGCTTCCAAGGCGGTGGATACTTTCGCGGCATTCGGGCCTGATAGAAGTGACTCGACTGCCGCCGAGGGGAGATGGATCCGAAAGGCATGTCTTCGTCATATCAAAGCGTGATGCGCCTAGTCTATGCTGATACCAATTTGAAAACCACCCTATCAAACTACATTATGAGCAGCGCTTTCAGCGATGAAGCAAGGCTCATGAGTCGCATCCAGAGATCTCGGAAGAAAATCCCACTGCTCCATCGCATCCACGCATCCGTCACAAAGGGCAGTCGGTCAATTAGCGTGCATCCCGAGAACATCCAGAAATCAGATGTTTTCCATGTATGGCATTGAACCAAAGTTACCGAGGAGTGAACGAAATCTGAAGCCCAAATCCTAGGACAGAGCAAAAATGATCAGGGGGGGGGGGGGCGAAAGTCCGCCTCCTCTTTTGCCCAGCCAGCCCCGCGATTTCAGCCACGTAGCCACTCACTTCGTGGCCTACACTAAAGCACAGTATGCATAGCAAAGTTGACTAACACCCGACACCGCTTACTCTGCGCGATGCTAACTGGCCTCTATATCTCACCCTGCATGCTCCTTCCTTATTGCATTCTCTGCTGTTACCTGGCCTGTGATACTGCCTTGCGCAAAGAATTACAGCCTGGTCCACGTTGCGCAAGTTCGAGGCACCACCGCAGCTACATGATCAATAGAGAATCATGAGCTTCCAATCATTCAACGAGGTATCATGCGCAAAAGGCAGCATGTGAGCCAGTTGGATGTCTTGTTCAGCCGCATGGCGCCGTAAGCAGCCAATGCTGCAAGCCTGGCGTTATGGCCCCCAAATCTTCAAGACGAAATATAGTCAACGTTTCCGAGGCAGATCTATTTGCAATGCTTTCGCATCTTCTTCCCTCGATTCAATCGTATCGCGCCCGCTTTTTGGAGAATCTCCCCCTCAGCTCTTTACTGTATCGAAATAGTTGCAAAGATAGTGCAGCCGCAGTGTAACACCAATCCTCCAACAACGCGAAAACAATCATGACCTCAGTAACAAGCGATGACGCGCAGATTGGCGCTCCCCAGGAAGCCATCAACGAGTTTTGGGACAACCTCATCACGAAACAACCTGCGAAGGTGACGAAGATTTTTCCGTCAAGCTTGTATGCGCACCTACTCCCACCACAGCGAAAAGAGGGCACAGTCACAGGAAAGAATGCGGCTGAATCTTACGAAACAGCGGCTGCACAATGCCGCGCTCGAGTGGAACGCATTGTCAAAGAATGCAAACGTACGAATGAGAAGTTTACAGATGCAGACTTTGATATCGAAGACCTATCGGACAGAAACTGCCTTAACGGTCTTATGACTTGGTACAAAGACCAACCAGCGACAGCATCATCATCAGTGAGCGCATCCCGACTTGGCAATGCTCTCTCGACTCTGGTCCAAAGTGGCGTGATTATGGCTGATGGCGCCGCATTCGACTTCAATGCCACAGCGAAGCTCCTGACCAACAGGTCGAGCAGCAGTAAAGATGGTCCGAATTCCGTGCATCGCATTGACTGGATCTTTGATGAGCCAAAGTTCGTATTTGATGGCTTCTCCAGCTCCGATCTACGACAAGGCTCGAGTGGCGACTGCTGGTTGTAAGTATCTCTGTACGAATTGCATGTGAGACATACACTGACTTCATACACCTACACAAAGTATTGCTGCTGTTGCAACCATCTGCAGCAACCCAAACTTGATGGATAAGATCTGTGTCGCTAGAGACGAGATATGTGGTGTCTATGGCTTTGTGTTTTACAGGGATGGCGAGTGGATCTGGACTGTCGTCGATGACAACTTGTACCTCCGAAATAGCGATTTCGACGCCGCTTGGGGTGACCGCTATGATCCAACGAATGCAAAAGAGAAGAAGTACAAGGACAATCATCAGACTGGGTCTGAAGCGCTATATTTCGCCTCATGCGCTGATGAGAACGAGACATGGCTCCCGTTGCTGGAGAAAGCTTACGCTAAAGGTATGAAGGACTTTTGCTGATCAATATTACTCAGAGTATAAGTGCAATCTGCTAACAAACCTCAGTGCACGGGGACTATGATTCTATTGCTGGTGGCTGGAGTGGCGAGGCAGTAGAAGATTTGACTGGTGGCGTGACAACCAAGATTCCCACTGATCGGGTCCTGGATAAGCAACGACTGTGGGAAGAATTGCTCCAAGCCGGCAAGAAGTTCCTCTTCTCAGCATCATCGCCTAGTATTGATGGTGATGACTCGGACGCTCGACGGGGTCTCGCTTTAAATCACGCTTATTCGGTTATCAAAGCGGTAGAAGCTGAAGGAGAAGATGGAAAGAAGCACCAGCTGGTGTTGATTCGCAATCCTTGGGGCAAACGGGTAAATGCCTCTATGGGAGAGTGGACAGGGCCATGGTCTGACGGGTCTCGCGAATGGACGACTTACTGGCTAGACAAGTTGGGCCACAAGTTCGGAGACGATGGCCTGTTTTGGATGTCGTACAAGGATCTGCTCAAGCGATTTGATATTCTTGATCGTACGCTTCTCTTCAACGAGGAATGGACTGTAGTGCAGCGATGGACAAGCGTCCCAGTTGCCTGGGTCACAGGCTATGTGAACACGAAGTTCTCTGTAGAGATCAAGAAGTCTGGGCCCACTGTGTTTGTCCTTTGTCAGGTAAGTTGTGAAACATTGTCATTCACAATATTCGCTAATCTCTCATAGCTGGATGAACGCTACTTCAAGGGCTTGGAAGGCAAGTACGACTTTGACCTGCACTTCATATTGCAAGAGAAGAATGCGGAACCAGGTCACCATATTGTGCGTGCTCGCGGTGCTTGGTTCGGAAATCGTAGTATCTCTGCTGAAGTCGAACTCGAGGCTGGAGTGTATGAAGTTCTACCGAAAATCGAAGCTTCAAGAAATGCAGATGCTCCAGATGTCCCCGAAGTGGTTACCAAGCTCGCGGAGCGCAACCCGCAGAAGCTTAGGCAGATCGGCCTGAACTACGACATCGCAAATGCCAAAGGTATCTTCGAACTCACCGAAGAAGAGCGGAAGAAGAAGGAACAAAAGAGGAAGGAGGCGGCTGAAAAGAAAAAGGAAAAGGAGGAAGCGAAAGAGAAGGAGAGAGCCGAATTTGAAGCTTGGAGAAAAGAGAAAGCTGATTTTGAGGTTTGGAAGAAAGAAGAGAGAGCCGAATATGAGACATGGAAGAAGGAGAAAAAAGAGCGTGAGATGAAAGAAAAGGTTGAAGAATCTGGCAAACCTGAGGAAGAACGTGGCGACGGTGGTTCAGCCACAAAGCAACCTAGCCCCACCACTGGTTTGATCGAGGAAGCTAAGCAAGACGCGGACAAAACCACTTCATCTGATACCGAAGGCACGGGAAAGGCTCCCATAGAACTCCCGATTCAAAGCAAAGAAGCCCTGCAAGAAACGAAGCTAGTCATTGAGCCCGCACTCGAACCACGCGACTCCAGTGACAATGGAGACGCAAATCATACACCCACCTCTGAAGTCCACCCCAACGATGCGGAAAGCGACAACCCTGACCACAGCAGCAGCACATCTCCTCAAGCCCGCGTCATGCGTTCACAACACTCGATTGCATCACACTACCGCCCTCTACCACCACCAGACTACCGCGGCTTTCCACGGTATGCTACTTCTGGCGAAGTGGCCCCTCCGCCTCCACAAGCCACTCCTGCAAAGGAACAGCCTAAGCCATGGAACGCAGTCTGTGTTCTAGGCCTAAGAGTTTATAGTCAGGATCCTGACGTAAGTATCAAATTGGTAAAACCAAAGAATGGGGAAGAAGGCGCAATCCTGGATGTCGACGGGGACACAGCGGCAGGGGCGACGATGTGATTGTGTTAAGAGTAGGTTAAGGTATACATATGCGTACGTGTTTAGCAGGCATTTTGGAAACGTATACAATGATATTTGGGTGCACATCTTGCTATGTCTTTTTTGCTTGCTGATATAATGTTCTTCTTGTCATTATAAACTACACCCGGTTACTTGACACCGTCAGTCATCTTTCACACCACTAATCATTTCTTTACTCGGCCAGCTTGACACCGTTCAGCATGATCGCAGCTCGAACCTGGGCGCCGTTTCCAACATCGAAATTGTCCCGTATAGCCATACCCTCCGCACCCATCACATCTTGGAAACCCACTTGCGCATTTCCAAACTCCACATCCTTGTTCAGCAGCGCAATTTTGAAGGCTCCTGGGTTCGCCAACACCGCTGCGGTGAGAGGGATACGGAATGCTTGATCGAAGGCTGGATTGAAGATATCGGTACCAGGAGTATAGGTTTGGACCGCGGTTTGGAAGGTCTGGTCACCCCAAGTGACCTTGACGCTGGGGTTGAGCTCGTCACGGTTGCCTTGAAGTCCGTTGGCGCTAGCAATGAGTACCGTGGCCAGACCGCAGATCTGACCCTCAGCTTGGCCTTGAGCGTTGGCGGAAGAGAGGGCCTGCGCGTCGGTGACAAAGTTGAAGAACTTGGCATGTATAAGTAGTCGTGCCTGGGTAGCATTGCCCTTGTGCGAGAGGCTCAGATCCTGCGAGCCGCCCTTGAGTAGGATTTCCTTGACAGTGGTCGAGCCGACACCCATGTCGTCGTCACCAGCTAAGTCATCATCCTGAATATCCACAGAAATGTCTTGTTCGTAATCCGATACCAAGAAGTCGTGGGTCTCATTCCACTCGGGCTCGTGGTTGTTATCCACAACGCTTGTCTTCCACTCCGCCTCGGCACCTACTTTGACCTTGACGTAGCAATCCGGTACATCTTCCAGCTTGACCTTAGAGAGCAGTTTCCTCATTGTGCTCTTCTTCTCACCCTTCTTGGGAGCATCGATTCCAGTTGCTCGAGCTACCGTGATGCGAATAATACCGTGGTGAGGCTGGTGAGCCTTGAAATAGTCGACGTCGTTCGTCATCTTGACAAGGAAGCGGTTGGGCAGTACGGCCATTCCATCAATGATACCAAGAATGGTTTTGCGGACTGTGCTGTCAATAACAGAGAAGTCGGCAATATTGGCGGCGTCGGTAAAGTCAAGCTTGAGGCTTGGTGTGTTGAGGAAGGCGATCTGTGCCGCACCAATCTGATTTTGACATCAGTGTGCATTCGAGATGGCTTTAGGGTAAAGTTCGCACATACCAAGGGAATGACATTCGTCAACGGACACAAGAGTACACTGATCCGGCCCTTCATGTGAACCTTCTCAACACCCTACACGCCACATTAGTCACAGCTCAGCTAATCACATCGATCACATTCGAAACATACCACTTTCGGAACCATGTTTCCGTCGAGCTCAAAGTCACACACACCCTCCCAGTCCATATCCATGTCGAGCTTGATGCCATCGGTCTTGGTTTTGTGAACATCCACGTTGGAGAAGCCAATAGGAATATGTCCAAAGTCGATCTTGGTGAAACGCAGGTTTCCAAGAGGACCAGGTAGCGTTGAGGCGAGGATAGGCTCAACGGTTTCTTTGATTATGTTAGAGCCCGCAACGCAGATGTTTGGCCAGAGGTTCTTGACGATGTCGTTAAGGAAGCCTGATTCATACCAGTTAGTACATGCGGTGCGACAGTCGCTGGTATCATTTACCGGCTGGTTCAGCACCGCCTGAGGCGGTCAACACATCGACAAGGGATGCAGGCGCCTGGTTAGCCATGATGTTCAACTGGTCTTTCTCCGCGCTCCGTTTGGTGGCGATTAAGCTTCGTAGGTATTGTAGCTCGAAACAGTACTAGTTCGTGCTCAGAGGTGGTAGGATTCGGAAGGTAGAGAGTTTGGTTGAAGAGAAGCTCAAGGAAGGTTGATCGCCAGTTTTGAAGCTCGTCAATTGGCACGCTCCACCACGTGTTGTTCCTGCTTGTTGTTACCTGATCTTGGAAAGACTCAGGTTGACGTCACTTCTCAAACGCGCCGTGCTGCAAGTTCAAAGGTTAAACCCCGCACTGGCAGTGAAAGCCACATGTTGAAGCCACAGACACGTGTCGCGCTTTCTTCTCGCGCTTCAGCCACCTGCAACTTCTTCAGGGTCTTGGCTCACGAGACCCCATCAATTCACTTTGAAAGTTTTTCTAACCGTTTCTGATGCTTTGGTTATTTGCGTCTCAACTCCACGTGGTTTGCTGATCGTTGCATCCAATACGCCACAAAGACGCCACACTTCCCTTTTCACCCATCATGCACGCTCCTGCTGCGGTCATCTTGCAATTGGAGATCATCGCATAATGACCCTGGCCGCGTGGAGACGATTGGGGCGCTGTCGCTAATCGACCTGAAGCAAACATCTACCCCTGTGAATATCTCACGTCGGTTACACCGAACCGTCTTTGGCGGCTGGCCATGTGCAAACGACGTGCATGAGAACTCGATCTACTTTTACGGGCCGCTGTCAGACACCAAGGGTCTAAGATGCCACGGATCGGTTCTATCACACCGGTAACCAATGCGTCTCGTTGGCTTTAGCCATATCCTAATGTTCGCGAGGGCGTCTGCAGCCGAGACTTGTCCTCTGATCTCGTTGCGAATACCCAGTATTTGTTGCATACATCCATGTCTAAAGGCTTGTCCTTCAACCGCATTTGGATATCACACCGAGTTCGATACGAGATATGAGAAATAGACAAGCAAGGACGGGGAGACGGATCTTAGGCCGCCTGAGCGATCGATTCCTTGAAGGCTGACAACTTGGCACAGAGTGTATCGACGACGTATCACATTGTAGCATTGGAGTATATCTATTGCGAAAAAAGCAAATGCCACGCCTGCCGCAATGCTTTTGCTTTCCAACCGTCCGGTGATACTCCATCTTTCTTCAAGGCGGCAGCGGCTTGCCATTGGGCGTCAGCCCATCACATGCCCTCTCCAACACGCTTGCGTCGATGCTTTGCACAACCTCTCCATCGTATGCAAGCAACACCCCTTCACCACTCGAAGCATACGACTTCCATCCCGACTCTGGTAGCCCATTGATCGGATCCTTGGCGAAGGCAAGATAGTAATCTTGTGCCTGCTCGCTTACTTCTCTTTCAAAATCCGTACCGTTACCTCTCGCGATACCATATGTGCCAAAGTACAATGGAAGGTCAGAGGAGTGGTATGCACCCTCCCAGAATTGCGGGGAGATATTGCTGAAGTTTCCGCCGTAAAGGTAGCGGAATGTTGTGGTATTGGCTGCAGTACGATCGTGGGTTGTCTGTGTGACAGGGCACAGGAATAACGAAGCAGTCGTAGCGTCTGCTTGCGCTTGATCAGGACCATATGTTTGATTATACGGCAGAAATGCGATACCCTCGTTGGTCGTTGTACCAATAATCGCCGGCTTACGCGTGAAGTTACCAGCAAGAGCACGTGCTGTGTAGTTTGCGAAAACCGTACGGTCGTCGACTATTGGGACGAAGCTTAGCCCAGGTGCCGTGCCATTGTCGGAGTACCCTTTGAGGAACAACTCGATGTCACTGGAATCAATTTTTCGTAGACAGTCGATTTCAGCATCCGCGTCGGCATCTTTGCAGCCAAAGTGCTGAGCGACGAATGTGAAGTTCGATTGCTGTGTATCAGCGCTAGCAATCGACAAGAATGCTGACCCTGAGTTCATGATCAAGCCTGAAACGATAGGGTCTTCTGGGTAAGCAAAGTTGTAGTAATCGACGGAGATGGCGCCTGCAGACTGCCCCCAAAGAGTAATACGGTCTGGATCACCCCCAAAATTACCGATATTGGCGCGACTTGATAAGTCAGTCTTTGCTTTATTTGGATTCATGTCTGAGCACTTACATCCATTCCAGAGCGAGGCGCTGGTCTAAGAAGGCCAGGTTCTGTTCGTCATCCGCAAGCGCTTTGGCATTGGGGAAACCAAAGATGTTCAAACGGTAACTGTTACTCTGGTCAACTTTATGTAACATCAAATCTACTAAGTCAGACTCACTTGATTCCGACAACGATGTGATCCCGTGACCTCTCTACCCATCGGGCAGGATTCTGGTATGGTACCGTGGGCCCACCCGTCACAAATCCTCCTCCGTGAATCCAAACCACTACTGGCAATGGTTTCTCACATTGTTCCAACGGAGCCCAAACGTGGAGGTTTAGACAGTCCTCACCTTGGTAGTCCCGCGGCTGAATAATGAATTCCGGTGCGTCTGTGAGCCAGACATTAGGTGCATTACCCTCAAACTGGGGACAAGCATGCCCTAGATCGGTCGCCTTGATCGTTGCATTTTCCTTAGACTTTGGAGCTGGAGGCAGCCAGCGTCGTGCTCCTACGGGCTGTTCTGCAAACGGTATACCGAGGTACTGTGCAACATTTGGTGTGATGTCATCTGTGAAGCCCTGAACTGGTCCGGAAGAAGTGTCAATGTTCAAAGAGCTGACAGCAGTCACAGCTTGAAGCTGGCTGAGTCCCAGGAGAAGTGTTGCAGCGAACCCCATAACGGAAGGATTGCGGAGTTGCGAATCGTTTCTACCCCAGACCCCATCTTTTAATTTGTACTTTTCCCAATTCCCCCAAAGAATCACGGATCAACATCGTCACTAGCGATGTCATAGCTCCATGCACCGCATCGGGGCTCTTGGACCGATAGGGTTGCAGAGGTTTCGCCGAATTCTCAGATGCTGTCACCACCGTCAGGATACTTAGAGGTGTCTTGTAATCTAGCAGGGTTAGAATACTAGGAAGAATTTCAAGACCCTACAAGCAGGTCTAGATGATAATGCATAGCTGTGTTGCTTCCACATCCTTCGTGAGAAGGTACAAGCTCGGCCGATGATTATCCGGGGCAGGCGCCGTCCCCACACTTTCCCCACTTTGTACTCGGGATCGTCACCGAACGGGCAAGCATCATAAGTGCGGCATCTTCCAACGGCTTTACGAAAACCAAACCCCGGAAATCGTGGCATTATTCTGACTCAAGTTCGTTGTTCAAATTTCGGCATGAAAGTCCTTATTACTGGAGCCGGCGGCTTCGTTGGCCAAATTTTGGCCAAAAGACTCATCGAATCAAACACCGCAGATGCACTCATCTTGGCCGACGTTAATCCACCTCCAAATCCAACATCGTCACAAAGCGTACAGTGTACTGCTGCCGACCTCACATCATTGTCAGCATGCGAAGATCTCATCGCTCAACAACCAGATGCTGTATACATTCTCCATGGCATCATGTCGAGCGGTAGCGAAGCAAACCTCGAGCTAGGCCTTAGAGTCAACTTTGAGTCTGTGCGCCAACTACTGGACACCATTCGGGCCAAGCGACCAGGAATCAAAGTGGTCTTCACTTCTTCTTGTGCAGTTTTTGGGCGGAAGGCCGTTGAGAATGTGGCAACAGAGACAGACATCGTGCCTATGCCTGAATCTAGTTACGGCACCCAGAAGCTCATGATTGAGTTCCTCCTCAACGATTATTCACGACGCGGGCTCATTGACGGACGCGTCGTTCGTCTTCCAACTGTCTTTGTTAGAGCTGGCGCACCTACTGCAGCAGCTTCGTCATTCGTCTCGGGTATCGTACGCGAGCCAGTACATGGACAAGAGTCGGAGTTACCAGTCGACCCAAGTATTGGCATCTGGCTTACTTCGCCACGCACACTCGCGACAAACCTTGTACATGCCATCAAGGTACCAGCGGAGAAATTTGGGCACTTTAGGCAGGTACTACTACCGGGTTATACAGCTACGAGTGGAGATATTTTGGATGCCCTGGAGAGAGTTGCGGGTAAGGAGACAAGAGCTTTGGTGAAAGAGAAGAGGGATGAGACGACACAAAGAATCGTTTTGAGCTGGCCAGCGAAGTACGACACTGCGAGAGCAAGAGAATTGGGTTTTAGCGAAGACGTTGGGCTTGAGCAGACAATTCGCGACTTCATTGATGGAGAGAAACAGACAGCATAAGAGCAAAGCTCACCGACAGCTTTGCCTAGCAGATATGTGCACAATAGGAGCTGCCGATTCATGGTGTACATAATCGAAATTATCACAAAGAGAAGGTCAAGTGTTGCTGCAAATCATTAATTTCGTTTCTACTAATTATCAGAGCATTGGAACTCTCTATTCTACTAACTATTCCCATGACCTCTTGTTTTGTCCATTCTAACCATAAACGGGTGACTTAGTGTAACCAGGGAATTGTTGAAGAACTTGCTTGTCGATGGCGGCCAACTTCGGGCAACCCAACTGTCCAACAAGACCTCCAATGGCACTGGTGAGTGCGTCGAGCGGTCCGAGAAGGATGTCTGGTTTGGCTTGTGCTGAGGCCTGGTAGACAAAGCAGCCGAGATTGTTCCCCTCAAGGAGTGACGCACCATTGAAAACACCACCGGTCAGGTCAGCTACGTCAACACCAACGAAGGAGTTGGGTGTACCAGTGTTTCCACCGATATCGAGAAACTTAGGATGGAGAACGGCAGCATTGACAGCATCCGCAAGGAAGTATGTGGACTCGTATGGATATTCAAGAGCACGTCGGTACCAATTCTCTGGGATGCGCTCCGAGCCTTGCACTGCGTTGTAGTTTCCGTTGGTACCCTGGACTCCAAACCAAGATTGGATGACATCGTATGGGAGAATACCAGTGGGGTTCTCAGCGCTGTGGTTGGCCATGAAGCGGAAGATGAAGGTGTACGCAGCAGGTTGCACCAACACGCCCGAGAACGGCCCATTGAAAAAGTAGGGGTTAGTTTGCTTTTGAACGTCGAACCGATGGCTCCTGAAGTTTGTCAAGCTCTCAAGGGTAACTACACCACCAGGGGAGTAGTCGATCAACTCCTGGAACTGGCTAGTGACAGTCTTGTAGTTGTTACCCGCCTGGTAAAGGTCGGGCCGTGTTGGTGAGGCATCGGCTTCGTATTTGTTGTGCGATCCGGTCAACCCGTTGCCTAGAATTCCTGTTGGACCTCCTTGAGCGAGAGATGGCGTGCCGCCCATTGACCAGTTCAACAGGTCGCCGTCGAGGGCGCCACCGAGAACTGAGAGGAAGGTCGAAAGAATGGGCCCCATGCCCACGACCTTTTGTGTTACGTCGATGTATTGTTGAACACTAGCGTATCCGTTGTGGGGGAGGAAGTTGTGATTGGCGAAGGCGTTCAGACCCGGACATGGTCCTCTGAGGTCGTTCGGCCCTGGTGCAACATACTCGTGACCGCTGCCAGCAGTGACGTTGATGTATTGCGCCTTTGCGTTGAAGATGGGTACTGGCTCGAAGATAGCTGTTGCAGCACCGGCACCAGCTTGACGTCCTTCCAGCTTCACCAACCTCGCGGCCTCCTCGGCGCGCTTCAGAAGCTCAGAATCATGTCCAGCAGCCTCCAAGATGGCCGTTGGCCAGGCAGAGGCGAGAGGCGCCGCGGCAACCAAAGCCAGTTGAAGAGAAGAGAAGTGCATATTTGTGATTGATGAATAGACTTGATGCTGACAATGAAGTGTAGACGGAGTGGTTGGGCATACTATATACTGCTCTACAGGCAACGCATTCAGCAATCGCCATCGCATCTCTTATTACCGAGTATCCTGGATGACGCGCATCGGCGACGTGTCGTGTGAAAGGACCGCGGTTCACCAGCTTGCTGAACAGGAACCCCGCTGTCGATCTCTGTAGTCGATAGTACACAACGTGCGCCGGTCATCTCTTAGGGACACTTTTGGATATGAAGGGCCGGGTGTAGATGACAACCCGTCATCTCTGATTCGCGGCTCATCCTCGATCTGAACTCTGGCAGTCGAACTATTACATAGGGTTCCGGGGTAGTGCCCGAAGGAAGAGGGTCAGATGGTGAACAATGTGGGACGATGGCCAATGTCAAGCAACCGCCACCCGCGCCAAACGTGAACTACCTGTGAATTATGTGCACTAAGGTCTTCAAAATTCTAAGACCTGGCTGAAATTCGTATGCAGGATGCGGTAGTTGGCGGTACTTGCCAGGGGTATTAGTCGGATGTAGGCCAGCCCGGACCAACAGGATAAATCCCCTGTCCAATCACGACGAACGGCGATCTTCCTCCATCCCAACTCATCGTGGGATCGGCAAAAGGTTGCCGTCTGGTGTTGTTTAGGCTTCCCTAGCCGTTATTTGTCAAGAAACCTGGGTGTGGGAAATATGGAAAGTTGCCTCGGTCGAAACGCGCTGTACCAATGACGATGTAGTTAATGGTAAACTCTCTCCTTCTCCACCTAGCCTGCCAAGGTAACATCTCCAGATTCTTGAGCGATTGTGGAACATACTAACAGACTAGTATACTTGTCTCATGGATGCAGGCGCTGTTGCAAAGTGATGTGGCTACGAAGCGGGTTGCACAAAAATACGACCTGAGTTGCAGCACAATGCTGTTACCAGCAGAACTCAGTGAGACAGCTCCAACTATGACCCTTTCATAGATGCTTTTTGATCGCTTTTCTACCACAAAATTAGATCTGCGCGGAGAATTGTTATATGGCACCCTATTTTGGCACAACCAAAGAACACATGTAGCCGTCGTTCGCTCAGAGTTGGAAGCACTACAGACTCTTGCCCATCTGTCTAGGGCTACCGAAGCCGATTCTTCCTGTCAGGGATGTCACTACGCTGAACGTCGCCGACATCCGTAGTGATGCTGGGAAGTACCATGTGAGCATATAGCAAAAATGGTCTCATCCCAGAGTGCGCTGTCATCAAGCACGGGTCTACGGCCAATTAGAGTTTCACGTTTCACAGGCAATCGTAAGAGGCACCTGACAACATAGCACCATGCCATCGGTAAGAACCAGTGTCAAGGAAAGTTTATGGTACCAGTAGACCAGACAGCTCTTCATCTCCCCCTGCAGACCTCTAGAGAAATGCCTAGATCTTTGGCGATCGATGCAGACTTCTACTATTGGATCTGGCAGGAGCGCCAAAGACGTCATGATATCAGTGAAATAGTTCAACATCTTGGTAGCGTTTCTAATTAATGTCACTTTCACTTCACCATCGCACGCAATATGGCATTCTCCGCGGCAAAGACGTTGGGGACTTCAAATTTGTCTAAGAGATGCTACCCACTGCGCAATGGCTAAGAAGCAAGATAGAACTATCTTAGGCTCTCATGAAGGTTATACCGGGGAGTTGAGACTGAAGCATACATTCCAGTGATGCAAAACTGATCGATTAATGGAATACACAAACTCGCACAGGCTATACACAGTTCACTACTCGAGTATACACAGTCTTTGGACTCCGCTCCGGTACTCACTACCCCTGTTCGCAAGCTCGTTCGATCTTGCCACACGGTATGGAGAGCTTTTACTAGCCGCATGTCCCAAACTGCGGCTGGCAACCCCACGACAATCTACAGTAGTCATCCTGCCCATTGCCACACCATCCATAGCTCGAACAGCATCTCCCGAAAGTACTGCCCGTACAAGTCTGGCCACTCCCATCTGCTCCACACCGTCCGTTGGTACTGACGTTGGTCGGGATAGGTGCCGCAGAAGAGGTTGGGCTAGGCGTTGGTGTCGTTGTTGGGGTGGGAGTAGGAGTGGGCGATGGCCTGGTTGAGGAGCTGCCGGGAGGAACAGGGATAGGGATCGAGGAAGAAGAGCCCGGCGGCGGTGGTGCCACACTACCACAACCTCCAAAGTCGAGGCGACACCCAGTGCCGCAGAAGTCAAGGGAGTTGCCGCAGTAATAGTACTCCGAGCAGCAACTTCCGAAGACGGAGCCCGTACATGTTGTTACGTTTCCGCATTGCCCGTTCGTGGAGGGAATCAGAGTGCCGGAGGGCAGCGGCGGTAGAGCCGACGAGCTTGAAGGAACAGTGACTGAGCTTGTTGGTGGCAGAGGCGTGGGAGTTAGCGTTGGCGTAGTGGTTGGCCCTGGTGCTGCATCACCACACCTTCCAAAGTCAGGCTGACATCCGACAATAATGCCACAGTGCTAAGACAACCCATGTCAGCATGTAAAACATCGAGATCTTGGGACGGAGATTCGTACCTCGAACTCTGATCCGCAGTAGCCATAACTTGAGCAGCATTGATTACCACCGCATCTCTGATTGCTAAACTCAACACCGCAACGGCCTGCCGCTTGCCGAGGTAACAGGTAGTGAGAAGAGCGGGAGTCGAGGTTTGGTGTTGTAGCATTACGCTCCTCGAACTGTTGTGCAACAGTGTTCACGATGTCACCTGTACCGTAAAGTTGTGCTCGTGGATGCACGATGACCTTGGTATCGATTGCTGAGTCAATAAGAGCTGATACTCCTGAGAAGCTCAGGGCTCCTGCCAGAGTGATCAACGCCCACCGCATGCTTGGCTTTTGAATGGAACGACGAGGTACGAGGTCAAACCAAGATTCCCAACGAGCAAACCCAGGTATTAATCGGACTCCCACATGGCTTTACGGAAGCTAGGGAAAGAAATCCTGACGCAAAGGAGTGACCGACCAACTCGATATAGCGGATGGACCTACGGAGTACTTGGCTGAGTGCAAATGAGGCTCTCTCGAGCCTGGAAGATATGCAATAGACCAATTAGAAGGCAACTCCAGGCTCGTCATGCAAATTGAAAATGTAACATTTGATGGTCGTACATGTCTTCTTAGGTATCCACGTTATTGCTAATATGGAAGTCAACCGACGAGTATGTTTGTGGGGCCTTTTGCGGTTGCATATGTTCAAATGGGTGAACAGAAGCTTCCTGGAAAACTGGTAAAGTGGCCAGAGCATCACGACTTTGGACTACGGCGATGCATCCAAAGTGTCGCGGTCTCAGGTGTGAATCTTGCCAACGCTCTTCGATCTCAGTTGGTATCACACAATTCAGAAGATAGATGCTCTATGAAACAGCTCCAGTGGTGAGGTGGGGCATTCCAGATAGCTTCGGCACCTGTCCACGTGCACCCGTAGAATTAGAAGTTTTCTTTGGGAGTCGAAAGAGGCTAAATGTGAAATGCCGATAATACCGAAAGAGGGCCAGGGTCAAAATGGCAACATGCATGCCGGGAGCTCTCGTGCGAAGGCTTGTGGAAACATGGGGAGTAATGCCCGATGCCAGGTACCATATGATGTGGGGTTGCTTTACCGGGTAAGTTGGCCGTCTTCTAAGAACAAAAATCAGCCGCTGCAGTTCGCACAGCCTGGTTTCGTCGGCTGACGAGACCCACTAAAGAGGCGTATATCCAATGCGACGTGGTAGAACTCATATGGTGGTAGATTCGGCGGATTTGAGAACACCATGTGGTGTGGAAGCAAAATAGGGGGTCCTAACTTGGCTATAACGCGCTGACCCTCTCGTCAGGGACAGACCCAGCTATCAAGCATCTACCAACGAAATCACAACACTACTAAGCCGTTAGTCGAGAGTACCCGAGTAAAAATATCGGAGGTTGAAATTATTATGGACGCCATCATGCTCTCAGTCCTTCCATGAGAGCACCCTCCTCTCTTTTCCCTACAGCCTGGAAAATGGCACCTTCTCCACCAATGTCCAGTCCTTTCTCCGCTCTTTCATACGCTTCATCACTCCTGTCTAAAAGAATTTCCAGCTCTTCTTTTCGCAATACTTTGCCACTTTCCGTGCCTTCGACATCAAACTTCTCGCCGTCGCTTCTTCTTAGCAGTTTCTGTAATTCTTCGACCTCTTGTTCCTTATCGTTCCCCCGTGTTCCGCCCCGATCATTGCGCACTCCGCCTTTCCGAATGACCAGTTTCTCCAGCCGGCGCTTCGCTTCAGCAGATTCGAGAAGTTTTTGCTCGACGGTGTTACGTGTCGCGAAACGGTAGACGATGACATTGCGCTTTTGACCGATACGATGCGCGCGATCCATCGCTTGTAGATCTTGTTGAGGGTTCCAATCGCTGTCAAATAGAATGACTGTATCTGCGGCTGCGAGATTAATGCCCTGGCCCCCAGCGCGAGTGGAAAGAATGAAGATGTCGGCAGCTTCTTTGGAAGATGATGACTTGTTGAAGGCTAAGATCTGGTCCTGACGATCTGTTTGTGCGACTGAACCATCAATACGGGCATAGTTCCAGGACCGCAAGTCGAGGTAGTGACCGATAAGATCCAAGGTAGTAGTAAATTGGGAAAAGATGAGGACCTTGTGGCCGCGACTGATTAGTTCGGGTAGAAGTGAGTCGAGTAGAAGCATCTTGCCGGATGTTGACACGAGTGTCTCATCTGGCTCTGTCTCCGAGGCGAACGTTTCAGCGCCATCTGTATCCGCCTTTATGAAAGGGTTGAAAAAATTGTATGGCGAATTGCAGCACAGTCGAAGCTGCATGATGGGGTTACCTAGTTTCTTCTGCAAAAGCTGACGTTTTGCTATTTCGAACGTCGCAGCTCGTATCTTCTCGTCCTCGGCGTCGGAACTCAACTCTGCCTCCTCTTCTTCAGATTCTTCTTTGTCCAGTCTGTCGAAATACTCATCATCACTCACTTCTTCATAATTCTTCTTCGACCTGCCCCGGCTTCTCGTTGAGGCGACAGAAGCGGGGGTGCCTGCACGAGACGTCTTCGTGCTCTTGTTGGGCGTTGCCCTACTACTCAAAGCTTTGCGCTTAAGACCGCCACTAGTACTACCGATACTCAAAGGCGTCCCTGCTCGGCTGCTGAGGCCAATGCTCAGCCTCTCCACAGCCTTCTCTTCGAGATAGGATCGACTGGTGCCGTCAAGGATCGCTTGATACAGCTCGCGTTGCATCGACGTTAACGGCGCGTACAACACATACTCGCGTTTCTTGGGCATCAGGCTTTCGACGTCCGTCTTTACCCGACGCAGTAGGAATGGCTTGAGCACGGCGTGGAGTGACTTCACCAAGTACTGCTGTCGCTCTTCTGATAGTAATTGTTCGAAGCTCGACTTGTCTTTCAGCCCAGAAAAGTCGAACCAACTCTCGAATGTAGATAGTTTGTCAAATACTGTTGGCAGAAGGAAATGAAGCAGTGACCACAACTCCACAAGGTTGTTTTGAAGTGGCGTACCAGTAATAAGTAGACGGTTCGCAGATTGGAACTGTTGCAGCTCGCGGATCAGCCGGCAGTCGAGATTCTTGATGCGATGTCCTTCATCGATGATGATGAATTGCCAGCCAAAACTTGTCAGGTACTTGCGATCGTTCATACAGATTTCGTAGCTGGTGACCATGATAGGAAAGTCGGCAGTGCCTGGGTTCCGTAGCCTGGTTTTGCGCAGTCTTTCGCGCTCTTTTTTATCGCCGTGGTATAGCATAACCGGCATGCTGGGTGTCCACTTCTCGAACTCTGCAACCCAATTGCTTGTGGTACTCAACGGCGCAGCAATCAAGAAAGGTCCATACGACTTGTTCTCCCACAAATGTGCGAGCATCGCTATAGTCTGGATGGTTTTGCCCAGTCCCATCTCATCCGCCAGAATGCCATTGATACCGTTGTTGTAGAGTGATACCATCCACTCCAGTCCCTCGAGCTGGTATGACCTCATGGTCCCTCCAGTAACCAGTTTGGGTTGCCGCGCGGATTTGAGGTCTGTCATACCAATGTCACTTGTTTTCACATCATCTTTATTTTCCTCTGCCGCCTCTTTCAACGCGTCTCCTACGTCCTGGTGACCTGCCTTCTTCTCCAAGTCTTCTTTGCTAAAGTAGCTTGAAATATCGGAGGTTTGCTTCTTCGGCCCTCCACGAGTCTTTGTGTCTGACTTTTTCGGCCTCCCTTGGCGTTTCTTCGGTGTCGCATCCTGTTCTTCCTTCTTCGCCGTTGTCGTACCGTTGGCCACAGACCCGCGTGTAGCTCGTCGCTGCGATTCTGCTGCTGTTGTATCGGCAATCTTTTCGCGCTTCGAGGTTTGGCCGTTCGTCAGCTTGTCTTGCGCATTTTCTTGTTCTTCCTGCTGCTGCATCTGTGCGAGCATGACTGATGCGTATAGCTGCAGTCCTTTTCAGCGACCATGTATATTGCCATTCAGGTAGATGGACTGACCTTGCTCTTGTTCATCAAGAATTCCAACTGCTGGAACTTCTTGTCTAGAACCTCTCTGCCGCTCTTGATATCTTCCTGTCTCTGCTTCTCGAGTTTGGCCTCATGTCTCGCATCATCCTTTTCACGTTGCGTCCTCATGCGCTGTTCTTCTTGCTGCATCGACTTTGGCACGCTCTCCGTCTCCATGTCGGCTGGTGGTGGTGATGACGCAGGGGTGGAATGTGATGCAGGCATTACGCTCGTAGCAAGATAAGGAGTCACGTCGCGTATAGTCTAAGGCAGTAGGGAAAGACAAGCTTAGTGTGAGAGAAATGGTATTGAAAGTAGCGCCAGGGGCAGATGGCGATGACCGCATTCGACGGGACGCGGTCGCGATGAAAGGCGAGGACGCGCTAAGCGAAGAATCGATGACGAATGTCGCGACGCGCGATCACGCCTGAACTTTAAATTACTCCCATCCCGACGCGCTTGCGTCATATCTCTGGTTACACCACAACGCGACGCGATTACCGTATCCAGCATACATATACACGTAGGCACTCTGTTAGAGCTTCAGGCGATAGAACACAGCATCGTTCGGGTTCTCGTAATAGCTATCGACCTCTTCAAATCCATAGCCCTCATATATCTTTCTCGCGGTCGTCATGTTTCGTAGCGTGTCGAGCAGCATCTCCTTATAACCCAGCTTTCTCGCGTGCGAGATTGCAGCTTCCATCAATGGCTTGCTAAGACCCAGACCCCGCGTTTCTGGTGCCAGATAGAGTCGCTTGAGCTCGCATGTTTTGGTGGGCGGTGATGTTGAATGTGCTAGCAATGTCGCAGATGCAGTGGTGGTAGGCGTCGTAAAGAATGGTCGGATAGCTATGCATCCTATAGCCTGTTCATCCTGTCTTGCGGTGCTGAAGCCGGCCTTCTTGCCTTCAGTCGGCATTGCCGCGGCACCTCCGTTCCCTGCTGAGGAGCAAAGTAGCCACAGCGCCCCTCCTTTTTGCGATGCATACTTTCCGGGCAATTCCGCCAGTTCGTGGTCGAAATTCTGGAAGTCGAGGCTGACAGGCAATGACTGTGCGTATGCCTTGAAGAGCTGCCCCACTACCTCCTTGTCACACGGGAATTGAGCATCGCGTATCTGGATGTTTGGAAACTTTGTCATGTCGAGTTACTTGGAATTTGAATTTCTGGTGGGTAATGCAGTCTGGTTGGATAAGTCGAGATCGAGGATATAGTGAGTGAGTTCTAGTTTTGCAACGTGGCTTGACTCACTTCATAAGTAGATTTGCCCTGCGAGATGTCTTTGTCGAAGGGCGCAGTTCTAGGCTGTCGTAGCCGGACTGATCCCCCCACATGGGTTGGGTGGGACTGATGTTCTGGTGGTTTCGGTACAGGTGGAGCTCACAGGCATATAACCCTGCGCCCACTCCACTACATGCAGCTAGACTCATTTTGACCGTGGTATATATATATCTATGTCTCAAGTAATTTCATCAAGTCACGTGTTGGTCCTGTGGTAAGTTCACAGCAATCACTCACAGTCAGCAACACCTCTAACAAGACTCAGGTCTAGTGGTATGATGTACGTATTACTTAGCCTCAAGACGGTACTTCATTATCTAACATCTTCTTAGTCTCGCTTAGGGTAAACCCGAGCACAGCTTGCGAGAGGCCCCGCGTTCGAGTCGCGGCAGGACCCAATATCTTTTTTTTTTTTTACCTTTCTTGAGGTCATCGGATGTAAGACTGATCTCTCTTTTTGCCCGAGCAGCAAAGAGTATCTAAGCAGCTTGCTCTGCGGCAACGCAGCTATAATTCACAGTCAACCTTACCGTACGACAAACTGTCACCACACTACTAATAGAGCTCGCGAGGAGCGTCTCTTATAAAATTAATCGACGGACCGCATCCTTGTCGCTTCTTCTGCGCTTACGAGAGATTACTCGGCCCCTCACTGTCTAGCTAGCGAAGCACTTTGTAGCCTCTAGTAATATCTGAATCTCTTCCACGCCTACTCTGTCTTCTAGACCACCCGCCGTCCTTAGAAAGTCTTACTTACATCCGCGCGTATCTATCTATCCTCATACTCTTGAATGTCGACGTGCCGTCCTGTTGCCTGTTTTACTGTTTTCCCATAGCACCCGTCATACAATGACTATCCGGCTTGCAACACCCTCTGACGAGCCCGCCATGGCATCTCTCTTGGCTAAAGCATTCTTCGACGAGTCGCTCTTTGGCCAGGTTATGCATCCGTACCGCGACCAGTATCCGGATGATGTCAAGATATTCTGGTCAGAGTACCTGCGAAAACACTGGAAGATAGCCAACGAAAGACTGTTTGTCGCAACGACAACGGTAGATGGACGGGAAAAAGTTGCCGGCGTAGCTATCTGGCGCCGAGACGGCGACGACGAAGGGAAGCGTAGAGTGGAGAGCGAGTGGGTTGATGTCGGCAAGTGCCTTTGTAACACATCTAATCAGACAAGTATGCTGACGGCTCTACAGGCACAGATGTCTTCCAGCCCCTTCCCTCAATCCAGAATCGTGCTCTAGATCCTAGCAAGCGTAATCTTTTGAATGAATCCTATCCCTTCTTTAAGCATCACTGGAACGGTGACCGCAAAAACAACTGGTATCTCGATCTATGTGGAGTTCATCCAGACTATGCCGGCAAGAGGCTCGGACAAGCACTGGTCGGTTGGGGCCTCGATCGCGCGAGAGAAGAGGGCGTCCATGCGAGTGTCACCGCTAGTAAAGGAAACGAACGGTTCTATTTGCGATGTGGGTTTGATGAGGTAGTAGGAAACTGTACGCAAGGAGAACGCAACCCGCTGAGCAAGGCCGGAGTTGAAGGTGGTGATGTACTGTTCATGATTCCCAAACAGAAGCCGTAAGATGTATGTACGTAAGGGCAAAAACGCTTTCAGCACTAGCCAGCACTCATACTTCACACAGCCTCTTTCGGCGCGTTCATATCATAATGTCCGACATTGCATCACAACATGCCGCGATATTACCAAGCCGTTTCTCGGTCCGACGTATTGGCACATTACTCGCTAGTGAAGCGACCAACCTCAACAGCCAATCAGCGAGGCCATCAAATCGTTCCGAATAATCTCCCGGTGCCTTTGCGGGGAAGGACTTGCGCGCTTTCTTACCATCGTCGTCATTGTGCGGGTAAGCACGAGTAAGTAGCATCATGATCCAGCAATTAAGAATGGCACCGCAAGTCGAAATTTTCTGGAAATACTCCAATCGCCTGAGCATATTGCAGCCATGAAGCGCTCACCAACCGTTCTAGCATCTCTTGCAGCACTGACGACAAGCCATATCATCCCTCGTCAAGAATCCATCGACTACAATGCAGCTCCGCCAAATCTGTCCACCTTAGCCAATTCGACTCTCTTCGATACATGGCGGCCAAAAGCACACGTTCTTCCAGCGTTTGGACAAATCGGAGATCCATGTATGCACTACACCGATCCCGAAACTGGTCTCTTCCATGTAGGATACCTACATTTGGGAGCATCAGGTGCTACTACAGACGACCTAGTCACTTACAGGGACGTGAACCCCGATTCGGAGCCGTTCATCCGTGCAGGCGGCATCAATGACCCCGTCGCTGTTTTTGACGGCAGTGTTATTGAGAGAGGAGTCAATGGCACACCGACGTTGCTATACACCAGCGTCAGCTTTCTACCCATACAATGGACAATCCGGTACACCCAAGGAAGCGAGACGCAATCGCTCGCCTTCGCTAGAGACGGTGGAAGCAACTTCACAAAAGCAGAATTTGGTCCGGTTATCCCCAGCCCACCATTCGCTGTCAACGTCACGGGATTCCGCGATCCATTCGTGTTTCAGAACTCGCAGGTCGATAGCTTGTTGGGTAAGCGGAACGGAACGTGGTATACAGTCATCTCTGGCGGCGTACATGGCAAAGGCCCAAGTCTCTTCTTGTACGCCCAATATGACGATGAAGATGCGGATCTGTTCCAAACGTGGGAGTATCTGGGTGAATGGTGGCACGAAGCAGCAAACTCGACATGGTCAGAGACGGGTTGGGCTGGGCGCTGGGGCTTCAACTTTGAAGTTGCCAACTACTTCGCCTTGGACGAGCAAGGTGCTAATGAGGAAGGCGAGATCTTCGCCACAATCGGCGCGGAATGGAGCTACGAACCCATTGTACCTCAAGTTTCGGACAATAGGGAGATGCTTTGGGTCGCTGGAAAGCAAGAGCTTGTCGACGGTCAACTGAAGTTCGAGCCTACAATGTCTGGACGACTTGATGCTGGGCGCTCGGCTTACGCGGCTGCTGGTAAAGTCTTATATGCGGACTCGCAAGCTAGCAAAGCAAGCGGCGCACCCGATCGCTTCATCACATATCTCTGGTTGACTGGCGACTTCTATGGCACCTTGACCGACGAATTCCCGACTGCCCAGCAAAACTGGACAGGATCACTATTACTCCCGCGTGAGCTTAGCGTCGGCCGCTTGAATGTTGTTGACAACCAGCTCTCCCGAGAGAAGGGATCGTGGCGCGTAGACCACGAACACGACAACGGCACCGTTACCCTCGCCACTCTACACCAAAAAATCGCTCGTGAACCCTACGCCGCATTCCAAGACAACGCCACCAATGTCATTACGCAAAGGGGTGGATCCATGGCGAGCGTGATGAAATTCGATGAAAGCCCAAAGTCAAAGCACTGGATGATGACTGCGTCGATAACCTTCCCCTCGCGTTCTGACTCCCTGCGAGCTGGCTTCACCATCCTTTCTGGTTCCCAGGAATCTACCAATATCTACTACCAGTTCGGTAATGAGAGTCTTGCGATCGATCGTTCAAACTCTTCTGCCGCGGCGCAGACTACGGATGGTTTCCTCACCGAGGTTGAGACGGGCAGGTTCCGCTTGTTCGATGTTGAGGGTGGATATGGAAATGAGACAAAGGTTGAGACTTTGGATTTGACGATTGTGGTCGATGGTGGTGTTGTTGAGGTGCACGCGAACGATCGATTTGCGATCAGTACTTGGGTGAGGAGCTGGTACGCGGATAGCAGAGACATTAGCTTCTACGTCGAGGGTGGCGATGCTACCTTCAGCAATGTCACGATTTACGAGGGTTTGGTAGACGCATGGCCGGAGCGGAACTAGGAGGTATTGCCGATAGTGAAGTATATAGTTTAGGGATGTACACTAGAATCGCTCAATCGATACGTATATCCATCAACTGGGGAGTAGGAGAAGGAAACGTTGGGAAGAAGGCAAACAATAGTGCCACGCAGAGGTAAAGAACAGAAATGTCATTGACCCAGATACCAGCCTTTTCTAAGCTAAAATGGCAAGGCAGTAAGTTCTCGTTCCTCCATCTTTTGAGAAAGATGCAGGAGATAGAAATAATGTAGGATAATAACATAGCACATATACCAAGTGAAGCGACACTATTAAAGCGACGAGCCACGGTGCAGGTGAAGTGAGATACGAAGAAGCTTAAAAGATGTCAAGTGGGTGGGGGGGTTACGTCAGCGCTGTCGGGCGCCTCCTTTTGGCTAGCGACTGCCGCGGATGAGAAGGCGCGGTGGCGCGCTCCCATTCCCATGTGGTCAACGGTACCCAGCCATAGCAAGCTCGCCATGAAGTGTATTGCGCCCGGTCTGAAACCACCAGTCTCTTCTTCTTTAGGGTGTCTCGTTCGGTTGCTCTAGGAATTGCGAGAGATCTGATCCGGCCTGCAACTCCCCGATTGAACGTATTGCTGCCTGGGCTCGCGCCTGCCTCAGACGCGCCTCTAATAAAGCGCACTATCGTGTCATCATTCACTGTGTCAGAAGCAATTCCTTCGGCCCGGCTACTCCTAACAAGACACGCTCCTGTCAACACCGAACACTACTTCTCCACACCCCACCTACGGGTTCCAAACGAGAAGCATGGCGACAATACGCGAAGAAAAGACTCTGTCTGACCTCCCCAACGGGCACATGCGCAACCAACACGAATACTCGTACCGCCTCCCCACAGCCCCCCGCATTGTGGTTCCCCCTCCCACGCTCACGACCGACATGCCAGGCCTGTCTCTTGGTGGCACACCTGGAGGGGATGTAGACATGAGCTTCTTGAACGACTTGGACCTCGAGGACATCATACAGAAGAACACGCTGCTAGAGTGGGCATACGAGCGGCGGAGACAGGCACAAATGATACTGCCGTGGGTCTATCTTGGTCCTATGGTGGCAGCCAGGGACAAGGCTTTTCTAGAGCGAGAGGGCATCACCATGGTACTGGCTGTTCGTGCCCAGGCCAACAGCATGTCGGGCGCCATGCAAGCTGCTACCCAGGTCTGCATGGAGGTGGGCAGCATCGAGTCTCCCAGCTTCTACAGCCTCACGCCCAGGTTCCCGGACGCGACGAGCATGATCAACTCGCACATCGCACGGGTACGACAACACAGCTTGGAGACAACAGGCCAGGCCACTCTCGGCAAAGTCTTGGTCTTCTGCGAGTCTGGCAATGAGAAGTCGGCTGCCGTGGTCGCAGCCTATCTGATGCAGACGCTCAACAACATCGATTACATCAAGGCTATGCAGGTCTGTCAAGCGCAGCGCTTCTGCGTTAATTTCGACGACGTCTTGAAGAACATCCTACGCTCCTACTGGGATATTCTTCTTGCCCGACGCTCCATCGCCGCCTCCTACGCGCAAGCGCCACACCAAAATGGTCTTAGTAACGGCTCTGCACAGCCTGCATCACTGTCCCTTTCCTTCTCGTCAAACAAGCAAAAGCGAGGTATTGAAGATACAAGGGACGGAGACGACGATACGAACATGGAAGACGGCATGGATGCGTCGGATGTGCTCCGGTTCACGGGGCGCGACGTTACTCCTTTCCAAGACCGGTAGACATGATCCTCTGGCAGTTGGCGATTTCGTTGATTTTGTATCAGGCGTTCACTAGCATTATACCCTGCATGATTCAAGGCGTTATCAAGCGGTGCTGGGCATCAGAAGACCCACTTATATCCGTAGTATCGCTGGGCACTTCCATGGAACGGGTAAGCACATCGGTTTTTTCATCCAGGCTACCCAGAACCTTGGCCAGTAGCCGCAACTGGTTCTGTCTCTTCTAAAACATCTTACACTCTACCTTTCCTTGCATTTTCTCCTTCAATCAGTGCTCCTGTGAAATCTATATGACTGCCTTCTCCTAGACGGCTTTGCTTGCCCTGAGCCGATGCCGTGACGTAAATGACACATGGGACGATTGTGGGCACCTGCTTGGGACATCCTTCTCTGGTACGTGGCTTCTGCAGAAGAAAGATGCTATCTAATAGGCAAGCAGGTTCGTTCTCATGCCAAGGTGACCATGGATGAGCTACTTGTGACTTCTGCGATTCAAGCAATAGCCATAAGAATAGGTATTCTCGAATGAGAAGCTTTGACTATCGCAATGACTACACCAGGTGCAGAAAACATTTCCTCCGCTGTAATAGCCTCTTGGTCAGAGTGAGATCCCAAGACTAATCGCCTCAGAGTGGTAATTGGGGTACAACCTCTAAACGAGCTTCTAGTGGCTACGGCATCGCTAAGTCGCGTATCGTTCGCCGGGTGCATTCTCAATAATGCTGTCGCGTCAGTGGTCACTGACATTCACTTGAAGTCCCAGAGGTCGCCGTTGCTCGCTAAACGCACGGTAGTCACGATGCGGTGCCTTCGGATTGGATAGGTAGCAGATACAGTCTTTTCCACGGATCTCACATACCAGAGAACCCGCTATCTTTCTCGTTTATAACGGACTACAAAGTATCGGTACCCAATCAACGCTTACACCAAATCGTTACAGTTTCAAGAAATGCCATACGAGCTTCGACCCGAGGCCAAGTTGAAACGACCAGCACGTTATGATGAGTCGGACGACTCAGATCTCAGCAGCCCGCCAGAACCAAGGTCCGAGAATGGAGATTCGGTCATCGATTCACAAGTGTCTCCACCCCCAAATACGTCGACTGCGACCCCCGGCGCACCAAACCCTCTGACTCTCCCCACAGACGCGCCTCACCTCTCACAAAACCCGTCGCCAGATAGTGACAAACCTGAAGTACCCCGCGCCACAATCCCAAACACAAGTGATCCCCAGCGGCCTCTAAAATCTCGTGGGATGGCCCACGTTAAGTACGTCAAGAAACCCAGTCGCGAGAATGCCTCGCCAGAGACTAAACGCGCGAGACACTTCAATAAAACCGCCAAGCGCGTAGCAACACCTCTGGAGGATGGACCCTCGCCTGCATTTTCCCTACCCAGACCAGCAGCGTTCCCCTCGCTGACGGGCAATGCCCCACCATCGCCTCCGGCTGCCATAGAATTCACCAAGCATGGCATAAGAGAGCTGGTGGAGGCTATGGACGCTGAAGATTATGAACGAGTACGGAAGATCAAACGCCAGTTCGCAGCCAAATATGAGGTGGACACAAGCATCTGGTACGATAGTTTGAGGAAAAATTGGCCTACCGCAGTCACATTTCCTACGGCATGGCACTCCCGATCCAAACATCTCTCACCATACTAATGATGCAGGTGACCTTTGAAGAGCTATGGCCGTCAATACGCCAGGAAATCATCGAACGGATCCTTGACGACTTCGCGCAGAAGAACTATCCATCCCCGTTTTACCCAGTATGTCGCATCTTGGACATCACCAAGGAGAGACTGGATGCGATCATGGCTGAGAACGCCAGAGTCTGGACCGACGACGAAATTCCACCATATTTCAAAGAGTACAGAAGGCGGTATCCTAAAGCCATCATCGACCCCGACGAGCCTCCACCTCAGTGTGTTGTTGAAGCGACGGCATTCTTGAAACAAAACAGTCTTCCAGGTAGTTTGTTGGGCGAGTGGCAGACTATGCCGGCAGTCGAAGTATTCAACAACCCAAACCCGTTTTACCTCCCCACCAAGAAAGTTAGTAATGAATTGTAGAAGTCTTTGGAGTCACATACGGGCTACATAGCAAAATCGATAGAGCCTTTTGTTCCTGCTCGTATTCCCCATCAGTCCAAACGTGAGCATCCTGACACAATTTCTTCTCAGGAAGCCTTTGAACTGTCACGGCGTAGTTCGCAGGATGCTCAAAATCAAGCCAGTCGAAAGCAGCGAGACGACAAGAAGCTGCCGCCACCGCAATGCCGTGTTTGTGGACAGACAGGCCACACTTACTGGAAACTCGACAAGAATGGAGTGCACGAGGTAAGCACTCCCATTCGCAGACGTGTTATGAGAAAGCCGAAGAGATTACCCTCAAGCTGTACATTTGCTGTGATCTGCAAGTGCAATAACGAAGAGTACAGTGAATACGTTCAGGGTACCTGTTCCGACACATGCGTCCATTTCATAACAGCCGAACCTTTTCGCAATGTCGAGATATACAAGTGACTAGCTAACACCGTCGCAAGTGCCCTCGGCGTCGACAACAAGTTGCCCAGCACAACACGGAACTTGAGATCCTCCGCGCGCAAGCATCCTCCGAAATCAAAGCCTTCACGGAACGAGACTTCGCAATGAAAAATATCACTCCCAACTGTTCACTGTCAGAATCTACTCCCATAGACGCCGCCCCGTACCTCGAAGCCTGGCAAGCGAATAGAGCAAACCCGAATCTACACTCCCATCTTCTGCATCCAGCAGCGTTACCCGAAGACGGCCGAGCCAATTATATCAACCAGTTACAGACAGATAATCTGTCGCATACAGGGTGGATACGAAATCGACTTACAAACCGCCGGTCGATTCTTACCAGTCAAACGTCAACTTCACACGTGGCTGACAAGCGAATAAATCCGCCCAATCTACCACCAACGCCACAAACCTCAAACTCGTGCGCAAACCCTCTAATCTGGCCCAACTCACGGTGTCTGGCTCGGAGGCAAGGAACCAGACTCCATCCACAGTCTGATGCACCCCAGATACCCAAGAAGCGCGGTCCGTACAAGAAGAAAGAAGGGAAAGAGGGGCAAAATAGTACTACGCCGCCTAACAGGGTAGTGGGCAGAGACGGTATGGTCTTCCTCGGTAGTCTGAAACAAATGCAGGATGAGATTATGTCCCAGAAACGGGGTGAGGGTGCAGATGCGACGGTTGAGACGGGATTGATGACACCGCCGCTACAGCAGCCGCATCTGTCAACACCTTGGTCGACCTCAACATGTAAGGTTGGAGAGACATACACAGTGCAGAAGGATGTAGGGGCGATGAAGGAGGTAAAAGTGCTTCGGCATTCTACTATACCACCAGTATCTGAGACAAATGCGGCATCTGCGATAGAGAGCAATGGGGCTAATCCTACAGTACTGCCTCGATACCTGTATCAGGCTTCTCCTGCACAAAGGTCGAAAGGGGTGCCTTCGTTAAAGGAGATGGCAAGAGCGGTCATGGACCAGCGCCAAGTTAATGTAGGGAAAGAGAAGGATCCGACGATGGATACTGCACCGTAGTTGAGGAGAGGATGGTATTACACTTCTTTTTGGACAAAAAGAATGCTTTGGTAGCGTATTGTTAATGTTTTGAGCGCCTCTGCTCCACCATAATGTCTAATACTCGAAGCATCTTTACCAAGCATTCCGTGAGTGTTCATTGTGGGCGACGACTTCTCAGGTGGAGACAAGAGTTGATTGGCGCTAGGTTCAGCGTTCCTGCATGGCTTGGCAGACGTTGTGCGGGCGGTCATTCGATCTCGCGTCATCCCGAAACCAGCTTTCGGCGGAATTTTGCGGGCCTCCGAAGCAGGTTGGCTGCTCCGTCATGCTTAACGCATTTCCATGAGCCCAGGTGGGCTTTTCGCACTTTCCCATGTGACTGACTTGCACGGCTCCATCACCACAGATAATTCCTTCCTTTTGCCCCCAACTTGCGCATGGCAGGCTACAGGAACACGCGCAATCTGGGCCAGCTCTGGCTGCGGGGGACGCGTCGTGGGTAAGCTAGGATATCACGGCATTATATCCCCATGCTAATAGCACAAGCCTACACACGAAGCGTCCACTCTCCCACCGATCCAAAGCTGCTACACTCGGTCTGCAATATGGCCCCCCATGCCTCCTCGCGACTGCCGCGACGTGCTATCTCACGTCGGAATCGTCGCCAATCCCCCTGTTCCGCCCCATTTATCTGGATTCGCCCTCTCTCAAGCGGTACTTCTTCAGCGGCAGCGACGACAAGCAAACCGAAACCACGTCAGTAGGCGACGCTGAGAGGCAGGTAAACAAAGACGATGCCGAGAAGTCGGGCCAGCAAGATCCACCGTCGCAGAAACGTGTTGCCAAGGGCTACAGCGAGGAGCATGAGGACGCCGGCGAGAGCCAGTCCGCCTGGCAGACCATAACGGCCAAGTTCCCGGTCTCGCCATCTCCTTCGAAGCTCGGCGACACCATCATTGACTACATTGTGCCCAATTGGGTCAAGGTCCTGCCTGGTTTCATTCGAAAACTCCAGAATGAACTCTCAATGGCACCAGGTTCCCTTGCTGAAGAGATCTGGTACCAAGCCAACGACCCCGAGATCAATCCAGAGATCATATGGGATGCCTCGGTCAGGGTCTCCAACGAGCTGTGCGATGAAGAAAAGGCATTTCTGAAGAAGAGGGCGCAATTCACCAAGGCTGCACTTGCGCGATATCTCGACATCCCAGAAGCCCAGATACACCCCGACGATGTACCCGTCATTGCCATGTGCGGTTCTGGTGGAGGTCTGCGAGCGCTCGTGGCAGGTACATCGTCGTACCTCTCTTCGAAAGAACACGGTCTCTTCGACTGTGTCACTTACACGGCGGGCGTCAGTGGCAGCTGCTGGCTCCAGACTCTCTATTACTCAGATCTCACCCAACGCAGTCACGCTCGCATCATTAGACATCTTAAGAACCGCCTCGGCGTACACATTGCTTTCCCACCTGATGCCCTAGAACTGCTCGTCAGCGCGCCAACCAACAAATATCTCTTGAGTGGGCTTGTGGAGAAGGCCAAGGGCATCCCAGATGCTGATTTTGGTCTGGTGGACATCTACGGCGCATTGCTTGCCGCTCGTCTACTTGTACCAAAGGGTGAACTTTCCGTCAGCGAATACGACTTCAAGGTGTCGAACCAGCGACGATTCACTGACAACGGCTCGCATCCCCTGCCCATCTACACCGCAGTACGACACGAAATCCCATTGGCCGAACAAACAGATACAGACGTCATCGCTGCTGAAGCAAAGGCGAGAAGGGAGGCCTGGTTCCAATGGTTCGAGTTTACGCCATACGAGATGTGGTGTGAGGAGATCTCAGCTGGCATACCTACCTGGGCAATGGGTCGTCGGTTCGAAAATGGACGCACAGTCTGGCGGGACAATGGGCTGGCTTTGCCTGAAGTGCGCGTCCCCTTGCTGATGGGCATCTGGGGATCTGCCTTTTGTGCAACTCTCTCACACTACTATCGAGAGATCCGACCCCTCATGCGCAGTCTCACTGGTCTCGGCGGCAGTATCGACGCCATGATCTCCGAGCGCGATGATGATCTTGTCAAAGTCCACCCCATTGACCCCGCCGCCATGCCCAACTACGCTCTCGGCATGCGTGAATTCCTGCCTGCATCGTGCCCTGAGAGCATTTTCGAGCAAAAGAACTTTCAATTCATGGACGCAGGAATGTCAAACAACCTACCCATCTACCCGCTTCTCCGACCTGGACGTAATGTTGACATTCTCGTCGCCTTTGATGCCTCGGCCGATGTCAAGACTGACAACTGGTTGAAGGTAGCAGATGGGTATGCTCGCCAGCGTGGTATCAAAGGCTGGCCTGTTGGTGCAGGGTGGCCACCGGATGATGAATCCATGGAAGACCTGCAAAAAGATCTCGATCGCGCTCAAGCAAAATCTGAGCAGCAAGCTCAAGAAAAGCTCGAAGAAGCCAAGGATAAGAGTACCGAAGACAAGAAAGGCGGAAAGAAGAGTAAAGATTTAGGCTACTGCAACATCTGGGTTGGCACTACTGAAGAACGCACCTCCGATTCCGCCAACCCTGAACCGAAACAAGTAGACGAAGACTGGGAGCTCATGCATCCTGCATCTGGCATCACTGTCATCTACTTCCCTTTCCTTGCCAATCCAAAAGTACCCGGTGTCGACCCAAAGGTCAGTGACTTCATGTCAACGTGGAATTTTGTCTACACGCCCGAGCAAATCGACAGTGTCGTGAACCTCGCTCGCGCCAATTACAGCGAAGGCGCTGAACGTACAAAACGCACTGTCCGCGCTGTATACGAACGCAAGAAAGCACAAAGACAGCAGAGAGAAAAGGACGAGCGGGAGCGACGATGGCGATGGAAGTTGAGTCAGGGAAGGATAGCTGGTCGTCGTGTCGGAGGTGAGAGTGAGCATGGTGATCAGTTCAGCTAAGTGGAGGCTGTGTAACACATGATGGCTGAGGTGATGACAAGGAGTTGGGGGAGGCTTTTAGGCTTTTGGAAACGATAGAGGACGCATTATACCCACTTGGATCAAGAATGAAAATAATCTCATCTTACGTATATTTCAGCGCCTTCGACATTAGTGCAGAGGATGTTTAAGGTCGCTGGACAGTGAAGATGACCATATCGAGAAGAAGATCAAGCGTGAAGATACGGAAGAGGAGACACCGGCCGGAATACCACCTGTCCCCGACCCGCCGACCGCTGCAGTCCCCTATTTCGCGGGATGAGAATTGGACCCAGTTTCGCGAGGTGCCTGGTGGTATCTGGCCTGGGCGTTAATGTTCAGCTACGGTCTCCGCTCAAACACATGGACCACAGTCATTGGCGGAATGTGGTTTTAGCTCTGCTTTCGATGTGCTTATCTGGCATTACTTCTTCGAAATTGCTTCTTCTTCGCATTTCTCACAAGTCTCAAGTTCAACATGGTCTCATTTTACGACCCGAAAGATCTAGCTTTCAGCTTTACTCAACTTTCATTGTTCTAGGGAAAGGCAAAACACTAGATGCATCTTTCACGTACAGAATGCAAACCCCTTCAAGCGTCTGTATATCTAGATAACCTAGTGAATCTTGAATCGCATAACCCTGTATAATCTACCTCTGTGACTGCATGCGCCACCGTGATATCCCAAATACTAAGGCGTATACGCGTCGTCGAAACATAGGTGACACGGAGACAGCGGGATCGTGGTGACAGGCAACGCTGATCAGCGCATATTAATCACCGCGGAGAACGTCATCCGAGGCTATGAGAGACAAGATGTAGCTTTGCTGCGGCGCAGCTCTGGATCCGGCAATCACATATTATGTTCAAGTACGATGAGTATCTGGAGTGGGTGTTCATCGTAAAGCGAATCGTGTCGAGACGATCTACACGGGACCCCGGTGGGTCTTAGCGTTGCCTCCGCGACAGCTCTCCGCAAGCATCCCCTCACACATCATTCAACACCAGGGTATAGCATTGCCTAATTGGTTATCCATTCATTGGTACCATTATATGCTGTACTCCATGTTCGCTTCATTCTTACTCATCCGCTTCATATAATTGAGGTCGCCCTCGCCGCCGTCCACGCGTACACGTAGGCCTCAAGGCAGTTGCGCATCGGCCCAGCAGTCGCCATGGTCGCCCCTCGCAAAGCTGCACTCCTCGAGGAGAGCGCGGAAGTCGAAGTGCTCTTCGCCAATATGGAAAAGATGAAGACACTCACAAAGAAGATCCAAGGCTCTGTCAATAGACTAGACGCGAGCGGAAAGGCAGTTCAGGAAGCAATCGGCCCAATCTACGGCAACACCCAGAAGCTGCAGATAGCTAACACGAATGTCGATCGTATAATAGACGCAATTGAACGACTCCGAGCTCCACGAGAAGAGAGTGCAAAGGAGGAGAGGATCATTCGCGCCGGACCTGGACGGGGAGATCTTGATGGTTATATTGCTTCCCTCGACCGCACGAACATGAGCCTTGCAGACCTCAAGCGTACCAATCTTCGCTCCAACGAACAGGCTGTCGCAGAACTCAGCGGGCTCTTGAAGATGGGTAACAAGCAGTTGGAGGATGTGTTCCGCAGCATATTGCAAGATAGCGCTCGAGAGAAGGTCCAGGCATTGGAATTTGTTGCGAAGCGTACGTCATTCGTGTCCTATGATTATGGAGATACTGACATGGCACAGAAAATCCGTTCCCTCGCATACCCCAAGATAAGCTTCAGAGCCTACGCAGCATCAATTCGCATATCTCCAAATCATTCGCCCAATTATCGCAGATCGATCTCTCACAAACTCCCACACGCCGAATATACGCAGACGTCCGGGGTGAATACCTAGAAAGCACATTGAGGAGTCTCATGCAGGCGACCATAAGCACAGCCCGCAAAGTGCAGGCAGATGCTCTGTACAAGAAGGGTACTAATGGTATCGGGACATACGTGCAGGCGATAGAGGGTCTATTTGTGGCAGAGTTTGATAACTTGAACTACGTCTTTGACAGGGAGGAATGGAGCGACGTTTATGAGTCAACGTGCCAGGTCCCGCTGCAGGACTTTACGAAAACGCTGCGCGAATTGAACGGGCATATTCAGAAGAACCTGTTGACAGACTGCTTTCTCGGATTTGAGATCTGCGGCATGGTCCGAACGCTGTCGATGCGACTCCAAAAGCAGACGGGAGCACTGAAGGACCAGATCTATGACAGCGTGAAGCCGGTTCGTGAGACATCAAAAATGTCATTGAGCAAGATGTTGGAAGACACGAGGTCGAAAACACAGGCTCTCATCGCCGTTCCTATCGATGGTGGTCCTGTCGACATTACAACGCAAACGATGCGACGCCTGCAAGAGATGACCAACTACCTCGAACCTCTCGCATCGATATTGGCATCGTTGGGAGAGGGTGGCTGGAACTCGGGGACAGCTAATAATTCCTCCACAGCTCTGGACGTTGGACCGGACGGCGTAAAATTGTTCGGGTCCTATGCAGCCGATACTGTTGACACACTACTGCAGAATTTGATTGGAAAAGCAAAGATGTTGTTGAAGGGCAAGAATTTACAGGGCATCTTCATGGCAAATAACGTTGCCATCATCACGCGCATCATTCGCTCTTCGGAACTCGCACCACTCATGGACGACTACTCCAAGAAGCTTGCCGACTGGCGTAAGCAAGGCACAGCCATGTACCTTGAAGCGTGGCGTGAGCCATCAGGGTATCTACTGGATGTTCAGTACACAAACCGTAGCAAGGAGCGACCAACATCAGGCGGTGCAGATTCGGCAGCTATCGTGAAGTCTCTTAGCTCGAAAGACAAGGATGCGATTAAAGAAAAGTTCAAGAACTTCAACACAAGCTTCGACGACCTTGTCACACGGCACAAGTCGTACGCAATGGAACCCGAAGTGCGGAACCAGCTTTCCAAGGAGGTACAGAACATCATCGAGCCACTGTACAACAGGTTCTACGACCGCTACCGGGAGATCGATAAGGGAAAGGGCAAGTACGTCAAGTATGACAAGACTGAGTTGAACAGGGCATTGGCGAGCTTTGCATAGCGGGGTGCGGTGACTGCGGCGTTGGTTTGAATTTGTTTGCTTGGGACATGCGCAAAATACCCTTTGATTTGCATAGATAAGATGATGAGCTGGGTATGGGTATACAGGGGGAGCGATGTAATTGGGTAGGTGTCGAGTCTGGCACCCCGTGTACTGTAGTGTCACGCTGCAGCAGCGTGAGAGTCAGCGTTGGAGATGAGACGGTGGTGTCGAAGTCATGGCAGATGGTCATAATGAAGCAGCGACCTAATGTCTACTAGGTAGTAACGCGCTGCTCGTGCCTTCTAATTAGCCACACGTGACGCTACCTCTTTGGGAAGCACGGTTCGCGACTGCCTCTTGTAGGAGTGCACAAGAGCACAAAACATTCGACAACGTGAAAGGTGTCAACTGCCATCCCTCCTACATTCTCCCTCGCCGGCCTCTCTGCAATTCGACGTGTGTCGTTTCCAGCGATAGTCCGCACCGACACGCTGCTAGTGGTGACGCGGGGATTTTTGGTCTAGTGCCCATTGCTTCGGCGTTGCTCCAATCGCGCCCATCCCTGTGCGGACCCCTTTCCTACCCAGCGACGGACGGCACCACGACTTCCCTTCCCAACGTCGCAGCCTCCGGACAACCACGCCATTTTCCTTCGCAGCCCACTGCACTACTTCAATTCATTGCTTTGAGTGCATCACTCACTCGAGAGCATAACTACCGCTGACTGGTACGCCGCCCTTCCTCCACGCCTGTTTCACTTTATTTCTCCAGATCCTGGCTTGGGTCGCGTTGTACATTTGTCTAGCAGCAGCCACGCCAGCCAGCACCACCACGGCCTGCACCACCACGGCCTGCATGCATTGAAAGCCTCCGCTGACATCGCTTCTCCATCTACAGAAGTCCCTCACTTGACGGCCCATCGCCTGCGTTTACTACACTATTTACACCATGGGTAAGGAGCTTGCCCCGGCCCCCGTCTCGCGACACCAACAACTACACCTGAGCTACAAGACCATTGGCACCTCAGACACCCACGCAATAGCCAAACAGCAAAGTGCAGCAGGCCCAATGCAGTTCTGCACTGCTTGCTGCTTCTGCGCTCGACGGCCATGCCCTCTCTCTCTCTCTTCTCCTGGCCCCTGGCTAACACATTGCTTTAGAATCCGGTGCTACCTCTCCCGCGCCGCCTACCCGTGCGTCCCCATCGCCCCCAGCGTCGTCCAGCGGATTTGGCATGGATCAAACAATGTCGATGTCTAACGGCTCCTCTCCAGCGGTCCACACCATCACGGCGAAGAACCCCAAGGCCGCAGCTGCCATGGCGAATGACATGAACATTGTGCGCAGGAAGCTCACAGGCTACGTTGGTTTTGCGAACCTGCCCAACCAGTGGCACCGCAAGAGTGTGCGCAAAGGGTTCAACTTCAACGTCATGGTTGTCGGTAGGTGTGCCCCCGCCCACTGTTGTCAATCGGAGCTAACGTGTCATCTCAGGCGAGTCTGGACTCGGAAAGTCAACCCTCGTAAACACACTCTTCAACACTTCGCTGTACCCTCCCAAGGAGCGCAAGCCCCCGAGTCTCGATATTTCCAAGACCGTTTCGATACAGTCCATCAGCGCCGACATCGAGGAAAACGGTGTTCGTCTGCGATTAACAGTCGTCGACACACCTGGCTTTGGCGACTTCATCAACAACGATGAGTCGTGGGATCCAATTGTCAAGAACATTGAGCAGCGGTTTGATGCCTACTTGGACGCTGAGAACAAGGTCAACCGCATGAACATTGTCGACAACCGCATCCATGCCGTTGTCTACTTCATCCAGCCTACTGGTCACTCCCTGAAGCCCATCGACATTGAGGTGATGAAGAAGCTTCACACCAAGGTCAACCTTATTCCTGTCATTGCCAAGGCTGACACCGTTACTGACGATGAAATCGACAACTACAAGAAGAGGGTACGTTGCTTTTTCTGAGCTCCCCCTTTTCGACTTTGCTAACAGTGACAGATTCTTGCAGATATCGCCTACCACAAGATCCAGATCTTCGAGGGACCACGGTATGAGCTTGATGACGAGGAGACCATTGCCGAGAACCAGGAGATCATGGCCAAGGTTCCCTTCGCCGTTGTCGGATCCAACACCGAGGTCACGACCGTCGATGGCCGCAAGGTTCGCGGGCGTGCGCTGCCCTGGGGTGTTGTTGAGGTTGACAACGAGGAGCACTGCGACTTCGTCAAGCTACGACAGATGCTCATCCGCACGCACATGGAAGAGCTCAAGGAGAACACCAACAATGCTCTGTACGAGAACTACCGTTCCGAGAAACTTGCACAGATGGGCATCCAGCAAGACTCTAGCGTGTTCAAGGAGGTCAACCCTGCTGTCAAGCAAGAGGAGGAGCGCTCGCTGCACGAGGCCAAGCTCCAGAAGATGGAGATGGAGATGAAGATGGTGTTCCAGCAAAAGGTGCAGGAGAAGGAGAGCAAGCTGCGCCAGAGCGAAGAGGAGCTGTACGCCCGTCACAAGGAGATGAAGGACCAGCTAGACCGACAACGACAAGAGCTCGAAGAGAAGAAGGCCCGCATCGAGTCTGGCAGGCCGATCGAAGAGAAGGGCAAGAGAAAGGGCTTCTCCCTCCGCTAAGCGCCGTGCCGGCGTCACGATCGTCCCTCCCCTCCCGCTCCGGACGACACACGCCTCTCAGCCACCTCTTCTCAGTTCTTCACACCCCTCTTACCAGACCTTGTTTAATATAATGCGGCCGACGATACCACTGGGTGCTATCGGTAAAAGGGATAATACACTACGATGGAACATTGGGGACGATGCACAGCAGTGTCACATGTTGGTGCAGTTGTCCGGATTGTTGATTGATACCAACGTCTTTGCGCTCCTTTCCGATTCCCTTGCTTCACCTTCGGCATTTTCTATTATTTAGTATTCGGCAGACGTAGTTCGGAGCGAGGAGTGTCGGACAGGTTCTTTTCATGTACTCTACAGACTATCATAGGCAATTTCATTTGTGGGCAAAACGCGAAGCTGATTGCAAACTAGTGATGTTGCTCAACAAACAATGCGACTCGGGTGGAGAAACAACAGTGACGACATTGTGCTTGCTGCGAAGACGCTTACGAGCTTGTGAAGACGCCGGCACATGGAGGCCTGGCTGGCGGCTGAGGGGATCGTCAGGGTGCAGGCGTGGTAAGGGCGCACGGGCTTGTGCTAGCCCACTCCAGAATTGCAGCTTGCCATGCCATGTCGTCACCCCCCAAACGCCCGAATTCTGGTTTGCTGCCCGCTTTCCTACTCCCTTGGGAACGTACAACCACACCATTTCTCCGCTCTCACAGTCCTCTGCGTCGACAATTCTCGCAACTACAGAGCAACTTTACTAAGGTCCCGGACCTGATTTCTCAATCGGTAAGTCGACCCCGCCTATCAGGCACGGCGAATATCACGAGCGGGTCCCGAACGCCGGGCAGCACCAGCAGTTTCCAGCACCCAGCCACCACTGTGGACACATTGCATCTTGACATCCTTTCGCAAGGCAGCAGATCATTTCCAGCGGTCGGCCATTCCTCCTGTTCTACATAGGAAGCCGCATTCTCTTCCCCAGATCTTTACTGACGTTGCAAGCTGCCCATTACGTAGCCCACACGACAGTTGCCGAAATACACACAATGGCACCCCCACCTCCTGCCTCCATGCCTTTGGGCCAGCGCCTTGCTGCCCTTGCCCAAACTCTCCAGTTTGCTTGGTTCGCCGGACACGTTACCCTGCTGCTCGCTACTTTGCGATACAGCTTGTCCTACATCACCTTCAACTACTACTCGCGATGGGCCTCCTTCTCCTACCGCACTGCCTTCCTGTCGGCATGCGTCACATACGGTATCGTAGTCTACAAGGCCTACCGCGCCCGCATGAGGGCCGGAAAGCAGGGCGGTGTCGTCGCTCTTGCTACCGATGAGAACGTTCAGTACTTGAGTAAGTCTTCTACGAGGCTGTGCATAGCCTTCCCCCCACGTAGCACGTGCTAATTATCTGGCAGTCATGGCTCTCGTCTGGCTCTTCTCGCGCCAGATCCCCCTTGCCATACTCCCCTTCTCCGTATACTCCGTCTTCCACGTCGCTACCTATGTGCGCTCCAACCTGCTGCCCACCATCCAGCCCCCACCCGCTGCTCAGGCCGGCGCCAAGCCACAAGGCTCCGCCGCCTCCGAGGCTATTGGCAAGTTCGTCAAGGAGTACTACGATGGCTCCATGACTCTTGTTGCCCTGCTTGAGATCTTCCTCTGGTTCCGCGTCCTCGGCTCTGCCATGCTCTTCCAGAAGGGCTCATGGATCCTCCTCGCTGTCTACACTGTCTTCTTCCGCGCTCGCGTTGCGCAGAGCAGCTTTGTCCAGGAGGCTATCAACCAGCTCACTGCCCGCATTGACGCTCAGCTTGCCAACCAGAGCACTCCTCCCGCTGCCAAGCAGGGCTGGGCTACCTTCAAGGGCATTGTCAAGCAAGCTGGCGATGCTACTGACATCCGCAGGTATGTTGGCGGACAACAGGGAGCCCCTAAGAAGGCACAGTAAGCGTCTCTCTACGCTTGCGATAATGTCCCCGCCTCCAATCGCGCACGACAAGATACGTGTTGGAAGGTTGTGGTACCATTCTTGACGAAGATACGGCAGTCATGACGAAGAAGACAATAGACATGTTTGCGTCGCCTGTGGACGATCGAAGGAAAAGTGTTTGAGTCGGAATTTGGTCGTTAACGATATCCCAAATGTGCGAGGCTGGTTCAGTCTGGAGTAGATGACAGTATAGTAGGATAGTATGGGTCGAAGGAATATGTGGCCATACAGGATTTTCGCTTGGAGGAGGATGTTGGGATGGATTCTCCCTGTATTCACGGAGAAATGTGGTGTTTCTGGTCTGTTATCATGTTCGCAATTGCAGTACAATCAATGTTCATATTGTTATTTGAACCTCTATACATGAACGTGGTCGTACTTAGTTAACATGATCTGGGTAGCACATGGTCACAGCGCGCACATTGTTTGACGGTCTCGGTGCGACTTATTGTGATGTTCAATTGTGATGTTCATGCGCCCGTCTTCAGTCAACCCCATACATTAGCGCTTACATCCTTCTCACACCCATCCCGCCCCAGTGTTTGAAAAGTTGTGTTTTGATATGCCATATTATGATCGGCCTCATGTACAGGGAGTGCAAGTCGCGTTGGACATGCTCAGTACTTTTTGTTTTTACCTTCTTCTTGACACTAAATTTGGAACAGCGTCTATAGTGTAAGCTCTAGATTGTTGTACTTGTACCATAGTCGAAAGACGGTTTTACTGTATGTGTATCTGTCATAGTATCCACATTAGGTAATGCAGTATTCGGGTAGATGTGTTCGGGTCTCCGCTTATGGAACTGATATATAAGGTGTGTAAGAACTAAATGTTGAGTGACGAATTAGATATGAGAAGACGCAACAACATGGCAAGGATGAGAGAAGAGTTGTGCTTTTCATTGAACTGATTTCGCCGGTAGCAAAAGTAGCGAGGTTTTTCGCCGTTTATCAGCAACATGAGGATCTGTCAAGAGCGTTGATGTGTCCAGCTTGGATATGAGGAGATGAGCAAGTTATATTGGTTCAAAGTATATTTCTTCGTTCGAGATGTCGCACACTTGAGGATATGGCACAAAGAATGTCATTCTAAAAAAAAGTTTAGTTGCGGCGTCGATTCTGTACAGGTTGCAAAGTGCGTATCCAGTCGTTATGGAAGATGCCATCTTTGTATCTTACCTACTATCCGGTGCTATAAAGGCTGCAACATCTCTGTATATTGTAGTCTCATATGCACATGTGTACACCAACAAGCCTCACACCACTACTCTTTGTCACGCTTGGTGTCCAACTGAAACACCATATGACGCCATCACTAATTTTCGAAGCTTGTTACTCAAGCTATTCGGCATACAACATGATGTGTATGTATGTACGTATGTATGTATGCGTTGTCATCAACGGCAAAAGGAAATATCAACTGTCGACTGCCGACATACCCGTCGTGCCCCTGGCGACGGTTTTTGCTTGTTCACGAGCTTTTTGGTAGCGCAACGGTGGCGGACGGAGGGATATAGAAGAAGGAAACCTGTGATCGAGGTGAGTTTGAAAAGGTGGTTGGTTTGATACATGCATGTGTTCGTTGTCATCTGATCAATTGGGAGTCCGCGGCCGAGATATGAGCGGTGACCCTTTGGTGGACATGAAGTTGCGGTGAAAAATAAATGCGGCGTTGCTTTGGACGTCTTGTCGAACGCCGCTGTAACGAACAACGAAAAGCTATCATACCTTGCCCAGCTGGGTATAACCGCTTACCTCTCCCAGTAAACGACGAGCATCGGCTAAATTCAGGAAGCGAGATATCAAGAGCGATTGCTTTTGACAAGTTTCGGCCCGTTGACGGAAGGGAAAACGTGCTTCTGGTTCAACTTGCTTATGGTACCACGACGAGCTGAAGAATTGAGCTCTGGCACATGTGACAAGGCATCTTGGCAAGAAATCAATAGTCTTGCCCGCTTGAAACCTGCGGTAAGCGATATAGATGGGAACCTGTGTGCAATTTTTCGAGAAGAAGGAACAATATTGCTGCAGTGTAAGCGACTGCGCGGAGCATGGGGTTGTGAAAGATGTGCAATTGATGCATAAAGCAACTTGATGTCGTTCTGAGAGGAGCCCTATCGGCCTTATTTGTACTGCACGTGTGGGTTCTGGCCCCCTGAAGCAAGTCTTCTGCCTTTGGGACGCAATCGGAATGAATGAGCGCATGGCTTCTCGTGGCTGAATCTAGATGTTTGAGCTGTCCGAGCATCACCGCGTTGTGAAGCATTTGGAATCTGCAACGTTCGGCCGTGAACATTCGGGTGTAGTACCAGAAGTTGAAGTCATCAAAATCTTCAAAGGAGTTGCCGTGGAGGTCGTGGTAGATCTAGGCGCGGTTGTTTCCTGGAAGGCTAAAGGATTCTCGACCAACTAGAGCCTTCGGGAGCTACTTACGCCACAATGATGACGCTCCCGAACCAAACAGGTGTTCACAATCTAGACGTGAAGTGTAAAGACAGTTTGAACGCTGTTGTTTCAGAATGCCCGAGTGGTTTTGATTGGAGACATTGCTCGATGGTTGTGGCTTGTCAACCATTTAGGAGACATCAGTAGCGTCCATCGGTGAGGCATGGCATCTGTCAGTGTCGGTGAGCCAATCTCGACGTCTGAATCTGTCTCGATCCTGCAGCAAGAAGCAAATCGCGCATGGTGCTGAGGTCGAAAGAGGATGAAGAGTGGAGCCTTAGACTCAGGCCCAGACTCCCGAGGCTCTTGAATGTTGCGTACGTGGCCTCCGTCAGTCCACGGAGTCTGTTGAGGTATTCCAACATTGAGGGATCGGAGATGCACGCTACAACCATGACGACAATGTATGCGTCTCGCAGCGACGGTTCCTGAAAATGCGGCGGAAGGTGGCTGCTCGCACAAAGTAGCGTAATCGATAGCATTAGTCGTACAAAGCTCGTAAACTCGTCCAGGCTACCGGGCAAATGCTGTTTCACGACTCTGTAGATGCTAAAGATGGAATTTGTCGTCTGTGTTTTTCTCTGTGCGCGAGTATTGGATTGCTCCACCCGCCCCGTAATACTATCGGAGAAAACTAGACGCGATGGACCGTCATACGAGGCGCCGGAGCCGAGATTCCGCCAGCAAGTCAGAGCGTTCGGGAGGAAGCTACGTATTCGCGTGTATAGTCAGTTATGGCGACTCGTGTTGTGTGCAGATTTGGTGTTGACGGATCAGGTCAGTATCATGCTGGGTCAAGTGCATGAGGCGAGCGGGTGAGGTGCTGAAGACGGGTTAGGATGACTGCGCCCCAGAGCTTGGATGTGGGGTTCGCAGCGCGCTTTCGTCTGCAACGTCCCCTTTTTGCGAGCTTGGGTGCGGAGATAGGATGCATCCGAACAGCCGTATCGTATCGTATAGCGTGCGTGCTCCCAGGTGCGGAACATAGCGGTGAGGGAACTGGTGCTGGCTGCTTGAGTGGCATCAGCGGCGTGATGGCGTGACGAACGCACAGAATGAGGACTAATGCAGGGCAATTGACAGCGGCGACGCGATCGATGGGATTTGACATGTGCAAAAGATTCTGCAGTCGGAACTACGGGTGAAAAGTGTGATGGTTTGTTTCGCAGTGGAATTTGTGGATAGACAATAATGCCCGCAGTAGTGCTCACAGGCGAGTCGTCGGCGGCCTGGGGGGGTTTGATGCGCGTGTAGGATGGAGGGCATAAGCTTTTCCGACAAGAAGATATGCGAGATTGGGGGGGCCCTATCCAAAGTTTATGTCGTGTCGGTATTGCAACTGCCAGATGAGTGTCAGGCCGTATGCAGATGAAGAAGTTAGTAACTGCTAGGGTGTTGATCGTGATGGAGTAGACGAAGATCTGGAGAAGGCAAGATTAGATTGGGGATCATCTACCACGCAACATGGGCGTACTGTATTCCTGGGTCTCGATTCCCTAGTCGTATAGTTTTAGAAATCACAACGTGTTGACCATTTCTTACCAGGCACCCAGGCGGCTGCACACATCCACAAATCTCACAGCCGCACAAGCCATAGCTCGCATCGGTAGCCCTGACGATGGCGCATAGGGCCAAGTTGTAGCTGGCGCTGGCCTGAGCGGGAGAGCGTGCGCGCGCCTGTAAAAAGATGGCACGGCAGGGAGACGGCTACTGCGAGCTGGAAGGTGCAGGGGACCAGCTAGCGAGCGACGCTACCCATCCGCCGCTTTCACCGTCTCGGTTTTCTTGGTCGGAGCCTGGGTGTGTATATAGACTCGTGAATGCCCTCACTCTACGGGCTCTTCTCCCCACTGACGATATTCCAAACCTGGCTGCTTGGTTCATGACACCCATTGTCCATCGACTCACGACTACTACAACATCACACGACCAAGTCTCCAACCATCTCGCTTACACTTCGCCGACACCGCCCTACTACCGACAGAACACATCAACATAGTTACAGTTTGGGAAAAAGGAAAAAAGAGAACACAATGGACTACTCTCCAGCACTATCTATCAACAGCGACATGACAGACGAAGAGTTGGACAAGTACTTTGCAAGTTGTGTTCCGCTGTCCAACCTGCCAACCCCTCCGCCAGCAAAGGAGCCCACACCAACCCGGGTATCAACGCCAGCCGCCCAAACATCGACACAGTCACACGACATCGCTAGCCCTCCACAACACGAAGGTTAGTTCACTTTTACCTCACATGTCAAATCTCTGTTTACGGCATGTGGATGATGGTGTGTTTGAGTCGGACCGGGCGGCAGAGCGACGTTCCCCTGCATACGCCGCCTTGGCTCTCGTCATGCTTCATCCCAGATGCTCCTTTTCCAACTCAACACTCCTTACTCCACAAATTCGACGTGTTCCTGTCGATCTTCTAGTTGTTCCACCAACACCCCTCCACCCAGGATCAATGCTGTTGCCACTTCCTTGATTTCGGACCGCTAACATACTATCTATAGTATACGCAACACACCTTGCGAACCTCGTTCCGCTCAACGTCTCCACCCACCGTCCTCATGCATCAGTGATTCAAGGTTTCCTGGACCGCGCTGGGCTGCCAGATGAGATTGTCGCCTTTGCGGGGTGCTTGCTGGATGCGTTGAGCAGCCGGTTTGCAGCTACTTGGCGGGATGCTCTTGCGCCAAGCGACTATGCTCGCGACGTCAAGAACTTTCTGAGAACAGACTTGCGTCAGAACGCACATGTCAGCCCAGACGTAGTTGCACTGGCCGCACTTTCGCTCGCGCATGGCTTCCTTGTCGATCGTCAACGTTCCTCGCGGCACTGGAGCATTAGGGAGAGCGATGGTGCCTTCACTGTGCAGGAGATCGAGGCTACCAAGCGAGCTATGTTGCACGACATGGACTATGGTCTTGCTCGAATCTCCAACGACATGGTGGAGCGGAGGCTAAAGAACATGCAGCGAACAAGCACATGTCCCTCCACACCGACCTCAACCACGACCGCAACGAAACAACGACGAAACCTCTCCATCAGCCTCCAAGGTACTGCAATCTGGAGCTATGGCGTGCAGACTCCGGAGCCCAGCCCATGAGACGGCAGCTTCCTACGGACGCGCTATGAATCTCGTTCAGTCTACCATTTTTAACTGTCTTGCTGCGTACATTCACGATACCCACATCTTTTCGGCATTTTCGCCCTCAGCCGTTATGCGCATATCTCGGCGTTCTCCGACATCGATCGGGTCATATACTCAGTGTTGTCTTGTGCCTACAACAGGCTTGTTGTAAACTCGTATATATTTGTTTCAGGGTGGAGTTGAGTGGATTCGGTGGCCTGACATAATGGCCTATGCTTCTGGTTTTGAGTACGCTATCTGCGTAATACCCACTGTGGAGTTTAGAGGATTGGCTTCATGTTTGAGAATACCAACACTATGTAGAGATGGCTCTAATAAATGCTGGCACTTTATCATTCCAAATATTCTTCCGAGCACCATGATGTATGTGTGGTGCAAAGTTGTTGCGAACGATTCGTGTATATGTGACCAAACGCGCGGAAGACATAAATGTCATGATGGCGGTTGTTGGGTACTCTTTTTGTCTACACAGGATCGGATGAACATGCGATGGTGGGGCTGCAGCCTCAACTAATCATCGCATAGTCTTCCTTGTTCCGACAAGATCCGCGCAGGCTGAATGCGCGCAATTGGATTGTCGTCTAATCGATTTCAAAAAAGTCAAGCCTGGCACTCGTTGCGTACCGTCGCTTTCCTCCCTCTTATTTAGATTACTCCGCACTTTGCCAGCGTGGTGCGGAGGGGTTGAAGACGTCACCCCGGCTGATTCTGGCCATAGTGAAGATCACGCTACGACGCGCAACAGTTGCACTAAAGCCTCAGCATGCACAAGTTTATTGGACAACACGTCCGTCACGTCTTCGCTAACGGCTCCGCGACGGTTTCGTGGGGTCGGCTACCCCACTTTGTACTGGTATGCGAGCTGCTGCATACAGCTTGCATGTGGGAGAGCTCAACAGCTTGTTGTTAGCTGTCAGACTGGCTCCATGGTGTGTTACTTCCCCGCGATCCGCTAGGGTGCTCCTGCTCTCCTGATATATTCCCGGGGGCCTTGCCTTGATGCTCAATTCATCTCCACCTTGTCTTCCTCAATACGGTGTCCTGTAAATACGCCGTTGCCGTCGCTGCCGCTCATCTTTCCTGTCTGGCGCTTCGCAAACACCACACCTGAGGTATTTCTGCGGCCTCTTTATAAGCCTGCAGTCCTCGAAGTGGCAACTGTACGCTCCTCTACCCCGCCATCATCTCTCTCCCACCAACTCACTCTCTTAGCAATCCGGGTTTCTCTGCAATTGATATCACCAACATGGCCGCGAACCCTTCTCCCCGTGAGCGCAAGCCTTCGACGAGCGCTCCACTTGCCGACCTCAAGGGTCCTGTTGGCCCCTCTTTCAGCAGACCCAAGCACAAGAGGACTGTAACCGGCTTTGGCCCCAGCGAGATCAAGAACGTAGAAGCGAGTATTCCAGAGCCTCAACGCGAGGCGTGGAGGAAGTTTGTACGTGGATGGCTTTTTGTAGCTGTGTAAAAGTCAAAGAACTCAACACTAACTTACATGTAGATGCCCAAACCCTTCTCTACTCCCGACGACTTTACTAAAGACGCCGTTCGCCACATTGAGACTACCCTGGCGCGCTCCCTCTTCAACTGCGATGAGGCCGCCGCGTATTCTGGAACCGCCCTTGCCTTCAGGGATCGCTTGGTCCTGGACTGGAACAAGACACAACAGAGTCAGACCTTTGCTGACCAGAAGCGCGTATACTGTGAGAAAGAGCAAGAAGCGTCATGACAGAATGTTGTTTAACAAGGCTAGATCTCTCCCTCGAGTTTCTGATGGGTCGCGCCCTGGACAATGCCATGCTCAACGTTGAGCAGAAGGATATTGCTACTAGTAGGTCCTCCTCTTGAACCCATGTATTGCTTCCTCTGACATTGATTTAGAGGGTCTCAGTGACCTTGGCTTCCGCATGGAGGATATCATCTCCCAAGAGCACGACGCAGCCCTAGGAAACGGTGGTCTCGGACGCCTTGCAGCCTGTTTCCTCGACTCGATGGCGTCTCTCAACTACCCAGCCTGGGGTTACGGCCTACGGTACCGATATGGTATCTTTAAGCAGGAGATCCACGATGGATACCAGGTCGAGGTTCCAGACTACTGGCTTGACTTCAACCCATGGGAGTTCCAGCGCCATGATATCGAGGTTGATATACAGTTCTACGGACACGTCAACCGCTGGCAGGACGATGAGGGCAAGCAGCAGTCCTCATGGGAAGGCGGCGAGATTGTCAAAGCTGTTGCTTACGACGTCCCAGGTAAGCAGTTCTTACATCAACCGCCGTCTTTTTACTGATTGGTGCAGTTCCCGGCTACAAGACTGGCACTTGCAACAACCTGCGTCTCTGGGGAAGCAAGGCTGCCAGCGGCGAATTCGACTTCCAGAAGTTCAACTCTGGTGAATACGAGAGCTCCGTAGCTGATCAGCAGCGAGCGGAGACTATTTCTGCTGTCCTCTACCCCAACGACAACCTTGACCGTGGTAAGGAGCTCCGCCTGAAGCAACAGTACTTTTGGTGTGCGGCTTCGCTCTACGACATCGTGCGGCGATTCAAGAAGAGTCAGCGCGCCTGGAAGGAGTTCCCCAACCAAGTCGCGATTCAGCTTAACGACACCCACCCGACGCTCGCCATCCCTGAGCTTCAGAGAATCCTAGTCGATATCGAGGGCCTGGAGTGGGATGAGGCATGGAACATCGTTCAGAAGACATTCGGATACACCAACCATACTGTGCTACCTGAAGCGCTCGAGAAGTGGTCCGTCCCGCTCATGCAGCATCTCCTCCCACGCCACCTCCAGATCATCTATGAGATCAATCTGCATTTCCTTCAGTTCGTCGAGCGCAACTTTCCCAAGGATCGCGACATGCTCGGTCGCGTCTCGATCATCGAGGAATCGCAGCCTAAGATGGTCCGCATGGCGTACCTTGCATTGATTGGCTCACACAAAGTCAACGGTGTAGCTGAGCTGCATTCCGACCTGATCAAGACTACAATTTTCAAAGACTTTGTCAAGATCTATGGACCAGACAAGTTCACAAACGTCACCAACGGTATTACCCCGAGGAGATGGCTCCACCAGGCCAACCCCAAGCTCTCAGCTCTTATTGCATCGAAGTTGGGCGGCCACGAATTCCTCAAGGACCTTACCTTGCTGCACAAGCTTGAGGCGTTTGTTGACGACAAGGAGTTCCGTAAGGAGTTCAGGGACATCAAGTACGCCAACAAGGTGCGACTCGCGCAACACATTATGGAGCACAATGGCGTCAAAGTCAACCCTGCAGCGCTTTTCGATGTTCAAGTCAAGCGTATCCACGAGTACAAACGCCAGCAGCTGAACATCTTTGGTGTCATCCACCGTTACCTCCAGATCAAGGCTATGTCTCCTGAGGACCGCAAGAAGCTAGCCCCTCGCGTTTCCATCTTCGGTGGTAAAGCTGCACCAGGTTACTGGATGGCCAAGACAGTTATCCATCTCATCAACAAGGTAGGCGATGTTGTCAACAACGACAAGGACGTAGGCGACGCCCTCAAGGTCGTTTACTTGGCCGACTACAACGTCAGCAAGGCCGAGATCATCTGCCCTGCCAGTGATATTAGTGAGCACATCTCCACGGCTGGTACTGAGGCGTCCGGTACTAGTAACATGAAGTTCTGCTTGAACGGTGGTCTCATCATTGGAACATGCGATGGTGCCAATATCGAAATCACTCGCGAGATTGGCGACCAAAACATCTTCCTCTTTGGTAACCTCGCCGAAGATGTCGAGGACCTCCGTCACGCACACATGTACTCGCACTACCAGTTGGACCCACAGCTTGCAAACGTCTTCGACGCAATCCACAACGGCACCTTTGGAGATGCAGACCAGTTCTCCGCTCTGATCAACGGCATCGTGGATCATGGTGACTACTACCTTGTCTCTGACGACTTTGCGTCGTACATCAAGACACAGGAGCTCATTGATGAGAGCTACAAGAACACTGAGGAGTGGACCACCAAGACCATTACTACAGTCGCACGTATGGGCTTCTTCTCCAGCGACAGGTGTATTGACGAGTATGCGGAGGCTATCTGGAACGTCGAACCTCTACAGGTCAAGGCTGAGCCTGCGCCGTAGAGGGATGGTGGAGAAATGGTGGATGCGTTGGTTTCGCGGTAGATCTTAGATGGTTACAAGCCTAGATCCGTAGACCTGACGGCTCGTATTTACGACAATAATGAGAAGCCAATTGCAATGAACAGTGTAAACTATGCATGTGTTTGCTGTCGTGTAAGGCTGTGGTGGTGTCTTGAGGGACTCGGTGCTGGACCCTGAAACGCCGCTGCGAATGAACCTACGGCAGCGCACGGTCGCGTCGCGCGACGTACGTCAACCGCAATCTGGCCAGCTCGACGCAAGTTGGCGACATATCGAGAGCCTTCACCTCACGAGCAACCATGGCGAACAGAGGCTACGATGTCGTCGTAGATGTTGATCAAGAGGTATGCAATTGTCCAACAGCCGACGTGAAGCCCAGACGGCGCAGTCCCTCTCAGCTCGATATGGCAAGCTTACCAGCTCACAGGGCGACCTCGGCCATACCGACCTCCAAGAGGACCTAGAATTCCACAGCTCCAGTAAGCTCTTCAACATCATCCCGACCCAACAACTAACGAATCGCGATCCAGACTTCGAAACCCAACCCTCTGGCCGCGGCGCCCCCAAGATCCAACCCGACTCGTCATCCGCCTCCTTCCTCCCCGGCCCCGGCGGCTCCTCCTCCAACAACCCCACTTCGCGAAAGCACTATCTCTGGTCGCTCAACTTCTACGCCCAAGCCTTCGATGTCGACACGGCCGAAGTCCTCCGCCGCTGCACCTCAACCATCTACCCGCGCGCCAACTTCCTCGATGTGCTAGAAGGGAATCCGGATCTCTACGGCCCTGTATGGATCGCTACAACCGTTGTTGTCATCTTGTTCTTGACGGGGACGATCAGCCAGTATCTGGCCATGAAGGGCGAGGAGCACTTTGCGTATGACTTCAAGCTGTTGAGTGGGGCAGCAGGGCTGGTCTATGGGTACACGGCCTTTGTGCCCGTGGGGCTTTGGGGTGTTCTGAAGTGGTATGGGAGTGAGAGTGCGAATCTGCTCGAGTGCTGTTGTTTGTATGGGTATGCGAACTTGGTTTGGATCGCCGTCAGTCTGGTGGCATGGAGCCCCTGGGGTAGTAAGTTCTTTTTCTCAACCTTGGCATGGGTACTACATACTGACTGAAACACTACAGTTCTCAATTTCACGGTTGTAGCCCTTGGTCTCGCGGCCTCTGCCTTCTTCCTCCTACGAAATCTTTACCCTGTGCTCAGCACTACTGAAGCCAAGACAAGCAAGATCCTGCTCATTGTCGTTTTTGTGCTACATGCGGGCTTCGCCATCGCCATCAAGGTCCTGTTCTTCGCTGCGACAAGTCCGGTGGGACCCAACAAGGGTGCCGACAAGGATGCTGGGAAGGGTGTGGCTGATGGGGGCTCCGAGGGTAAAGGGGATATGTTGAGGATGCTCATGGGTTGAGACGGGGTGGACAAAGATAGGTGGATGGATGGAAGGAATATGAACTTGGCATGATAGAGTTTGGCAGTAGAATCATAGCATGGCCTGAGGGTTCATAGCGCATCATTGATGAATGGACACAATCTAGGATGTGGCAGTGACATGGAAACAAGCACATGTTTGAGGACGTGCATCCATGTTAGCTATCTATCGTTTGTTTGTATTACTCTCCAAGTCTTGCTGGAGTATACAACTGATTATCGTGACGTTCGTTTACTCAATCATTATCCGCCTCAGTATCCGCCATGTTTATCCTGTACAACTGCAAACATGCAACTTGAACAACCTGTGTATGAATCAAACACCTCAGGCATCCACCTCAATACCCTCCTCGTCCTCAACGATGACCTCCTCGCCACCGTCAATGACCAACTTTTGAGGGTCAATACCGCCCTGTAGAGCCAGAGCAAGCAGGTGAACATTAGCCAAGGTATAGTCTGCATCATGTTCAATGCAATACTTGACACAACGTGTGAAGATACCACCATCTTCGCCCTCCTTGGGGTGCTTGAGCAGTCCTTTACCCATGTCGCGAATATCGTAATCAACGACACCTTCCAACTCATCGTCTTTATGCTGAATCATGTCGGTAGCAGTAATGTCGTCAGCCTCCTCGATTCGGCTGCGGAATGACTCTTCCCAATCACCGCCGTACTTTTCTTTGCCTCGGTTGATAGCGGTGATGCACTTGACGGAGCAGGTGTTGCGAAGGTATCCGCCCTCGATATCACGGTGTGTGTTGAGGATCTCGACGATGCCAGCGGGGCCCCAATGGCGTGAGTAGAGGCGCAGTGCAACCTGAGGACGTGCGAGTGACTGGAAGAAGTAGACGATAACCTCTGTATCGGTCAGAGGAACGTTGGGAACCATAGCGCGCGAAGGTGGCATCGACTCCTTGAGCGAATGATTCTTGCGCTTGTTGACGGACGTCACGCCGCGCTTCTGTGTGCTTGGGGGGCCGATGCGACCAGGAGTCACTGGAGACCTTGGATAACTTGACACCGGCGTGGTCAGATACATTGATCCCATGGTGCCCGTGAGCTGATCTGAGGTAGGTGTCGTCAAGTTGGGGAAACCGGACATGTTTCCGGTGAGGTAGCCAGACTGTTGCTTTTCGTTAGCATCTCATAGTGAAGGACTGGAAATGTGGAACTTACATCGATCTTCTTCGAGGGAGTAGTCGTAATGGAAGGTGCCGCATTCTTCTTGCCGTCGGGAATCTTGACCTTGAGGGCCTTTCGAGCCCTGGTCTTCTCACCCTTCTTGCTCTTCTTGCTGGTAGTGAGCTTGCTACGAAAGGGCTCATCATCTTGATGAACAGGGCTGGACAGTTGAAATGTTTGAAAGGGCTTGTAGCACTCTTTAGTTGGAGTGCTCGGTGCAGAGATGCGAGAGGTGGTGGCATCATGGTAACGAGTGGTAGGACCAGGAGCTGACCTGGACCCGGCAGTGGCATCGTTCATGAGCTGAGCAATGGTCTCGCGGAGAGCCATGTTGTCCATCTCGATCTTGTCGCAGCGGGCGATCAGTGTATCAAGGGCTTCAGCTCTGCCGCGACTGAAGGCTACTAGGTCGTGTATCTCTTCAGACTCTGACATAATCAGTCAGCCAGGAGGTTCTCAAGGAAACATGAAGTAGTGAGACTCACTGGAACGCTGCCTCCAGGAGCCGTCTAGCTGCAATTGCAGCTTGGGCGGCTGTTCCACGAACTGGTCTGCCTGCTGCGCATCCTCCATCACGAACGACGGAAACTGGAATTGCAGATCTTGCTGGCTACCCAAGGTGTCCTCAGACACCATCTGATCCGCATTTTGATCTGTGTATGCGTCAGCCACTGAAGTTTGGATACATCTGGTAGCCACTGTATGCATGTAGATGCCAGTACAGTGCTATGCCACTTGGTGCTTTCGCTCCATATTTATGGCTGGGTGGGCAAAGAGTACTCACCTTGACGTGCTGCGTTCATAGCAGCGTAGGCAGGAAAGAACAGATCCCTATAATAATGCGGATTAGTATTAGATCCAGGCATTGTCGACTTCACGTATCACGGCAAAGAGGTTCTTGTGGGTTTTGAGGTTGGTGAAGGCTGAGTGGGTGTGTGGGCGATGTTGTGATGGCTTGTAGCGACATCAAATTTTGCGCCACGTGCAGTTGCTAGGGGAGAACTCCAAACAAGACGAAAGCGATGAGGACATCAGAGTGAAAGTGAAGACTCACCTGGAGGAATGACCGTGTATCCTGAACTTTCGAGGTGAACTGGCTTGGTAGACACTGTTCATGCTGACACTGCTCGCTCTGCTGGCCCCATGCTGCAGCGCAAGAATAGTGTTGGGCAACCATACAGCCGGTTCGACATCCTCCTCTTTATATGTTGATGCAGCAGACGATGTAGAAGCATCGTCGGCGAGCTCTGCTGGTGGTAACGTGGAAGTCCGCAGGATTGTCTTGAGGAAGGTCTCCTGGCTTTCCTCTCTCTTGATAATTGAAGCCATGATGTTGGACAATATAGGGTGCAAAGGTGTTCGGACGATTATCAATTGTTGACAAGATCTGTTGTGAACAAACGCTCGGGCATCCGCTAAGTGCCATGACAACACGGCATCGAAGACAGTGGCCTGGTGAACGTGAAATTTAGTGTACTGATGACCAAATCAGTCCACCAACGTAGCTTCCTCACCTCACCGTGAGGACAGTGGACTCACTGTGTGACTCAAGGCGACATGAGCTGTGTGTATCCATTCCCACAAGCCTTATAGCAGCTTGTGCTAAATACAAAGGCGGATTACTCATGCGTGGTGATAGTGACAAAGACAGCAACCTCAACGGCGCCAATCGACTGATGAGCGATGATTTAGCAAAACGAAGGATGGATGGTGATTGAGTTGCTAAAGCTGGAAGATAGGGAGACGGAATATGAGACCCGACATCTGTGTTTATATAGCAGGTGCTCGCAAAGGCTACAGCAACGAGGAAGCAGCGGTCAGCGTCCAAAAGCCTCGCAGCGGCCGCGATCGGCCCATCGAGCGGTGAGATGATGTTAGAGATCTTACTGAGGGACGATAGGTAGCGTCGTTTACAGGAAGAAGATATTACCAGAGTGACAGAAATCTTGCACGGTAGACTGAACTGCCATATGGTTGCTGCAAACTTACCCTCCTGTTATTCTCAAGTGTCGATGCATATCTTCACTCATAATGAACACTCTTACCGCTTCTGACAGCCTTGAACGTGGGCCCATCTACCCTTGGCCTAAGCAAACGAGCAGTCGAATATTCTCCCACCTGCTCGACAAACGATCAAACCAGAGGAATAGAATCAAATACCGGGACAGTCGTTAGAGCTTTACAGAGAAATTGCTTCAAAGTTCGCGAGACTGATGTAAAACACAAGACCTGCAGCACATCCACATGGGAGACATGGGTGTTGTCAGCGAACTGCGCAGAAGCATTGCATACACGTCCCGCTATGTTTCAGTAACTCATGTAGAAAATGCCACAATTGCAGCACTCACAATCCTGAAACTCTCGCCTAGGAGAAGCGCGTCCATTTCGCTGCATCGAGCTGTCCTATGCAATGCCATACAATCTCAAGTCGCGACAATTTGCAAGCCAAAGGATAAGAGTGCGGAATGATCACGAAGACGTGAAATGCAACGACAGTAGCTGCCGCCGGAAGAGACTAATGATGTGAGGATCTCTGACGTCCAGCGTTCGCCTCGTGATTAGCGCACTAGTCCGGATATGGCGTGGCTTTCTTTCATCACGCCCCCCCCAAACCCAGACAACATTCCTACTTTGACTTCAATATAGTTGCAGTCCTGTCTCTCTAGCAGACCGGCACATTTCGTGCTCATGTTCATCTTCTCGGTTGCTCCGAGATCAGCTCGGCAGCTTCATACAAGTTCGAGAATTAGAGCGTGTTGCACCTTTACTATGCTTTACCATGATTGTCTGGGAGCACAAGATCGAATGTATCCGCAATCACTACTTCTCAAAGCTACTCGTGAGTCTCTTCCTTTGACCATTCCGGCCTATGTTACCGACTGTGAGGTTGAGGAAGCCTTGAGGTAGATGTTACCTCGGCACGTACCCGGACGCGGAAGGCCTATCGATAAGGCGAGCTCTGAAGCTACAGTGCTACCATCGTTGCCTCTCTTTCAACCTCCGAACCTAACAATGTCTGCAAACATTCTCATTGTCGGCGCTGGCGCCATTGGAGCATTCTATGCATCTCGACTCGCAGTCATCTCTGGTGTTTCCGTCTCTGTCGTCTGCCGCTCCAACTACAAAGCTGTGAAGGCGAATGGCTTCCAAGTTACCTCACCGCAATACGGCGATTACACCTTCGTGCCGGCGAACACGTTTGCGAACCCAGAAGAAGCGCGAAAGAGCGACATACAATGGGACTACATAGTAGTCAGCACAAAGGCCTTGCCGGACGTCAGCGATGATTCGACGATACTTGAGGGGCTGGTCAGCGACAAGACAGCCATTGTGCTGATACAGAACGGTTTGGGTGTAGAGGAGCCATACGCGAAGCGGTTTCCACAGGCGGCAATCTGCTCGGCCGTCACGATAGCCACTTGCGCACAGCCCGAGCATGGCCAGATCAAGCACAACAGATGGACGCGGATAAATAGCGGACCGTACCTGCCCCATCTAGACACCGGAAACAAGAAGGACACCGACGCGCGCGTCACGGAGCAAAACGACGCGTTCATTGCTCTGCTGAGGGAAGGCGGTATCAAGGATGCCGAGGCCTACTCCCATGCTAAACTACAACTAGTCCGCTGGCACAAGATCGCCATCAATGCCTCGATGAACCCAACCTCCGTCCTCACCCAGTGTCTCCCGAACAACGTCATGTCTCTCGACCCGGAGCTGCAGCGCCATCTTAAAGGCGTTATGCTGGAGATTCTTGAGACTGCTCCCAAGATTCTCGGCGAACCCATGCCCAAAGAGTTTGCTACCCCAGACCAGATCATTCGGTCTACCCAGAAGAACACTAGTGGTAGCAAGCCAAGCATGGCGATTGACTGGGAAGCGGGCAAGAAGATGGAGATTGAGGTTATACTAGGTAATCCATTGAGGATCGCCAGGGACAGAGGGTTCGAAATGCCGCGCCTGCAGAGTCTGTATGCGATGGTCAGAATGGCGCAAGAGGTTAGAGACCAGAAGAAGGATGTCAAGTTGTGAGATAGCGGATTGCTTCTGTTGATTGTCTTTTCAATTGCTTCCTCCATGGCTTTCCCCATCTTGATGAAGCGAACTTTTTCGCAAACCGCAAACCACAAGTCGACAGGGGTAAATCAACAATCCAAAGCCCCCTCTGACCGCCTATCTCAATTTGTCGCATTGCATTGGAGACATTGATCTCGCCCTGATTCATATTCATACCGATCCCCGAGAAGAATATATATATGCAAACAGTCAGAAGACTGTCCACAACTCTGGTAGTCCTTCCCAAGATAGTAATCTCAGGACATGCGGGCACATCCGAAAGCATTGCACCCAGGTTGGCGTCACGCCTCTCGCATCACATGACTGCTGCAGATATCTCAAACATAGCGCGCTATTACAAGAAGTGGCCGACATTGAAGTGGAGGTAAACGCGGCATCTTTGCCATTTGCGAACCCTGACATACAGACAACAGTTGAGTCTTTTGTTATTGAACTGTCTCCAATATTATTTAACATAAAGCGTATTTGACTTTTCTGGCGACGCTGACTTTGGTACTACAAAAAGAGTGATCCAACATTGTGAGGGCCGAAGAACCGTGGTTCTCACAGTAGCAAACTGGATCCAAGTGAAGGCGCCTCTCACCAACGCTTATTGTTATCAACCGCAGACGATATATATACAGTTTGGTTTCTACTTCGCCCTACCGGTATTCTTTCACCACCAGTTGAACAGTCCCATAACTTTCCCTTCCACCCTCAACCATAACTCTCCTAATACACTAAGCACAACAACTATCACAACGACGACCAGCACTGCAAAAAGGATGAATAGATTCACCGAAGAGCAGTTGCAACAGCAGTGGAGATGGACGCGAATGACGCCACGTGAACAGCAGGAATACCGTGATCGTTTAGCTCAGCGTACTTCTCAACAGCAGTACGTACAGCCACAAGGGCATCAGCAGCAGGCAGCTGCCCGCCCAAATTCCCCCCGAGAAATTATGGACAGGGCGTTAAGTCACGATCAGTCAGTCAGTCATCCGCGACCTTCACAGCAGCAAGACGGGCGGCCAGAAGGACGACTATCCTCACAGCAGCAGCAGCATTCGCAACAACAATGGCAGTTGCGTCAACAACAGAATGCCCAACAGCGACTGAACCCTATGCAGTTCCCCGCACAGTCTTTCAACCCAACGCAACTTCCCAGATCCAGTAGTATGGCGCCTCCCCCAAATCCAAACCGTATTGGGGTCTTCTCGCAGGTTCAGGCCTCCACACGCTCAGTACCAAACGTATTTTCTTCGAACAGTTTATCCGGTGCAAATATCACTATGACTGGAAACGGCCAACGGCAACGCCAGAATGTGGCTCAGAGCGCATCTAAGCCATGTGCATCAAGCCCGCTATCTGCATCCTCCCCGTCTTCCACTTCGTCTAGGACTCTTTCACCCCAGAATGGAGCAACAGCACAAGCATCAATGACTGTTACCTCGCCCACTAAATACCAAAAGCCGTCGACACCTGGCGCCAACTCCCATATGCCTGCTCTGCCGCCGTCTACTACGCGAACGCAAAGCCCTGGATCGGCTCAAGTCACAGGTCGGAAACTTCAGGCAACAGGCGCACCTGAGGGTGCTAGGCCTGCAGACAAGCGGCCAAATTTGATGACACAATCTGTTACCGTCGGCCATACCACCTTCGCACGCCAAAACACCGCTACGCCTCATCAGTCAGGCGTATACCATCAAGCACACGGTGCCCCAAATGGCGCACCGAATGGCGTCGCTCCGACTATGAGGGATCCAAATTTGGAGCGCCGCGAGCAGCAGGCTAAACTTGATGCTAAGCATGAGGCAGAACTCCAACGCATACGGGAGCACCAAATTAGAGTAGCTGAACAAGCTCGCGTTGCGGAGGAGTATCAAGTCGCTCAAGCCGCCGCCCTTCAACGAGAGAAGGACGGCAAACGAAGGGAAGAGCTGCGAAAGGACCCCAGCGCAAACTATCGCCACATACTCGAGGTCTATAAGCTAATGCCGCTGAAGAAGGGCGAGTTGCCCAATAAATATCTGTTGGGACTGATCGCTAACCGACCGATGCCGATGGACCTTGACAGCGACCTTGCGCTCGCGATCACGTACGCTAAGGACCATTGGGACTACTACGGACAATGGCCCAAGGATGTAGCACGGTTTGCAGGTTATGAGAGAGAGAGAAGGGCCAAGAAGCTTGCTTAGAAAGCCGAAGAACCGAACAGATGTGGCAGACAGCCTAGCGATGGCAATACGTCGCATTTGGAGCGCTCGAAGCTCATCAAGCAAGCCGACGATACTACGATAGCAGTGGTAACTGGTGGCATTCCAGCCGATCACTCGCTATCGTACATTGAGGGGAAACTAATCTGGGGACTGCTACAAGCAGGATATATAACGTCACCCTATGGAATTGCTGAATGTTCCCTGTATAACGCCATCAAGGTCACGTTTCGTTAGAGCTCGATAACGCATTGGGTGTCCACTTGGTTTAGGAAACATCCAGATGCGGGTGGTATCATTATGGTATTGGTGTGGCTGGACCGCAGTTTGTCATCACTTGCATTATTTTTCGTCTACAAACTCATGTTACAATAGACAAAGAACAGTTCTACGTTACAAAAAATTATGACTGTTCACTTGCAAGTATTTCCTATGATTCGACCATTTGTAAACACTTCCTGTTGCTAAACGTAAGACGGAAGCTTGTTCTATAACTCTCCTAGCTCTCGTGACCATCGCCTACCACCTGAAAGTTGGAGAGTTTATACATAAAGGAAGATCCTTTCCAACGGTTATATATACGCTAGGAAACGTTCCATAAAATCTTTTAGACAATTCCGCGACGGCAATACTAATACCAAAGGGTACCTGATATCCTGCCTTTCCAGTGAATTGAATCATGATTGAAGAACCTCAGAGGTTCCTACCCTTAGCAGCCCCTTTCTCATGCTCCAATGGCGACTGATCTAGTGTATTTGAATCATATCTGAAGCAAAAAGGCAGTGCAATTGGAGCGACTTGGACTATAAACTGCGGAGTCTGGCTATTTCGCCATCCTTCTTACGGCATTAGCTGGGTGTGTCGTTTGCAGACGCGAATATTCCTTACTTAATCCACTTCACCTACAAGAGGCCAGGGAGTGAATAGTACTGCTAGTAGGCTAGCGAAAAACACTACATCGTGCACGCTTTCCTCCGATCGAGATTCCTCGCAACACCATCGACTTTTCGCTGCGACCATGTTCACAAGCAACGATTCTGAGATAGACGCTATGTCAGCTCCAACTAGTCACACTGACTCCTTGACCACACCCAAAGTCAATCGTCCTCATAAGAGGCGCCGTTCGGTCGAACTACCACAATCAGAGCGACATGCTCTCCGCCCTCGCGCCGATTCATCAAACGGACAGATCTCTCTAGCACCGAAGCGAGACAAAAAGCGATACTTGAACGATACCGCCGACAAACAAAAGGAGAGCGGAGTCCATAAAGCTAAACGCCAGCGCACCTCTGGCGTATACGACTCTGCTCGTAACAACGAGATACGTCGCCCGCCAGATCAGGAAGAAACGCGACAGCAACCGAAGCAAACCATAGGGTGGTCTGGCACTGATATCATTGTACCCAGACGAGATCAACGCGTAGGCATTGTTACGTTGCAACCCGTGATCTTCGGCGTTGCATCTTCTCCGCCAAATGCTTTGCGATCATTCAAGCTCAATGGACACCTCACACCTGCACAAAGCCCTCTCGTACCTCAAAATCCTGCGTCTCCGCCTTTCACTTCCTACAATTCTCTCGAAGGCGGCTTTGCTAGCCTATTAGATGACAAGGAAAGTGTCCTAAAGAACTTTGTAAAAACCAAGGAGGAACTTTTCAGGAAGCCTGCTGCAGGCGACGTCAAGGAAACTCCAGCGCATAATCCACGTCGCAAGAAGGCCTTTGATGTCTGGAAAGACGTATCACTGCCGTCTGATATAATGAATCCTATATCCAAAGCTCCAGGACTGATAACTGATGTCGTTGGCACCCAAAAACGTGAGGCAAGGTTGAGAGAAAAGCCATGGGAGATCGGTCAGGAGCCCGGCGCTATAGCGAGAAGACGGTGCAAGAGAATGCGAGTAGAGGAGGGAGAACACTATCATCCCAACATCAAGAACTTCAGATTTTCATGCAAGCGAAAAGCTGAAGATGATCTTCGAGAAGGCAGTTCCAAGAGGGTAAAGATGCTAGGCGATCAGCCTTTTCCTTTAGTAGGGAATCGTGAGAGTCAATCATCGCCAGCACAGGAATTCACTTCTGAGTATTTCACTGAGGTCGCAAAACCGCTACCTTCGGAGAATTTAGAGACATTACCCGATTCAGCAGCGTCAGATCAGAAGGATCCCCTGATTTGCAAAGACATATACAGTCTGTCCAACGCGCAACAAATACCAGTTGCTGAACTGGAACCTATAATCAACCACGAGTTTTCTCTTCCCAGGGTCGACAACAAGACCTCTACCAGGAAGTCTCAGACATCCGAAGATGATGGGAAGGTCTCAAGACTCGGAAGATCCGCATCTCTAGGCCTGCAATATACAGCTGATGAGCCATCGCCATGCCAAGAATCTTTTACGGACGATGAGGTGGCATTCAGGAATCTCAACAATCACAGAGCGCTGCCACCAGCTGTTGGAGGTGTTGTTGCATCTGAAGCATCGCCAATAATCGTGCCCACAGTTCCATCATGGATTGCTGAGGGTTCGCAATACTTCATCAGTATAGACGTAGCCTGTAGCGAAGGTTATGATACTGAACACCCCAGGAGCTACGAGCATTATCTTGCCCAGTTCACCGCTCGGCCTGCATTTCCTCGAGCAAAGGAATAAGAGTATCCCCCAATGCCAGAGATGTTGGATGTTGAGATCATAAACCAGCGGTTGAACTGGGTGGTTCATAACGATGGCGAAGCTCCCCGTCTTCTAAGAGAATTGCCAGTACCTCCATTCCACATTGATTCAAAACTGGCTCGTTGTGTCCGTTTTGCGCAGTCAGATTCACAAAAACGCGTTGATAGGCGAGTTTACCCCAATCACGTTGCTGAGATACTTCAGCGTACCAACTTTTACGGAATGGAGTTATTGATCAGCCGGGGGTTAATGCGCATATAGTGCCCTCCAACCAAAGGTGAGTTTGAGCTAGCTATGGCGACTCGGCTCGCACATGCGTCCTTTGGGAAAGACCCAGTCGTCTACGTTGCGGCCGACGTACGAGCCTTAGCAGATTATCTGGTGGTAGATATCCCTTCAGCAATGAGCTTTATCCCGAAAGAAGAAAAGGACCACTTCAGCGATTTTAGCAAGTTTTATAGCGTGAAATTTGGGGAGAAGAACCCTCCTTTCGATGCTGTCGGTCTAGCGACATGGCGTTTCCTACTGGAAGGTGAGCTGGGCCAACCTTCACTCAAGGCTCAAAGCCTACGATACGTCATCGACTCTATCGAACAGCAAACCGCTCAAGTCCTGAGTGACAGAAAGAATTTACAGTCTCTGGTTGACGAAGCATCTGTTGAAGATGTTCAACCAAAGAACAAAGATGTAACTAGCCGCGATTCATGTCGCGGCTCAGATCATGGTCTGAATGGTGAAAATCTCGAAGATGGTTTTGGCTGGACCATCGGTAAGCGCAACGCGGACATCTGGAGCCTAGACTGCATCCAAGCTTGGGAGGACTTCACGGCTAGCCTGGATTATCAGTCGGAAAACCAAGGAGCTGTTAGGAGTTTTTCAGGTTCCACCTACGACAGCGTGGCTGAAGGAACCCTCCAATCGATGGCGGACTTGTACTCGTCGCATACGTTCTCGTCTAATCAGTATTCGAATATCCCATGGAACTCTGCGCAAGACGTCAGCGCATTAAGCATAGACGATATTACACCTGTGACTCCCACTGTGGAGTCATTCTATCGTCAGAAGACTGGAACTCCGTTCGACGACGAGATAGAGACGAACGAATGGCTGTGAAGGTATGCCGTTCGAGACCCTTCATTGAAGAGACCGAATACGCGATATCAAGCGTTGGCTTCTTTATAGTCGGGCTCACCAATCGCATACTTTCTAGAGTTTGGTTTCGTGTGGGTCGCGGTTCAAAGACGGAAGTCGTGATTGGCTTGCGTTCGCTACCGTGAAAGACAGATGGATGGGGATGCCACGATCGGTACATGGACAGCAGCCGTAGAGCCATCGGAGAGGACCGATGCGATAACCCCACGGAATATGGTAATCAGATTCCATAGATTCGATGGCTAGCAGTGGCCGATTGGAGTGCTTTAGTAGCAGATCTTGGTAGCATGACATGCCAACCTTGGATAGCCTCATTGCCCACAGCAGCCTTGGAGTGTTGTAGGAGGAGAGGGAACCAATTTCTGAGAGAAGTAAGACTGTTAAAACCACGGCGATTGGGAAAGGATAACAGTAACAGAGTAACAGACACATGTCGCTCAACTGTACTTACCACTTCTTTTTCTCCCACTACATCTTTAACGAGACCGCGTCACACCTCCTCTACAAACAAAGCCGCAAGATATCGCATCACATCAAGTATTCAAGAAAGAAAAGATACGATATGCCTAAAAGTGCACCAAAAAGCAAGAACCCAGTCGGTCGTCCACGCAAAGATGGTCTCCCAGCGGGCTATTACAAACATAAGAAAGTCGCCCAAGCGCACTCGACAGCGCTCAATGCAGCTGCCTCGGAGGGTACTGAACAAATTGAGAGAAGACCTCGCTGCCGACCACGCAAGCACGATACCTTGTCGGGTTCTAAGTGGGTTGCGAAGGCGTCGGCCACAGCGCCTGTCGTCCAGCCGGCACCACAAACAGCGTCTGGAGATTCGCTATCTCTATCACCATCACTACTGCCATCATGGAACATTCCTTCTAAGAAAAATATCGATACAAGACATAAACCAAAAGCAGGGTCTTTCACCGATCCTGGAATCGACGACTCTTACGATACACACGTCTCTACTCCTTCAGGCACGGCGACGGAGTTTGATGATGATACAGATGAACGAGATGGAGACACAGAAGACACAGATATGGAGATGCTTAGATTGGAAGGTACTGAAAGGATACTAAGCAGATATAGACTTGACGAGCAGAGGAAAATGTTTCCGCTGGTAGAAGCTGAGGACGATCCACCAACGGAGGAAGAACTAAAGGTACAAGCACAAACGGAAGAGCAAAGACGAGAGGCATCACATCAACGCCAGAAGAAAATGTGTGAAGCTCACGACTGTTCCAACCCGAATTGCCGGTTGAATCATGTCAGGAGAGCGAATCTGGACTTTTTCTTGCAAGGTCTCGACCAGCGTATAAGTCAATTAGACGAGCTCACAAGCCAGCTGCACGAATTTGGGGAGGCAGTTGCAGAGACAGCGGCGCCAATACGCGATGTGACAGCAGTAGAAGGAGGAGCGCCATCCGCGTATGTCATGGAAACAGAACCGAACCATGAAAGCGAATTTGAGACATTATTTTCTGCTATCATGCAAGGTCGTGTGGAGGAACCAGACACGTCAGCCTAGAGAAGAGACTTTCTCGGGAAATTCTCGTTGGCGCTGCCGTTCTTTGGATGCTATGATATAAGGAACCTAGATTGATGTTCAAAGCAGAGGTGTATAAATTATTTGTGTGTATGACTTGAAGAATGAAATTACTATGAGTTTAGTTATCGAAAACAGACCGACATCCATGGTGTAGCGCATGTATGAAGTGATGACGTTTTCCTTGTCCAGGAGGCCAATTTCCAGGGCGGTGCGTGGCAGGCGAGGTGCCGGCGCGATCTCGTTTCGTGGGGCGACCTGATCGCTGAGCGATCCCACACAACTCGTCGACTTCGCAAGAGCAGATGCAATAACTTGGAGTAGCATTTGTGCTCGACGAAGCGTTGTATTCAGAAGCGAGCGTGGGCGAACACAAGGAGACGTGCGCTGGTTTTGATCTGTCGTGGTGAGTTTCCACCTCAGACCAAGGCGAATGGCAAGCTCCCCACCGTCATGTGGCCGGATAATCTGGACTTTGTGGTGTGTGCAGCAAACAAGCGCTCTAACTGATCCCATGTTATGAATTCTATTAAGTCTCTTTCTACGCTGTCTGGCTACCACAACCTCTACAAATGTTTATATTCTGCTCGAGGACACGTGACTCGAACGTTCGGTAGAGCGCAACATCCATCACTCTCTTTCTTCATTGGTGCATGATACTTTGAACTCTTGGAATTGTGTTTAGTCTTCTAGGAGCGCACCTAAAGTTGGCGCACGATCTCGCAGTTCTAGACATACTCGTGGGACGCCGCATCCGAGAACCCTATAGAAGAAGCTACTTGCTGACCACTGTTAGCACGCAAATAACTTGCACCCTTTCGACCACTAATTTCTGATCAGATTCCTCCTCACTAAATCAGCTCGCCATAAAACTGCCGCCCTAACTCCAGAACCTTCCAGGCAGACTATGGCACCTCCCACAGATCAATACGACTCCTACCAAGTTGTCTCGGAGCTCCCTCTTATCGCCAGAGTCGTTGTCGTTCGAGCCTACACCCCACACGGATTCTAATCTTGATCGACAATGCTCGCCAAACAGACAACCGCGTTGTACGTTCCCACAACTATATTATTTGCTCTCATTAGATCATAATCACCGACAGTGTGTAGAACGGGCGCATATATCGAGCGACTGCCGCTGGTGATACAAATCATACAATGGTATCGCCAGTGATGCAGCCGGCTGTTCCTGTTCTAGCCAACCATGTCCCACTAGAATAGGTAAAGGAGCTCAGCTGTCGCGCGGTGTTACGTGCGGTCAAATTATTGTCACTCGAAGATATCGTAGTGTTTAACAATGCTGACTAGGACGCTGTAAATAAGGTAGTATATCGAGATACCCTCCTACAGGACCTAGATTAGGATATCAGACTGTACATGGCCTATCAAACAAGAAAACAGGCTTTGCCGAAGGGACTATCCCTATTAATATCATCCTGCCAATGTACTTCGCAGCGTCTACTACGAGTCGGGCCCTCTAGCACCCTCGCAAAGAACTGTCCGTCTGCATGCGATTATCCATCAGCACCCGGCTTCAGACACTGCAAATTCTATGTTAAACGGGCGACAGCTCGACTAGATTACCCATCTACAGAAAAGTAGCAAGAAGAGTTGAAATAGTTACGAGAATCTGTTAAGACACTAGACAACCTTTAGCTAATCAACACGGAGTTTACTATTCTTAAATACGCCTGCTAAGTCGCCTTCAAGGTCTGTATTCGTAAGTACAGTAGCGAGGTCATATTGTGTTGCCCTTTAGATTATAATAGTGCTACTGTTAATTAATTATTCAGCAGGTATTATTCGCTATGCCCTCTAGGACATTAATTCCACGAAGCAAGTGAGGCTAGATACGTATAGTTCTTGCTTATTCGTTTAATTCTCTTACATTACTAAGAATCCGGGCTTGTTCCTCCCGCATCAACCTAAACGGCAAGGCATAGGGCACTACATTCACTTAAATGCGTCGAGTCTTAATAAGAAAAGGCTTTAACCCAGCAACCCATGCTATCATTTTATACGCTACAACAATTAATATGCAGATTTTCTAGAAGATACTAGCTGGTTTAGATTAGCTATTCGTCGCCTCTACAGCGAAAGAAGACTTCTGTCTAGGAAAAGAGAAGCGGATAAGTTTACAACTAGTAAATGTTTACTATCTCGCTCAGAACATAATAAAAAGCAAAACGTACAGACTTCAGGATGTATATCGTTATTTGTACGGTCTTGAAAATATAGAAATACATCGGGCGGATGTTGATACAATGATCATGCTCAACGTAGTTCGAGCGCTCGTGGCTTTGTAAGAGCAGTATATTCACTAGACTCAACCAAAATTGTGGAAGAGGCAAATTTCATTAGAGTACACTAGAGGCAATGTTGGAAGCGTAATGTAGATACTTTTATGACATGCAAAAATCGTAACGTAAGCCTAGTGCTTCCAACAATACTAGTTATCGTCTCGCTTATGTAGACTGTCCCACTATCACCGCCATCGTTTTGCATCACCGTAGCCATTGCGACCATGATATCCGCCACCATACCCGTTTCCGCCACCGCGATGTTCATCGTAATGGTTGTCGTGATACCTATCGTTATATCCGCCACCACCACCATGTCGTGGGCGAACTGAGCGGCCGTCGCCATTACAACGACCGTCACCAGCCTCCTCTTCCGCTCTCCTTTTGTTGAACTCATTTGGGCGAGTGCTGTGAGTCGCAGACCTAGGGAAATATGTTTCTTCTGTCATGCCCTTTCGTATCATGCGTGAGGGGACATTGTGATCACCCTTTGCGATTCCTCGGATCGCATTTTGACGTAAACCTACTAAAGAAACTAATCGCTCGTGCTCATACGCGTGACCAAATTTGCAGTTCTCATTGCGGCATTCCGCGTTCTGGTTCAGCGATTTGCAATTCGGTCGTACGTGAACCACTTCGCGAAGCGGTCCTTCGTCTCCCATCGTCTCCCTGGTGAAATGTATCACATCGTAGGGACATGGTGGTCCGCCATCGATCACATTCTTCTTGTAAACATTACATATGTGTATAGACTGGCAGATACTAGCTGTTTTAGATCAGCCCTTCGTCGCCTCTACGGCGAAAGAAGACTTCTGTCTAGGAAAAGAGAGGCGGACAGGTCTACAACCGGTAAATGTCTACTACCTCGCTTCCAGCATTGCATTTGGTGTGTTCTGATGAAATTTGCCTTTTCCCCAATTTCGGTTGAGCCTGGTGCTTCCAACGATAGGTATCGTCTCGCTTAGACTGTCCCACTATCACCGCCATCGTTTTGCATCACCGTCACAACGCTCCCCATTGCCTATGGTGTAGCAAGATGTACAATCAAACCTAAATAGACGAGAGAGGTCTACTCACGCCTCCCGGATCACCATTGTCACTATTGTTGAGAGAGCCCATGTAAATGTGGACGAAACAGTCATCACCGCGATCACACAGACTATGTTACTGACAGGATATACATTCTTAGTCCCGAATGAAACACCAAACAGTTGGAAAAGGAAAAACCGAAACTAGACTCGACCGATAGCCCATGTATTGCTGCTTGCTACACATACATCAAAACGTCAGGGCATTTTACCGTAGCCAACCATCACGCTGTCAGCCAGTGTCACCTGTATATATGTCAACGATGCCAGACATCGAGAGGTGTTCGACGGACCGCTCTGCCATTCACCAACACACGTTAGTCATCTCGCGGTTGCCGTGCGTGCAACATGGAAATTCTCTGGACGTCACCGCGGGGCTGTATTGGCGACATCGGCTCCTGCTGTCGCCTTTAATCAGAATTTGCAGAGGCGTTATGAGCGAGGAGCAGAGCCCTTTCCATCAAGCTGACTCTTTGCGCCCTTTTTACCGTTCATGTGGACAACCCCCAAGTGTGGGGTATCAGTTAAGGCCTGAGTTCCTCCAGCTACATTGCCGATTCCGGTTTCTCGAAGGGACTAGCCTTGGTGTTCCGATTTTGAGCGTTATTAAAGCAGCAATTCAGCGAATGACCACGTCGACGCGCTAGAACAATCTCCGAGCGAGAATCTTGTCTTGTCTTGGTACAGCTCTAAGCTAAGGTCCCTTCCTATGTACTCATCAGATCGGCTTCTACCATAAGCGTGTCTCGACTTGCACTATCGACAAAACCAAAGTTGGTTGACAACTTCCTTGAATTATCTGTTTGCTTTGTAAGATCTCGCGAATAACCAAATCCAGGAGCTAGTTTGCTATTTGTAAGTATCAACTTCAGTGGCCTCGAAAAATTGAAGAAGCATTGGCGCACTCCGTCGACGGATGCTGTTTGCTCTTGATAAGCTGTGCTAACGCTCACATCCCAGATCAGCATGCCGAAGCAACCAGTAATCAAGAAAATTCCTTCGAAGAACAAAGACGGCTCAGACCGCAAGTCTCCTTCCTCTATTTTCGGTCCGCACGCAATCACAAGATACCTCCGCATTCCACAAACCGGCAATATCACCGGTGTGGAGCATACGGTGTTCCTTCCTGAGCTACTCCGAACTCCTGGCGTCCTTTATCGCTTCATTCAGAACGGCGCTGATGCTCAAACTTTGGCCAGGATCTCTGCATGGTTTCGAGCCACGGTGAAAGATCACCACACTCCCGCGACGGCTGCCAACGCCATGCGTCACATCACTCAAGCGACAATGCGTGATTATCTTCAAGAAGAGAAGTGGACCGAGACTCGCCACAAGGCTGGTCGGTACAAGAAACCTGGGCAGGCTTGGGACCACGAGAACTTGACATTCGTCGGCGTCCAGAATTACTGCGAGGATAACACTAGGGAGGGCCGTCACAAGCGACCGCCTGTTCCCAATGTCCGTTTTGCGTTGCTAGCGATTGATGTCGTGGTCTTCCCCTCTGGCGACGACGAGCTAGATCTGACCCGATATGTCAAGGCAGCTGCCGCTAACGAGGACTTGGCTCTAATGTTTCCACGCGACTATGGCTTCCTCACGCGGCTCTTAGGTGGTCCCCAGTCTGTGAACCCCGATCATCGAGACCGCGAACTCTTTAACCGCTGGAGGCAGGTCAGCTGGGTCGAGACGCCTTCTGAGCACCAGGCCAATACTTCCCAGGAAACTAGCTACTATAAGTTCACAGCGGCGCAGAAGGCGGCGACCGAAAAGTATCTTCAGAAACATGCTCTTACTGAGCAATCTGCTCTTGATGCTGCCAATGACCCTGTGGATATGCCAATTCAAGATCCTCATGACTTCGACATTCCCTCCGCCAATAGCAATCAGTCGCCCAATAACTCTCTTCTAATCGCCCTGCCTATAAACAATTCCGCCGTCGAATTGGCGCGCATCTTGTCTGAGATGGATGAGAATGACATGGACATGCTGTATGTCAAGTGGCTCGTCGCTCACGGAACTTCTTATTTTGAAATCCGTAAAGAGATGACGACTACCTCTGAAGTCGTGCGTCGTTATCTCGAGCATAATCGCAGTATTCATGGCCAACTACCGCCTATTTCAAATGAAGCCTCTGTCATGATGCCTTCTTCTGGCGCTCTCAGCAATGAGATTATCGCTGCTAGCTATGGATCATGGCCTTCGTCTCCGACGAATTGGCATGTCACTCACTACGACCACCCTGCTACGTCTTTTGGAGTTAATCAGGTTGATACTGAGATGCTGAAGTCTTCTAGCCATGAGATTCCTGGTTATATCGGCCCAAAACACGGTATGAGGTCTCCTCGAGTTGGCTCGGAACACGCCAACTTTGACTCATTGGATGATGTCAGTTGCGCTTTCGCACAAGACACACTTTGAGCTCTAACCGTTTCAGTTTCGCAACCCGTTCGGCAGCCTCGTGAAGAATGCGGCTGATGATTCAATCGTTGTTGGATCATACCGCGTTAGACTGTGAATTGGACACTGATCTCCCGGAAGATTGGGATGTTTGAGAATCTGTTTCATTGAGCCTGGGTTTCGATGTGACCGGAGCGTTTGGAAGGTCAGCGAGCATGACATGGTGCTTTCGATAAGACTCCTTGGAGGAGCTGGGCGTCTTGTACAACTTTTGCATCATACCCTTGCCTTTGAATTCAGGTAGCCTGAAGACGTCTGCACTCAGTATTCCAGTATCTCATCCGATACAACGTGGCATAGTCAGCAAAATCTTGTCCTGTGTTGTCTCTACGTTTCGTTACAATACTCAGAACATTTCGGAAATATTCTTCGTTTCCGATATCTCTTCGATTTCCGCTCAAGCTGCTGTCTAACTGAGCACCCAATTGTTATGATAAGATGTCTACGCTAGGCCTCGTGCACTATCGTATGTGCGTACAGATACAAGATGCGCAATGTTCCCAAGATTTCGCTGCTGCTTGCAACTCGAAGACGTAGTCATACGATGTGTCATGCAATTCGAATGATGGAGAGGGTGCAACAATACATTACACGTTGGTTTTCGACCAAGCGCACTAGTGAAGTGACACTGTCATCTCCAGTAAAGGTATGCTGCAAGGAGATGTTGTTCTCACTTTCATGTTTTCAATTATGTGCCTAAATGTAGATCCATCAAACATGAATACAACGATGCACAGGCTACAAAGCGAGATTTAGCTCGGAGAAAACCGGAGCACGATGCGCAGCCTTTTACTCAGTACCGCCAGTCACCGACCAAATCACATGCCGTCTCTGATAACCTCCTCACTAACCCATCCAATCTCATGCCTATGCGCCGTGATACACTCAAGGAAATAGTCATACTCCGTCCAGATGCTACCAAACATAGCGAACTGCTGCTTAGCCCAACGAATGTTCTCGGCCCAGTCACTTGTATCGTTCCGGTAAGGCTGGCTCAGCAGGTGAAGCTCGCGGAATGGGGCGTGGCGGCGAGGGCCATTGAAGCGGGCGTAGTCATACGCAGACGCGTACATGGCTTCCATAGAGGTGTGTGGGGGAGAGGAATAGAGGTAAATACTGTAGTCGTCGATCCTAAGGCGGCCTTCAGAGAGGACAGGAGGTGTGAGATAGATCGGTTCACGGTTGAGATACTCGCGCGCAGCATCCATTACTTCTGGGGCGTAATGGGTAGTCATGAATGACGGCACCCCCCGCTGTCGCTGGGCTTTCTGAGGTGACGGGCCAATACTAATCCAACATTAGCGCGATATCTTGTGACCGACTACTAGAGAACATGTAATCGAGCTAACAGAAACAGTCTGAGTGGGGACTTACCCAGGAACTTTGAGCTTCAATGGTCGGCGCTCAGGTACGAAAGCAGCTTTGATGTTGGATCTAGCCTTACGCGCAGCAAGGCGACCGCGAGATGTACGGACCGGCGAAGCAGCTTCTTCAACATCACTCACGTTGTCTTCGGGAATGTCTTCGTCAGGCTCTGACTCGCCTTGCACAAACTCATCATCATCGGTAGATGAATTGGGAGTGAGCGGCAGACGGGACAGCTTCCGTTTCTTTGGGGGAGTGTTGTAGGGCGAGTCGGAGTAGTCCTTGTCCTGGAACCAATGTAAGCAACGTCTTCAAACACCATCGTCGCTGAAGTGAATCTCAAGCATACCGCGACATCTATTTCAGACTCTTGAGTGAAGTTGATCTGCCTACCGACGAGCCTACTGCTCCTCCTCTTGTTGCCATCCAGCACTTTTCCCAGACCATCTACAGCACGCTTGTTGGGTGTTGCCGACATCGAGATAGCAACCGAGTCGATATCGCGAACAAACGTTCTGTTGATGCTGCGTGGGGTTCTGATCTTGCTGTTTGGTGTCTGACCTTTACTGGGTGTAGACTTGACGGATGAAAAGACGTAGTTGTCGTGACGAGCAAATACTTGCCTGTCGTGGTGAGCGAGAGTGACAGTCGCCGGACCGCCGAGGTGAGCAATGAGACGCTGAAAGTCGGTGGGAAAGAGCCACTTTTCCTCTTCGTGCTCGATAGCGTATTTCACACAGCGGGTAAGGTCGAGTGCGTCATCGCCAGACGGATGTTCTTTCACATGTAGCGCGAGGACCTTGAAGTCCAGCGGCTCACAATCCTCGTTGACTTTGACCTTTTTAGGAGTAGCAGTAGTGACAATCTTAGGGTGGGTACGGTTGGGTGTACGGAAGTTCGTTACGCTGAGGTCGTCTTCAGGTCTCGGGATCTCGCGCTCATACTCCGAGTGCGACCCAAAAGTCCAGTCCAGATAGCCTGCGCGTCGCATAGCGTACTTGATCATGACCATAGCAGAGTTCGGCTTGAATTCTTGGCCTAATGGCTGGACCCTAAACTCGTTGATCATAGCGGCGAGGTGGCCAGCTTTCGCGCCATGTACAACAAAACGGTCGACAACATCTATGGACTTTAGCCAGTGTGGGAGGTACGCCAGGATCTCGGCAGCGGTAAGGTTGCCGTCTGGGAAAGGTAGATTCCAGCTCGGGCAGTTCATGCCAAAAGCATTGTTTTTAGCAATGGAGGCCATGTCGACTGATTCGATAGTCAGTACAAGATTCGCTGAGCACACGGAAGAGCTAAATGAATGGATTGTGTAGAAAGAAACTGTATGGGTACCAGGAATCGCGAAGGCTGCCTTACTCAAAGTGGATGTGTGCAAGTGTTGGCAAAAGTCGACAAGCAGACTGATCGCCGCTGTTTCCTGACTATCAATCCGGGGAAGTGCTCAATAGCTAGGGACTTCAACTTTCCAAGAAATGTTGCAGAACACCAGAAATTTGGTACTTCGGCGAAGCGGGGTGTAGCTAACTCAAGCGAAAGTTGCTCCAAATGACGCTCGGACCGGGCGGAGTGGCTGTTTTGTTGATTTTACGATGGCCATAACAGAAATGCAAGGCACGCTCTAGTTACCACGTGCACTTTCCCACAACCAGCACGGGGACCAACCCTCACGAATGCACGGTGTATGTGTTCGTAACGATGGATCCTCCGCCATTGTCGAAAACGTCGTCCAAATATCTTGCGGTTGCACCGCCGTCTCTTGGACATCTTCCATTTCCGACTATAACGACTCTCCACGTTGGTAGCGCAGTGGCGTCGGCAGCCGGGCCACCTATGCTTAAGCCACGACCGAAAGCAAAACCACGCAACGGACATTATGGATACGGTCTTGGTCCAAGAGCGCGTCCAAGGTACCTCCTCTTTTCAGCGCGCGCGAACATTACAGCCGTTGAGCTCCTAGCATATCTCCCGAACAGCGTGCACTGCGGCGATAACGTATACCGCCTGAATACGAACGGCGCATCTCCACATCTGCTGTGGTCAATAGTAAACACACACCGAGATCTGTTGGTGGAGTGGAATCAGAATACCTGTCGTCAAGCCATCAATGAAACCATGCATAGAGCTGGACATAAGAACTGGCGGTTTAAGGCACACAAGACTTTCCATGAAAGGAGAAAGGCGACCTGGGACGAGAGCAATCTGGATGTCACAGGGCATCTAGCATCCGGACCAGGCGGTGCGAAGAAGACACCTGCGAGTGACATACCATTCAAGAACCTGACCGTGGACGTGCGACGTGAATCTCAAGGTTATGACGCGCTGGATTTGACACGAATGGTCGAATATTGCATGAATAATCCACACGAACCATGGTTTTACCCTCGCGACTACGATGCGGTGTTGCGGCTTGTGGGCGGCGCAGTTCCCATTCGACACGAACATAGCGATCGCCAGGCGTTCAGGCGATGGACCGAGGTGAGCCGTCCACCACCACTGAGCGCGTCGACAAATTCCCTGCTTGTAGTAGATGGAAGAAACAAAAAAGGCAGAAGGGAGAACTCGGGTGGCATCGTGGGAGATATATTAGCATTGAATAAACGGAAGAGAACAGACACGCTGTTAACAGCAACTCCATCAATGTGCGAGACAATAACACCAAAGACACAGCAGGGGAGCAAGAAAACTAAAGGCAGGCTAGAGAGAATGGTAAGGATTGAAGAAGAGCAAGAGTTCGCGAGAATTGCTCCATAGGACGAAAATGTGATGACCCAGGCTAGTCAATACCTTCTGGCGACAGCATATGTCGCACCTCCGGGAAAAGCGATCATGCCTTGGGAGGTAGCAGCTGAATCAGAGGACGAAGCAATTGAATTAGCGTTCGCACGCGGAGGTCCAGTGGGTGAGAGTGGTCCGCATAGCGCTTATGCTTTTGTTGGCCCTCGTCGCTCCCCACCATATCGACAGCTCTATCGCATCGATCTTCCAGATCCAGCAGATATAAGCGCATGTGCAGAGAATCTGCGGTGGGCGTTTGCGCAAAACACGCTCTTCCGCTACCCATGCCGCCCTGATGCCTGGAACGAGAGTCCGGAACACATGGAGTGCATCGTGCAGATTCGGGGCGATCGGGGCTGGAAGTCGGATGAGTTACTCGCTAAGGAAGAGAAGTAGCGGGTGAAAAATGCGACGATGTTGAAGTCGAGAGTGGCTTTAGCCTGGCTGTTTGACGGGGTCAGGTTGATGACAATAGTGTTGTGTCATGTTGACCGCACGTCATGCACATTCATAGCAGCGGATGCGCGCCAGGAAATAGTGCCGTCAGCTCCTAGCTAAGCAGATATCAATGAGATTGTAAGACCCGATGCGTAGTGATGAGGACGGTCATCTGATGGCTTCGCTATCAGTGTCGCTGAGAGTGATGATAGAAGGAAGAGGTGAGGTACCACGGCTCCGCAAACCTCAGGCTGGGCGTTTCGGGCAAGCACGGACTAGCGTCGATCATTGTTCCGACCGAAACGAACATCGAACACCTTCCAAACTTCTTCACCCCATCGTGACAACCATCGCCCTTGCATTCGCTTGTTTCACGAGAATATGGCTTGTATACGTTGTTGCACGGCGCCACAGTGGATCGGAGGCTGAAGTTCCCGACGCGTACACCGTCACAGAAGATGAATTAGACACAATGACAGGTAGTAGGTTGCGAAACAGCGGAAGCTTTTCGAACGAGTACGTGAGATGTGGAAAGGTATTTAGATGCGAAAGGACCTCTCGCGGTTCGCCTTTCAAAGCTCTTGCTCTACACAAACCATCAGAAACCACTATACGAGCCGGTCTCACCTAATACACTCTTTACGAACCGACACGAACGCGTCCGACGACCTCGCACCAGCAACGCTCTTGTACACCTTGAATCTAAGGCGCTTTCGCGAACTCCAAATACTCCCACCATGCGCTACTCTACCATCATCACCGTCGCGGTCGCTTTCGCCCCAGCGGCACTCGCACAAAGCTCGTCGGCCACCATCACATCAATGGTCCCGATGATGTCTCCCTCGGCGCCTCCCGTCACAATGGCTTGGAACAACGAGCCCAGCGCAACAGATAAATCAGCTCTTGCATCAAAAGCTTCGTCCATGAACTCTGCTATGGAGTCGGCAATGTCTTCCATGTCAATGAGTATGCAGATGGAGAGCGGCATGACAATGTCTAACGGTATGGTCATGGCCACAGGCAGTGCTCAGGCTGCTATGGGCAACTTGACCGGTAGCGCCAGTAAGATGGAGGTTGGCGGTGGTGTGGCGATGATGGCAGCCATCTTGGCTATGCTCTGAACGGATTGCATACCTTTAAAGGCTTGTTGAAGCGTGCAACAAAGGCTTGATCAGCTCACCGTCGCCATGTCGGCCTTCTGCTTACCTGGCATTCGTCTTTGAGAACTCAGTCTCCCTGTCGGATCTTTTCCTCTTTTCGCAAATACCATTTGTACAATAAGACCTAACGTCATTTCTTCCGTGTACCATACAGTCTTCGTTGTCTCACGTTCTATACAGAGTGCAAGCTCTTTCAAACCTGCAAGCCAATTATGCTGACAGCGATGGCGAGCTAGGCGACTTCACACCACAATATGTTCATAACTCACCCATCCTGGTCGTATTGAAAATCGCAGTAGTTCAGATCATTCCAATAGTATGGTACTTCAGCACACTTCCAGGACGTTCAGAGAGATCTAGTAAAAGTCCGATGGGATCGAACAGTGCTCGATATATGAACGAGAACGAATCAAGAGGCAGTCTGAAGCTAAAGAATTTTCATTATCATCAAATGATACCCTCATCTATCAACTACGGATAACAAACACTAAAGACTGGTCCTACAGTCCAGACCTCGGGCCTTCGGTCTCAAGAGTAGCACCAGGAAAGTTGATTCCATAATCGAACATACTCCTGCCCGCCGGTACGCCCTGGCAGCCACCGCCCAGATCCTTAAGCGGCTGCAACGCCGGTCCAAGACGAGTGTTAACCGCATCTAAAGCAGCATTTAGGACAGCTCCTCCAAGAAGCTTGCTCAAGAAAGAAGGGGTATCCGCTTGCACAGTCTGCGCAATAAAGCAACCCATCTTCTTCGGGTCATTTAGATCCTCTGCGAGGTTGATGAACCCGCCGGTGATATCACCCAAGTTGACGCCCGAGAAACTGTTCACCGTGCCTGTGTTACCGCCGACCTGGCAGTTCAATGGGTACGCAGCGCACTGTTGTGCGGTCGAGATGCCAATGTCTGCGAGCGTCCACGGGTCGAGTGGGTGGCGCTTGTACCAGTTGTCTGGGATGCGCTCGTAGCCGTACTTGTACGTCAACGTACCGCTGGAATCGCGCTTGTAACTGAAGAAATCCATGAATACGTCTTGCGTCAAGAAACCGCGCGGTGCCTCGGCGCTGTGGTTCGCAAGCAACTGGTACGCGAACATGTGCGCACCAAAAGTAAAGGCAACACCAGCGTACGCCGGACTGAAGTAGAACGGGTTTGTGGCGATGCTGTGTTTCTTGCGGTTGTTGGAGTGCTCAGCGAGGACGCGGGGTGTGATGTTACCCCCCGTACGTGCGTTCGCGAGATCGAAGAGCTCCTGCATGTATTGCGGGTAGGAGCGACAGTTGGAGTTCATTTCAGGTGCCAACCAGTCACCACGAGTTATGCTGGCATCGCCCTCACTTCTGAGATGACCGTATGCGCAGATTCCCGTTTCATTGCCGAGTGCGTCGCCAATGAGTGGGGGAAGGGAGCTGGTCTTGTCGGAGTGGGGACCGATGCTCCAGCGGCCGGAGATGGGGTCACCGTTGAAGAAAGCGGTCGCAGTCTCTAGGAAAATAGTAGCCGTCTTGTCGAGCCCGAAGGCTTGCCACAGACCGGTGTTGATGCTCTGTGCATCGACGACACCATCGCGCTGAATGTAGCCGTGATTTGCGGCGGCGTTGAGGCCGGCACAGGGACCACGGATGTCTCCTGGGCCTGGAGCGCGCCATTCGTGCTCGCCAGATGTGTTGACGAGTTGTAGGGCGGGATCGAATTCATTGAAGAGGGCGTGGTTGGGAGTGCCTGGGTATTCTGGGAATTCGATAATTTGGGGCGTCGTTTGACGCTCTTGAATACGCTTCTCAGCGACCATGCGAGCTATCTCAGGGAAAGCTGAGACCAGCAGAGCTGGCCCGCCGAGGAGCACGAGAGATGTCTTTGCAAACATTGTGTATCGCAAGAGTGAAGGGGGAGGAGATGGCGAGAAGGATGTCTTGGAGCAGGCCTCGTGTATCTTATATGTCTTCGCAACCACCGCTGCAGATTAGTGTAAGCTTCCCATTGCGGAGATAAGGATCACCCGTAAAGCTGCTCATGGCCGATCTGTTCAGCCCTGAATAAGTCCCTGTGTCTTCTCGTGGTTGATCCACTAGTACATGGGCTACTTTGTCAGGGTGTAGCTAACCGTCTCGGTGACACTATAGTGCGTTGTCTTGGGCAGTTGTAGGGTCGTCCCGAAGCAGTAATCGCCTGCGTCGATCTGCAAGGCTCACATGGCTAGGAAGTGTCGTTGCCAAGACTGGAGCTATGAGCGACAGTGCGCTATTGGAGGACAACGGATGGCATTCCGCGATCTGCAGTATAGTCAGACCCTGAGTTGGCTACGAAAGAAGTCCAGGAATGATGGAGTGTTCTCTAAGCCCCCTTATATGCCTAGTTACCCCGATGTAGTAGGCGTGAGGTCCTAGGCAAGATGTCGTACATCTGCGTTGTTCTTTTGAGAGATGATTGGAGATAGACACCAGTTACAACAGCACCATCACTAGACGTATATGTGCGGAAAGTGCACAGAAAAGTTACGAAGGCGTCCGACAGTCTCCTATAGCTGGGTATTCCTCCTAACATACATCGCAGAAGTCGTCCTCACATGGATTGGACCTGGAGGAAGCATCGTCTGGTGAAATTCGATTCAGTTTGTTGCATGTGTTACCGCACGATACAACTGAGCGGTGATGGATGCCGTTGACAAAACGCCCCCAGTCCAACCCTTGTCTTTTCTTACCGCCCGCTCGTCCGGAGCCTGCAAACTGCGTCAACTCTTGTCTGATAACAATAGCGCTCATCATTGGTACGTCCGGAGTAGCACCTGACAGGCAGCCTCGTTGGAGCCCCACGAAGTGTCTGCCAAGGTGTGGATAGACTCTTATGCGAAAATCTGTCCGAACTGCTGACAAACATCGCTTTAGACGGTAGGTACCGTGTAAATCAGATCAGGATGAGGAAGTGAGGTGACGTCCAGCGCAAATGTCGATTTAAGCTCGACAAAAATATAGGCCTAGCGCGACGCTAGCGGACACTACCCCGGATCTCTTACACTCCGATGGTCTAGATCGTCCGTTGGTTGCCCAAATAGTGTTTGCGATGATCGGCGACTGACACGCCTTACATACGTAAATCGTGCTATTGGCTGGTAGTCGCAGCAGTAGTTGTCCGCCAAGTGGTTCGACCTGAAGTTTCCGTTAGTATCACAAGCCCCTGCGTCCGCAACCCTTACTTGTAGATCTTCTGCTGTATACGCCTCGGCTCGTTCCCCAGATAACCAGTGAACACCGATCCTAGTTTCTGGGGGCAAGTGTGCTACTCGATAGCCGAACAACTGCCGAAGAAGATCTCACCAATCAGTGCTCTCGCTCAGACACCGTCCACCAATAGCTATGAGTTCACCAGTGAGCTGTTTCCCATCTATCACCCAACATCTAGTCCATATGGGGAAATCTGTCCCCTCGTGGTACAGCTGTCACTGTAGTGTCTTCATACGGCTGGATACTACAGAAAGAGAAGCATGTTGTCCAGCCGTTCATCCCCACAGAATAACGGATGTAACGACATCACTCAAACCACGACATTCAGATTATGCGATGAGATGGTTTATTCACACCTATCTGCATAGTTTAAACAAGGTCATACTCATAAAACCTACAAGTGCCTTCAACCTCGCCACCATATAGACTTTGCTGGGAAGATTCACACTCCACTAGCCACATGTCCTATATCAATCTCGAATACTACAAATAACAGACACCACCAACGCTTAGCGTACTGTTCGCCCCCTTCTAATAGCCCCTCGAGGAGGCATTAGCACAAAGCGTTCGGTAGTGTATGCAGTACGCCGCCGTTCAAAGTCCGTAGAACCTCCAAGATGTTAAGACCATCCCAGCTCAACTGACCAATACTAGCCCAGAACCTTAGCAATTCTGCCGACCTTTCGCCTATGTCCGCAGGACATGATTAAACTTTTTATGATGCGTGCTTTCAGGAGAGACGACTTTGAGCCGTACTCGGTGAACCGGATGGCAATCTTGTAGTCTTGATGTAGTCGACTGTTGATATCCAATTGAAGAGTCGGCCGACTAGCCAGGTGTTTGTGTCGATAGTGCTGACTTGAGTGATGAAGTGTGATACTGCTCGTTCGTTGGTAACCTTGGAGGCCAAGAGAAAGCAGAGACAAATAGTGCGACATACTTCCTGCAGATTCTCATCCTTCAATCACTTCGGGGGAATTGCTACGCGCTTTACTTCTTCCTCAGGAGCAGATTTTACCTATCAGTCAGTCGATTTCGAATGCGTATGCGATGATCATCTATAGGCATCAGTCTCAATTCCGGATCACAAGCATCCCATGATCTCCGTTTTATCCAGTTGGATTCTCGTCGCAAACATGACTTGCCGACCGATACACGCTGAGACTGCGCTCCTGTTATTCGTGTCAAATCCGCTATCGACGTCGAGAATATCACAACCGCTGTATGAGTTGTATCCGATGCGGTGATTGTAATGAATTCTGTCGGTCGAGACTGCGCCAGCGACTTGAACGTGACAGTCACGCCCATGTAATCAGAGTCCGATGTCGTCGTTATGACCATCTAGTACAATTCATGATAAGTGACACTCGCAAATGCCGGTCCCTCGCTGTAGGGACAATGACATTCTGTGGACATGGCAATGTTCCATGCGGCCGATTATTGCCAGGTATGACGTCATGCCAGTACCCGCGTCTGGGCTGCTTACAGAGACCTGGAGCTTTCTTGTCCCTTCAACGCGACTGAAGCACCAAAGCTTATACACTAGTTGAACCGCCTCTAATACTCCCATAAGGATTACACAAGAATCCGTCGCCGCACTAGTATTCACCTCCACGGGAACATTCCGAGCCAGCTCGCACCTGCAACATGACGGCAGCAGATCGAAAATCACTCTTAGATCGCGTGTTCGCCGCGAAAACAACGGAAGAATCACGAGGACTCTACGATGAATGGGCAAAGACTTACGACTCAGACATGACCCTCCACGACTTCACCGCCCCACGCCTAGTCGCCCAAGCCGTAGCCAGAGGCCTGAAGCTGAACCACATCTCACCAGACAAGCCCCTGAACGGCCTAAAGATTGCGGATGCAGGATGCGGTACTGGTCTTGTTGGTATCGAGCTTTCTGAACTTGGCGCTACGGATATCCTGGGTCTCGACATCAGCGAAGGGATGCTAGCAGTCGCTAAGAACACCGCCGTGTACGATGACCTGAAAACTACGGACCTCACGAAGCGATTGGAGTTTGAAGATGGGAAGTTCGATGCACTCACATGCTGCGGCACATTCACGCATGGCCATTTGGGGCCAGAGCCATTGGAAGAGTTCGTAAGAGTCGTTAAGGACGGCGGGGTTGTTGTTGCGACTGTTCTGGACAGCTTCTGGGTTGAGAAGGGCTTTGAGAGGGAGGTCCAGAGGCTGGAGAAGGAGGAGAAGGTCGAAGTTGTAGAGCAAGATCTACACCAATATCGGAAGGATGCTGGAGGCGGACGCGTATTGATTTTACGCAAACTCTGATCGCGAAACATAATATGATGCCATATGTTATCTTAAGAAGGGCGCTCTTGAGTTACACAAGCGAGCTTCAAAATAAAGCATAATGAAGTTGTGGGAATACTGGTTCACGTATTCCAGTTTGTATTTCAAACACTCTAATACACGTTACATGGATCTTTAGTCCTCGGTTGGACCAGGAATTCGGGTACGTACAGAAAGAAGAGGTTCAAGGTCATCGAAAGATGGTCTATAGTATGTAGTCGTTTCTCGAATATTATAAGATGACACAATACGTTGAGCTATCGGGTACATTTGGGCTCGCAGTTTTCCTCATCTATGAGCGACAAATCTGCACGTCGTCGTCGCATTTTGAGTCCTTGAAGTCTCGTACGCCCTTCATATTTACCTGCAAGTTTCCTCACCGATCTTCCCAGCATCAATGAGGATGCGGTGCCACTCATCGTACAAGAAAGTTTCAGAGTTCTCCTCGATATGCTCTCCGTTCTTATTTGTGAACAGTTTAAAGAACCGATGTGGGCTGGATAGCCGAGGTCCCTGAGGATAGAGTTTAAGCCTCCGAAAGTTTACCAAGGAACTGAGAGGAAAGAGAGAACCAGCGGGGTCGCGATCGGAATATCCATATATGCAAAGAGTGGAAATGGCGTTTTGCACATCTTTGGGTATCATCTCGAGCAGACCTTTTAAGTCCGTAAGGTTCGCAGCAAGTTTGTTGATTTGGAAAACCAGCAGCTTTGTCTCTGCATAGTATTGCCGACACACCAATTGAGACTGGAGAAGCGCCAAAAGAGATTGGTAAGAACGAGGTGCGCTTCTGTCGTAAAGGAGAAACATGCACTTTCTGAGTGGCCCTCGCAATGACGAAAATCTCTTCAGGACCACGATGTATTCCGCGCGGAATACGTAGTTGTATATCCTGTTGCGAATCTCTCCAGGCAGGCGCAAGAGTGGTGATTTAGCCTGGTTGCGTAGTGTACTACAACACGTTAATTCCATTCAATGCAGCCTCAAGGATGTGGGTTCAGCTTACATTGCTTCCATGTTGTCGGTGAATGGTTCTGAAGACGGCATTGTTCAGCGAAAGAGTTATTTCTTGAAAATCTTGCAGACGTGCGCCATGTAGTTGTTGTCAGTTGGTGAGTGTGATTCAGGTAAGTGCTCGATGCACCGCTTGCCCTGTCCAGGCCTAGTGCCACTACGGTGCTCTCTCACTTCGTCTATCGTACAATACTATTACAAGGTGAAAGACCCATCAGTCCATCACAAGCATCCCGCGGAGATAGCCAGCGTACCCAAATGGCGTCGGCCGCGCAAAATGCGATACGGCAAGCCCCAGCCCCAGCCCTGCGCCTGCCACACCCGTCTCTTGGATCGACGCACTCGATGTACGCCAACGCTCAGTTCTAACGAAGCATTCCTCGTCCCAGTCATACTCATATCGTTGAATATCGTTATGTTCGCGGAAACAGTCAGGCGCGTATCCACATACGTCCATGAAGAGATCAACCAGATCCTTGTCGCTGCCTTCGTCGAAGTAAATCCGTCCGCCAATAACCGGCCACGCAGCCAAGTATCGAGACCTGGGTATTGAGCCACAAGCCAGCCATTCTGATGGGCGTATGCATCTTGGATCAATATCAAGGAGTGACCCGATATCAGCCATGCAGAGCCACTGGTCTTCGCTGCCCCTTACACCGTGCCAAAGTGGAACCAGAGTACCGTGAACACCCGACGTGCCTACAAGTGTGGTGACAAGATTTGAGGCTTGGATCCGGACCACTTGGATAGCGTCATGGCCTCGAACATGGAGGTCGTACGCCTCTTGCAGCGCCTCAGCTGATGCTAGTTAGCGTAACCATATATCATGCTATGAGATGGGAGCGGCTACCGAAGTCACTGAACACCGAAATGAAGGGGCTGGAGTGTGTGTCGCGAAGACAAAGATGTTGCTCTATGCATTCCGGACTCAAGTGAGAGAAATTGAATTCGCATTTTGCCTGGAGTAGGCGAGAGCCGATAACTGATCTCGAATGGTAGGTTGTTTCACTGAGTTCACTGAAGACGTGATAGAAACATGGCCCCCCAAAGTCGTTGATCGGGTCATATTGAGCGAAGTCGCTGCTGATTGGCCGGTCAAAATCTAGCCGCATCATCGATCACCGCACAGTGGACGTACCTCAACATTGTTTCATCGCAAGCCATCTCATAACACTGCAGCGGCTTTCATCATCTCCTTGCTCTCGCAGCATACAGTCATCGCGTGTATTAGCGACATTGCACAGTCTGCCGTCTCGCATGGAAGCCATCGGGTCCCTGGTCCGTGATGGCGTAAAGCTCGCACCACCACCATGCAACATTTTCTCTCCGCATCGAGCGACTCGTCCAGAACATAGACCCGGCGTGCATCAGCATCGTCCTCGAACGATTGCTTTCACTCATGGATCTGGTACTAACGAAGTTGCTTTGGTCGGCTGCTCTTCTAAAGGAGGAAGAAACTCTGACAATGCGCGCACCTCCCAGGTCCAGCAGCCGTGCATGAGACATCCCTTCGGCTACGCGACAAGCTTGGACATGCACCAAACGTTCAAGCAGTTCCCTGTGTTTTCGGAATGCTCCCACTTTGTTCGTGTGTGAATTTCGGCGATCTAGAATCGTGTTCGAAACATTCAACGACTAATCACAGTGAAGGCGCAAAACCAAACCGCTCACAACGTGGTTGTCAATGGAATGAAAGTGTCCAGCTCGTCCTCTTATACGCGGCTCGATTTACTTGCTGAAAAGTTTTGGTTGTGTTACACCAAATTTCAACCAGAGTCTTTCTAGATATGAACAACGACCAGTCACATTTGACGGATAATACGCAGGATCTTGCGATGCAAGAAACGGAAGAAGCAGCCATGCTGCATATGTGGAGAACTATGGGATATGGAGAAACACCTGATCTTCCGATTTACGAACGTCACTCTATCCCCGCTGTCGCAGAACACACTGAGCCCATCGCCCCTGCTATCACTCTTACCACGCCTACGCCGTCGTCTTCACAAGAAGCATCAGCTATATCTCCAGGGAATAGGTCCAGTGCAGCCTCTGAAGAGGATATATGCCCACCTGCTGCGCCCAATCAGTCTCCCCCGGAGGTGTATCAATCTTCTTCTCTGCCTACCAACCCTCTCCAGCATTCGGGATCACCGCCTACAAAATCCTCTGGTTCGTCACTTCGTTTTGTTCCGCGACCAAGTCAAGACTACGAGGCTATGCTGCAAGCCATGGCGACTGGTAAGTTTGACATCCCTATCTTCGGGGCAGCAGGTGCAGCCTTCATGAATCGCCCGCTTCCAGGGACGCCCATACCGAAGAACAGGAAGCGAAAGTATGCTGAGATACCGCATGACACAGACGGTCACGAAGTTGAGAGCACGTCAAAGGAACCAGCGAGAAAGAAGAAGACTGCCAAGCTTAAGAGTTCTACCTAGATGTCACTCTGTCACAGTCTCAGCTAGACAGCGAACATACAGTGTGTGATCCTGTAGTAGATGAAATAGATCACAAATTCAAACAAGACTCCCGGCACAATAGTAGCCCATCGAATTTCTACTCAAGCGCCGTCTTCCGTAGTACTGGCGTGGATACACGATGCTGGGCAAGGTCGTACAATTTGCTTGAACTGTGAAAACTATGCGTCTGATCTTATGAGAGTCTAGCGACTATTCTCTCATGCATATAAGATATTGCCACTATCTAGTTCTTTCGTTTACCCCTCTCTTTCTCTCTCACTAGACTGCCATCTGCGTCGCAAGTCGTTGTCACAAGACCATGCATCACTCAATACTCTAGCTTCACTTGGGACGTGTGGCATGGTTCAATTGCAGATCTGCCATCCACAGCATTTGAATACAACATGATATCCCCACCGGACCCGTCTTAAATGCTCTTGTCTGGATTCAATGATGATCGTTGCGATACTGATGTTCGGCAGTCGGGCAATGACGTAACGGTTACCACTGCATCCATCGTATCATACCTAGGTACTCTCACTAGGTATGCAGATAGAAAGTCCACTGAGTACTTTAATTCCCCCCTAAGATTCTTGGAGCATATCTTGACATCCCAACCCGCCGCCAAGATGCCACATCCAAGCCTCGAATACACCACTGTGCAACCTGCACTAGATACCTACCCTAAGAACGCAACGCGCAACAACGCCAACGGCACAGACACGGACGTGCTCGAAAGACTAAAGATTCGTGAGATCTGCGAAGGATGGGGCATGTACCGCGACGCAGCCGAATGGCAAAATTACTCCTCCATGTTTCACCCTGGCGCGTACATTACAACATCATGGACCCAAGGCCGTCTTGACGACTTCATCGCTTCTTCAAAAGAGGGATTCGAGAAACAGACACCCCATGGTCCTTTCCCTTATATCCTGCATAGGATCTGTGGGCAGACGGTTGACATTCAGGGTGATCGCGCGATTAGCAAGATGAAGGTTACAATTACGTGTCGTATCATGCTGGATGACATTGAAATGGATAATGAAGCTGATACCCGCTTCTTTTTCTTCTTGTCTAAGAATGGGCAGGGGAAATGGGGGGTGAATTTCATGACTCTGCTTTTCGACAAGGACAAGATGGTGCCTGTTGTTCCTGGCAAGGCGTTTGACATACCGGAGAACGAAGCCAAGCAGTATCCGAGTGGATACCGGTATCTGGCGTGGGCGGAAAGTAAGGCGGGAAGGCCACCGAAGATGGACCTGAATGCGCATGGACCAGAAAGAGATATCCTGTATGCCAAGTGTAAGACTTGGTTAGAGGGAGGGGAGGTAAAACCTAACCTTACGGGACATGATGTTGTGCAGTACTAGGCTTTAATCGGAAGATGGCGAGGAATGTTGAAGAGAATAAAATGATTTCATGTAAGACGCTATATACAATACATTTTAAACGTTCTGCTCGTTGATGAAAAGACCGGCCATGCCCATCCCAGTACCAATGCACATACTGGTGAGCAGCACCTTCTTCTTTTGCCTCCTGCACTCGCTCAAACCAGTAACGATTTGTCGGGCGCCAGTGCATCCAAGCGGGTGACCTAGCGCAATAGCACCTCCCCTTACGTTGAGCTTGTTGTGGTCGATCTTGAGTGTCTCGAGACAGTATACGGCCATTGACGCGAAAGCCTCGTTGATCTCGATGAGGTCGATGTCGTCGAGGGTGATGTTGAACTTGGCGAGAAGCTTGGGGATGGCGATGGATGGGCCGATGCCCATGATCCTCGGTGGGAGACCGGCGACGGTGGCACCGACGTACTTTGCGAGGATGGGTTGGCCGAGCTTCTCGGCGGTGGAGCGCTTCATCATGAGGATGGCAGCGGCACCGTCTGTGAGTTGCGACGAGTTTCCAGCGTGTGACTTGTCGCCGTGGGGAAGGAAGGCAGGCTTGACCTTCTGGAGGCTCTCGAATGTGGTGCCGTATCGGATGCCCTCGTCCTTGGTCAGGGTGACGGTCTTGACCTCGCCAGTCTTGGGGTCCTTGAGCTGGGTTGTGATGGGCGCAATCTCATCGTCGAACCAGCCAGCCTTCTGCGCAACCTCGGCTCTCCGGTATGACTCGGCAGCGAACTTGTCCTGGCGCTCGCGCGAGATGTTGAAGTCGTTGCCGACGTTCTCTGAAGTCTGACCCATGGGCTGCATGCAGTCACATGCCTCCTGGTTCTCGAGCACCTCGTCCACGAAGGGCCTCTCGAGCCTGTCGCCACCTGCTGTCATGCTCTCGGCGCCCATGGCCAGACCAACCTCGATGCTGCCGACGGCGATCTGGTTGGCAATGTCTTGTACGGCCTTGAGTCCCGAAGAGCAGAAGCGGTTCAGCGACGATCCGGCTGTGGTGTTGGGGAAGCCAGCGGCGAGCATGGCGGCGCGGATGTAGTAGGCAGCTTTTGCGTCAGAGACGTTGCCGACGCAGATGTCTTCTACAATGGCAGGGTCGAGGTTCGACTTTGCGACGACCTGCTTGAGTGTCTTGACCATGATGCCGTCGAGCGTCGTGTCCTTGAGTCCGCCCTTGTGCGCCTTGGTGAGCGGAGTGCGGAGGGCGAGGGTGATGACAACATCATCGGGGTTCTTGGTGGTGCTGTTGTTTACTGTCAGCGACTGCGTCCTTCACGTGTCGTCTTTGTCTGGGTAGAGCTTACAGGGCCGAGATGCCGCTCGCCGAGGGCGTCATGTGGGAGACGATGGACTTGAGGCGGTCTGCCATTGTGAATAGGTGAAAATGGGTGTGATTGAGGTTTGTGAGAGGCGACGATGAAGTTCAAAGAGACAGGGACAGAATGCGGAGGCGGACCTCTTAACATAAGTTGTGGGGCACATAACCGCAGCTTCTGGGCCGAGGATCTCGGAGCCACAAATCACGCGTTCTTCGGCAACTGCCCGGGAGAATCGTCGGACCTTATCGTGCTATCAACACAGGAAGAAGGAGCATACTAATCAGCATATGCTTTCGTAACATGTACGACTACCGTCAGAGCCAGGTAGCTGCTGTTTACTTATCCACAAAATTGATGCATCGCCAATTCCGCCTTCCCCGCAATTCGTCGCCACGCGACTGAGGCTCTTAGCCTTGCGCTATACCTCCGACCTCGTCCATCTCATCTCGACTTGGCTGCTGCGCAACATCACTCCTCACAGCTTCATCCAATGCCCTTCACCTTTGATCCACAGTCTCACCGGCAAATGCGAGGGGTTAGGCCCTCCTCTTGCTCGTCGACGCCACCAATCTTTGCGACGCGATTCGGCCCCATCGTCCTGTCGCGTCACGTCTTCTTGGCAACAGCATGAGGCGCAAGAGTTCCCCATCTCCCTACATTGCATTGCCTATAACATACCGATCTTTCCATCTCTACCTATCAAAGGCGGCATTGTATTCTGCACGTGGATAAGAGCTAGTGCATGAGTAACACAGCCTCGTGGCCAACAACACGACCCAATATTGGCGAGCTGTGCCGCCAGTTTGTTATGCCAGCAAGGGAAATTTGGCCCCCAAATACCATCACACCCACACCCACACCGCACTCCACGAAGGATGTCTGCACGAATACCACACTGTCATAAAACAGAGGTGCGAGAGAAGGCAGGCCTAGCATTGGTCGCGCGTCACGTTTCTTAGCAGCGGTTATTTTCACCCATGATATCGCCAAGGTTAACCACCATGCCGTCAGAGGTTTTCGAATTTCCTTTTTCACGAGACGGGAAGCGAGCGAGATCTAGGCTAATAGACTTACGCCCTGGTCTTATCAACATCTCAACCAGGTCCCTATAAAGGCCAATGAAGTAAACGGTGGCTTAAGGCATACCGCGAAATGCATGCTGCCTGCAAGCACCCACGAATAGCTTCAACTTCTGATTGGAGAGAAAAGTGCCACTGGCGAGACTTGCATGGTTCCACGTACCGGGAGCATGGGGGCGGCGGAGCAAGGCTGCGCTTTGACCTCATCCTCCCTCCCTATCCTTCGCAATACTACAAATGCTCGTCCTGGGCCTCGTCGTGATTGAAGTGGCACGCGTTCTTCTTATTCCTCCCAATTCCAACCATGGCCGCAGCTTTTACAACTTCCTACACGTCCACATCGACAATGTCGATTGCAGGACCGATGATGACCGCTTTCACTCCGCCAGACCACTGCGCCAACGTTTTCAAGTCGTCATGTGTTCTTTCCACGCCTTCCAGTTATACCAGTATAGGAACTTCCTTGTCATACTCTTATGGCGATCCCGTCACATCCTGTGCCTATGTGGAGCGCGACCTCTCATGCGGTTCTGATGGACAGGCCACTCGTGACATTGCATGTTTCCCAAACAACAACGGTGGTGGTCGCAGCACGTTGCTGTTCTCTCCTGGGATAGGCTGTCCTGGTGAGTGGGAGATGCAGAGCGAGGTCATAGTATCCAGCAAAACCACTGCAGTGTGCTGCCCTTCGTAAGTACGTCCCGAACAAGTTCCTCGGCGAATATTCACAACGTCTGTCAGTGGCTATCGAGAGCATTCCTCATATGCGAGTTGTATCAGTACTATCTCCTACACTGATGGTACCGCACCTGCCCTGTCTTGCGCCAGTGGCGGAACTTCGGTAATCGATCCTCTTACTTATTCTACTTACACTTCAATCTACGATATGAGTACCACCACGTCGATCTACTCCACTACCTATCCGGAATACAGCACCGTCTGGGCGCAAAAAATCCTCGTTGCTTATCCCACTACCTCTGCAAGTGACGGACGGGTCACCCCGCTCGGCGAGCCAACTTCTACCAACAACCCCAAGGGAGGCTCCGCATTACCAAAACCGGATGATGAATCTGGTCTTGGGGCAGGTGCTATCGCGGGCATCGTCGTGGGAGTGGTCGGCGCGCTACTTCTGGTCGGCGCATTTTTCTTCTGGCGTCGCCGCCAACAAAAGCATCACCATGCGCCGATCCCAAAGTCTAGTCCGACAGGAGAGCATGATGCGTTACCGGAGTTTGTTGCAACGAGTGGTACGAGCACCAGCCCTGCACAGATGACCGCAGCCAATTCCAATGGGTTGTTCCAACCACAGCCGGAGTTGAGGTCTCCACGATGAGACCGCGATGGTTGGTCGGTAGTTTTGCATATTGGGGACGCTTATGTTCAAGTGCGCCTGTTTCGAGATCATGCGAAAGCAATTGCTTCCGCTACGATAATGATACCCTTTTGCCTTTTATTATTCTATATATTCAAATAGCGTCGCGTCGTGTAGACCAGTTTATGAACGCGCAACATGGCTCCGTACCACGATCTCGACTACCAACTTCTTTGGACCATGCGGTCACGGCAACCGACACCACTATCACATGACGTTGATACAAATTTCGTCGCAAGCTGATGGAGTTAGGCATTTGTCGGTGTTCAGTCCAAGAAAGACAGGGCCTGGCCTAGTTGTTTATCAGCTCGGATGTGCGGAGTGTGAGATCACTGACTTGAGAATCCTCGACTTCACTGTCAGGCAGCAGATACATTAGCTTGCACAACAATCCCTTGACCCATAGTACTAGTGTTGCTCACTCGACTCTTTTGTTCTTTCGTCAAACCAACCCAACTCTCTGCATGGGAGCAACTCAATCTTGCGAAGAACACGCAGCTTGGCCAACATCTTTGCAATTGCAACAATGTAAGCTTCTACCACAGGTTCCCAACGCGGCCCTCCATCCAGAGCCCCCAGACAAGCAGCTCGAAAAGGCGCTGACAGTACTCCTGGTAGAGAACATCTGCCATCCGCTAGCGGCGCTACTTCTTTGTTAAAGTCTCGCAGGCGCTCGCGTACTACAGCAAAACTTCCTACCAATGAAAAGGACGTTAGAGGTTCTGATTCAGATATCGAGGGCGAAGTCGAGGAACAGTTCAACAACTCGACTGCGAACACTCTGGTCGAAGTACACCAAGCGAGACCTCGAGGGTCTTTCTGGCCGTCAACGGCGCATCAACTATTCTATATAGCGAAATTTAGGCAGCTACCACCAGACATGTCGTATAGGCCCATCCATCCACTAAAGAGCTATGCGACGCCCTCGCAGTTCGATCTTTCCAGCCTCACTATCCCGTTGACCGCGAAGGAAATCTTGACGGTAAAGCTTCTTCTCCTGGTATATTATACCTGTCTAATGGGTCCAGTTCTTCCCCAACCACGTTAACATACCTGAAATACAACACAGGCTCTATCACAGTGACATCAAAGGCTCGTTCCAAGCCAACTTCATTGTAAGTGGTCTCGAGGACTGTTTGAGTGTTAGTAGTCGAAAGAGCTGATATGATCATGAAGAATCACCAGTACCGTCTACAAGGCCTAGATATCGTCATACCCATGGATTGTCGCGCGTATCTCAAGAAAGCGAGAGCAAAGTTAGGAAGAGAGTTCACAACCAAACCTACTACCTTTACCACCAGTCATTACACTTTCTTACCGGGTGACGCCAACGGATTCGACGACGTCAGGATATTTCACCCAATCATTGATTGTGGCTTTTACGTTCATCCGAGTAACTTTCCCATGGGTCCTGACAGCGGTCCCTTCACGAAAGCCCTCATCCAAATCCAGCTTATTGGCAACACGACACTGATGTTGTCTCAACTCGATTTTGTCATTGCGAGGATGGGCATCAGCCGGAAGCTAGTAGACGGGTATACTGATGCGGATTTTCAGAGAAGACACAGGGTGATGGTAAAAGAGTATCAGGACTTCTTGCAAACGAGCGCAAATGAGAACGGTATTCGATTTAATCACTGAGATGTAGGGCGACATCTCTGGCAAGGCCTTGAACATAGTCACTGGTTAGTCGGAGATCTTTTACAGCACATTGTCTACATCCGAAAAGGGTTTCTGCAGAGATAAGATAGTCCCACAAGTGTATGGGGGAACAAATGTAGAAATTACCATTTGCTTCTTGAAGTCGTGTTCATGGACTATCTACGTCCTTTCATATGCCTCGGACTTGTTATTACTAGACATCATGGGAATATCCTCCTGTCCTCCACCACATCCTAATCAGATCGTAGTTTGGATCATGTCTGCGAGCCGGATCAGAGTTATGATCTGGGAAGAGACGATCGCGAGCCGCTTGATCAGCCTGGACGACGGAAACAAGACTTGGGCCTGGAAGATTATACTGTCTGTCCAATCCCGCTTGGGTAATGTACTGCTCAACTTGAGATAGTCGTACGTTGTTATGATTGTGGCGGCGAGCATGAAGCACAGCGATAGTCAATCTCCCTTGGTCCGCACCTTGAGGGAAGTGTGCTAGACCATCACCTAAGCTGACGAGAAAACAGTCGCGAAGATCGTTGAAGTCGACATTTGAACTGACGCGATCAGTGCTAATGCTGTCGAGGGTGAAGCCAGCAGCACTGCATTGGTGATTCTGAGCGTCTCTTCGGTGCTTCTTCATACTGCCAAAGCTGTGGGCCCGTAGGTCTGCCGTACCGAGCGATCGCTGCCAGAACTTTGTATAAATGAGCAAGGAGCTTTTACATGTAGTTTATGAAGACTTACGATGAGCATGCGTAGCGTGGAGAGAGTCCAGCCTGCTGCGTCGAAGCGCTTCCACAGAGCTCTCCAGGATGAGGCTGCTCGAGGAAAGAACTGCTCTTTTGTCAGTTCATCTTGCGTATGTTGCGGTAAGGTTGATCGGCAACTGACTGCAACAATTTCTACCAGGGTCACCTGAATGTTCGGCCCAAGACGACGGATGTCGACATGATCCCACAGTGCAACACTGTTGAAGCGGCAATACGAGTCAGACAGAGCGCGAGAAGGTAGGGCCGTAGATCGAGGAAGGATGAGAATCCAAGCCAGCTTACGAGACTCGGGCCATTCGTATTGATAAGTGCCGCTTACGCCTCCGGGACGGATACCAGATGTACGGGGACCTCGAGGAACATAGACATGACCTACTCGGGTGAGGACAATGGTCTGTATGGGCTGAACCGCTGGTTGGTGTACTATCGTTGGCACCCTCAAAGAAGGTTGGAGACTACTTCCTTGTATCTGCAGTGCTTGGCCTTGCGCTTGGATGGTCTGAATCGCTCGCCAGTTGATGTACTGCAGGTAGTGTGAGAGACTGTGGAGTAGAGCTCGGCCCCTGAGCTCAGGTGTAGTAAGGGCCTCGAAGGCCACTCGCACTTCTGTAGGGACGCGCGATCTATACTCAGGCACCAATTGCAGAAGCCCATAACACTCAGCGACAAGGATAGACTCCATCGTCACCGAGTCCATGACCCAATACTGCAGACCACTCGGTGAAGGTATCATTGCACCAATCTGTTCTAGGCGCTCACTCGAGTTGCAGAAGTCCTCGATGACCTTCCGTACAATTGGTGTGCGGGTGAATGCCGTAGCGCGGAGCTCATCGCGAGTTATCTCACTGGGCGCTGACTGGTAGTAGAAACCTAGGGAGACGGTTGGAACTTCTGTAGTCAGTACTGTCGGATACAAAGATGCCCGAGAGAGAATATTGCGATATGACATACCAAAGTACGGGTCCATGATGCTTTGTGCGCAGTCAGCGAAGTCAATTGATTGGTCTTGATATCAGAGTTCTGGTGGTTGAATCGAGATTGATTCGTTGTATAGATGAAACCCGCAAGAAAGCGCGACTCACAGACCATACAGTCGCTTATCATTGAGGACATAGGCACGTGAGTACGCGTTCTGGCCTCACCGCGTGTATCAGGGAGCTGTCGTGAGAATCATCGATCCACCGAACTCACGTGCTTCGGTAGGTGATCGGCAGTGCGTTTGACCTATAATTTGCGGTTCGTTAATTTATGCATAGTCACCAGGACGCTAAAGACAGCTTGATGAGATGCTGCTGCTTGCATTGGTCACTGTCCGAACGAAGACTTGCAGGTCATGAGCGTATTTTTTTGCCTGTGATACTAAGAGACGTAGCAATTAGCTGAGACTTCCAAGGTTTCGTCTGCCTGCTTTTGCAACTGAGATTCACACCACAACAATTCCAATCAAGAATAATAGTATGATTGACGTTCATAGATCTAAACCGTACCTGATCTCATTCCGTGTCGATTTACAAAATCCCTATCTATCATGTCAAGGAACGCCTGCGAAGGTGTATCCTCAACGACAACGTTCGTATCAGGTTGGATCAGATCGGCAGCAGGAACGATGATTCTGTGCCTTGTCGCATACTGAACGATTTCTGACATCCTGACATTCATGTCATGAGACACGTCTCGGGCATGCTGAACACAACGCGTGAGGAGCTGGGCGTCGCGACCAGTGGGGTAGTTGACTACACCATCACCTAGATGATAAAGAAAGTAGTCGTGTAGCGGTCGATCGGCCTTCTTGTCCGTTTTCCCTCTCGTTGACATGTTCGAAGGAACATTCGTTGTGAAAGTGTGTGTCGGCACATCGGCCGGCCGGCCGTCATGATCGTGGTGGAATGCGGTACGGTGGTAGCTACGGGGACTTTGTAGTTGACGAGCGTAAGACTGTTCAGATGAGCCAAGCGTCCTTGTAAAGAGATTCCAAAACACTTACCATGAAGTCAGCGACTTCTTTCGGTGACCATGACTTTCGTATACGATCCCACAGCTCGTAATTTACGGTCTGATAAGGAAGAAACTGCTTCAGAGTCAGCAAATGCCTCAAACTAAGGGTGATTCGCGTACAGTCAACATCTCCTGTGCGGTAGTAACACAGTTGATCAGAGTGGGATCAACCGTTCTTGGTGGTGCTACCCCTCTCATCTCGTGGCGATCATCGGAATTAGCTGAAGATGGGAGTGTTGCTAGTGTCCTTCCTTCGATCTCGAGATGAGCGCGAATTTGACTACGCGACATCGCAACACCCTTAAACCCCCTACCAGAAACATCCAGTGTATTTCTAGTTGGAAAGCGGGCCATCATTGCAGCGATGGGATCCGCTAAGGGAGCCTGGACAGCTACCGTTGCTGGAGGAACAGTTGTGGGTACCGTTGGTTGAACTTGAAATGCTGCCGCCACTGCAGGTGCCGCTAATACTGTCGTTGTCGATGCCGCAGATGCATAGGGTGTTGCGGCCTGGGAGACAGTGGGCTGCTGCGTGATTTTATCCGATACAACTGTCTCAAGAACACGTCCTAGGTCTGACGGTGAGCCGGAAGAGAGAAATTGCTCAATTCTTGGTGCTGTATCGTCGTTGCGGAACCGTTTGCGGGATTCAGTTGTGCGCTCCTCCACGTTGTTGTCTACTCCATATGTCCACTCTATCTGGAGGCTGTCCTCGGCTATGGCTACTTTGCGCTTCAATGAATGCGCTGTGGAGGTAGCAGTTTGTCCTCTGTGCATCTGGACAGAATTCGGGACACTCATGGTCTGCTCGAAGAACGCGACTCGAACTTCTTCTAGAGCCATCATTAGATAGCATTGTGGAGTAGCAAGGAAGATCTCCACCCACGCCTCGATGAGTCGAAAGTGTGGTCTAGGCGTGAAGCAATACATCAAGTCGTCATCTTCCTGCACATCTCTGAAATGAACCCACTGAAATCTTGCAGAATACTCGATGACCGCTTCAACTCGACGACGGTGATACTCGTTGCTCTGCAATAGGTGGTCTCTGCGAAGGTTTCTCGGAGTGTAGTGTCCTGGCGTGTACGTCGCCCTTGGATCGTTCCAGGGGAGGGTTGCGAGGGCCGGTGGGTGCTGGAGCGTACTTTCATGATAGAAAACGCTCGTCATCTGCGAATTTGGACTAACGAAGTCTTGCATGGGTCCCACGCGAAGACAAGAGTGCAAAGCAGGAATACTGTTACTGTTTTGGTAGGCTTATATGGATGTTAGCAGTGTTAGAAAGATAGTAGGCTTGAAACTTACACTCCATTGCACTCGATATTCTAGACTGAATGTCGGTAATATCAACGCCAATTGGTGTATACTTCGGAAAGGAAGTGTGTAAAGGTCTTTGAACCGACGTCTAGGACAAACAACAGGAAGAGCGCGAAATGCGGTCAATGTACGCTGTGTGAAAGATAAGTGAATGTAAGGAGCTTTCAATAACGTTGAGTTGATTGTGCGTTCACTGTTGGCTCAAAACGACAGAAATCGTATGCTTTTGAGGGCAGAGGAGAGTGGCGCGTGCAGGGTGTAATGTCACTGACCACTCTCAAGAGTGAATTCGCATCAAGTGGAGGACCAACGATGATGCCTCGTGCTAATATAGTGACTCCTATCAGCAATTTACTTTTCGGCGAGAGCTCTTGCGCAGAACTTTCGTAAAACGAGCCGAGTAACTAACGCTGTCTGACACAGACGAGAGAGATATTTGGGTGATATACATAATTGAAATGCAACATTTCTGAGATATTGACTCGGTCACATATCAGAAGAATCAGGAAGCGCAGATCAGATATTAGATATATGGTATGCAAGTCATTTGCGTATGCGCTACGAAACGTCGCAAGCATTGTTGCCAGGCTATATCAGAACAAATCCAACGCCAGTAGGCAGCAAATAAAGATAAACCTCGACGTATCCAAAGACTGCGCATTCGTTGGCAAAACGATCGCAGCTCAGTCGTATGTCTTTCTCACCAGCAGATATTGCTAGCATCTTTTGCGAACAACGATATCCGTCTTATGGGTCTTGATCATTGAACTTATTGCGGTAGTCGTCCCTAATAGTGTCAAGGAACACTTCTGACGGCAGCTGATCCTCAAATGCCAGATTTTGGAAGTTCATCTGATGATGTACCGGCACAGTGATATTATGTTGCTGCGCGTACGCAGCAGCCTCGCTCAGCCGAACGTTTCGATTGTGTGTGACGCCTCGAACGTGTTCGATGACTAGCGTTAACATCTGCGCCTTACGTCCGCGAGGTGGTCGGACCACTCCATCACCCATACTATGGAGGAAGTAGTCATGTACGTCCTTGTTAGCGCCACGCGTTCCACTGTCTGTGCTAGTATGCTGCAAAGAGGCAGTGAGAACATGGCCAGGGTGGCTCTCACCCCATTCCTTGGCCTTTGCGAAGTGATGCCCGATTTTCGATCGACCAAAGATCCCTGCTGTTTGGAGATCGTGTGCATAGTTCTACAAATAGTCTCAATCAGCTTATTGTTTCTTCAATCTCTCAGACATAAGTAACACTCACAATGTAACGAGCTATGTCCATTGGCTGCCAATGCTCAATTGCTCGCAAACACATCTGTCGATTGAGCGTGCATATGTTTGAGAAGTACTGGCTAGCTGTTAGTCCCTCGACGAGAAATACAAACAATAGGAATTCAATACTCACTGTGAAGTTCTCCTCAAGCGACGTTTCGAAAGGACAGCAGGTCACGTCGATTGATTCAGGCGTCCGGAGGTTAGACATTTCAGTGCCTCGTGGAGAGAATGCAGTACTTGGCAGCGCGTGAATGCTTCTATTCTGGATCTCGACAAAGGCTCGAATACGCTCAGCACTCCAGGCTTTGTTCCCGTTGTCGGTTGGAACCTGACTTCCCGGTCGAAACCCAGGGGCAGTTATACCCCTTGCTTGGAGTAGTTGGGTGAATATCGGCGGAGCCGCTGGATTCTGCTCAAATGCAGCTGTACCATCGAGAACAGACTGCAAAGGAAAGATCGGTAGGCTAGGCGCAGACGATGTACCTGGTTGAGGGCCTGTAATTGAGGCCACTGGCAACTGTAAATTTCCTTGAGTTGTCTGCTGGCTGGGCTGGCTGGGCTGGCTGGGCTGGCTGGGCTGCATGAGCTGTAACGACTGGGGTGTGATGGTCAGGGAAGAGGACTGCTGAACACCCAAATTTGCAGGAGCTGTAAACGACGAAGGAAACAAAAAAGATCCAAACCCTGAGGATGAAATCGGGAGCGGGTATGTGGTCAGCTCGGCTGTCTCTGGACCCACAAAGCGTGCCCTTCCAGGCTGGTAATAGCCATGTCGGAAAGGGTTTTCTGCCATCTGCGTAGAAGGGTATCTGCCAAAAGATACAGGAGTGTATTTTTCTCTTTCTATGATCTCTGCAAAGCTATGCCAATGTCCGGTGACATTGTAGACCTGTTCCTCATACGCCGTCCTTACCTCGGGTGGCGCGAGGTCAAGCAGACGAGGGACGAATGTGAAGAGCATCATCCACTCCTCAGCTAGAAGACCGTTTGGCAGCCAGTAACGGTGGCCAGCAGCTACCTCCATGGGTCTGGGGAATGTGAAGGCGTATATGGAACTAAATTCCCAGATACGCTCCAAGTAGTAGGTGATCTGTTGGCTTGTCATACATGTATAGTCGGCCTCGATGAAGGCTCTAGTGAGGATAGGCTGAGCTCTCGGGACATGGGGTTCACCGATGAAGCTGTTCCGGGAATCGAGGTTGGATGCCATGATATCAGACGGCGACTGGTCGATTGATCGAGTTGAAGCGGCAATGGCTAGTGTTTCTTAGTATTACAGTTGCCAACTCAACGCAACGTAAATTCCGACCAAGATAGTATAGGTGCAGTAGGTTGAAGGTGAGCTATATAATTCCAACCAGGAAAGAAATACCAGAGGAGCGTATGCTCGAGACAAGGATCTCACGGTGAGTTTCATCCGCAGCCAATACTCAGGTCGATGGCACATTACTCTGTACGAAGGGATCAGAGTGAACCAGTACATTGTCGATCGACAATACTCGACAATTTCCCTGAGCGTAGCAGATATGACCACTAGGATGAAACCTTCACATTCACTGCGCTGACCTTCTGAACTTATGATAAGTGACTTATCAAGTTTGCTTGTGCGTTGTTTTCACGACAATTGTCACACATTTGCGCGTATGAGGACTCAATTTCCATACCGTTCTGTATTGCCATTTCTTCTCCCAGCTCTTGATACCCATAGGTTCTCGCACAAAAGGTGGCAACTTGAATCCGCAGGGTCGCTCATTCATCGTCTGAGGTGAATATGATTAGAATGTTTCCCTGATCAGCTTGGACGCGCGGTTTGAGGCGCCTGAGCAGTTTGAGATCTAGAGGCGACTTCAGAGCACAGACGACGCGATTGAATCGAATGGACCCTAGATCGTTTTTAGTAAGAACAAAGCCGCTGCGAGTTCACTCAAACTACTGCTGTTTCTGCAACATTGCGAAGGCCAGGACTACACCGATAAGGCGTAATCGCAATACTCCGCGACGACTGTGTCAACCAGCTCACCTACTCGGATCACTCGAACGGGATGTCTCGGGTCACCCCAACCTCTGACGGCTTCTCAGGGCAAAGCATCAGAACGTACGGAGTGCGGGGTCGTGGAACAACAAACACAGCCGGTATGATACGAACAATACATGCCTGTCTTTTCAATTGTTTCTGACAACACGCAGGGCGAACGCAGATGGAGGGAAAACACCATACCCAAGCTAATCCTCCCGAAATCTTCGTCGCGCTCGGAGCCAAAGAGGCTTCGCTCTCCACATCAACATCGTCATCATCTCGCACCGTCCGTCCCACCGGAGTGAGAGAACTCGAACATACTCCCCGGCTTGACGAATGCATTGCGCGGCTGCTTAGTGAGATGGAGGACGTCAAGGTACCATCTCCAAGCTTTCTTACAACGCGTATTCGGGGTAAAAACAACGATAGCAACGGCCTCGTTTCAGCACTACGCCTCTATCCCATCCAGGAGGTCCTAGTCCGCTATATCACCATGAGAGATCTTAAAGCGATTGCTTGTGCGTCTTCAGCGCTTTCAAATTCTTTGAATTTGAAAGAGACTAGGCAGTTCTGGATGTTCAGAGTTAAGAATGGAAGCGGTGGTAGTTCATGGAAGCGTGTGAGGCATGATGCATACTTAAAGGCTCTCGAAGACATGCCAGAGCCTCGAAAACGGAAGCTAAGCGGGGACGAAGCGCTTCCTTATGCACCACCGTGGCGCCCTCAGTCGCGAGGACCTAAAAGAATTCAGGTAGCACTTGGACGTGTGTAAATGGACGAGACCCTGGGAATGGGTTCTCAGGCACGTCCTAATGTTGGCGTGGGAATGTGGCGCGCGAGCATAGCGACGGATAGTAATCCATAGTAATCGAGTGTAAAAATCCTTTGGGGCGTAACCTCTCAAGCCACAATGCATCATGCATGCTGTTTATCCATTGACGGCACACTGAGCAAAATGAGCGTCAGGAAATGACACCTTCGCCGGATATCCCCCGGCCTGCCCAAAGGCCCCGTGGCCCATATCCTGCTTATAACCATGCCTTGGGCCAGTCTTCCATTTCGCAACAACCAGGTCAGCCGTCTGCGCAGCCACACCAAACCTTAACTCGACCGACGAAGATTGGAACGGAGTCATACGAACTCAGGAAAGACCGCTGGAGAATTTTGCGAGATAAATTGCTATCTGCGGTGACGGAAGCTGTGAGGATGGTATGATAGCAGCTTCAGACACGCGTGACGTACAGCGATGGGTATCGGCTACAAGACACATCGTACCAAGTAGTATAGCAACGGTAGAACTAGTAGTCTACACAGTGCATACGTATGTCTTGCACAATCCAACTTGGATGTGAGACCAACTGTGTTTTCTTTTGCTCTAGCCTTCGATGTCGGGAGACGGTATGCTGCACCATAATGTGGTCTCGAAGAGAGATTGAAACATGAAATCTCTCGGATATCTGCTAGAAACCAAGATAGTCAGCTAATCCGATCGTGAACCGAATATAGCGTCTGGTGGCGTGGCGGATATTGTGTGCGGACCCTCCGTTCCTGACGACTCTCTGTTGAGCACTGACCTTATTACATGATCACATCCTGACCAGGTGAATTATTTACTTCCAGTAGGGTCAACTATCAAAGCAATTCATTTTCAGCTTCTTGTCTTTGTATGTGACGCAGCGATCCTGCCTCAGACCCAGTCGAAGCTCATAAGAGATCGTTCAAGATGCACTACATTGTTAGCTCTTCCTCTGCCTCTTTTCCTATACTTCCGCATGCGCGAGACGATGTCTCTGTCGCACCTTGAGCTGAAGGCCCACGGTGCTTCATGTTCCAAGTCCTCGAACTTCGAGGCCTGCCCGGAACTCGATTCGCGGCTGGGCGAGACAGCCACAACGCCAAAACCTCGACCGGTTACTATGAGACGCTCAGTTACGAAGTTACCACGAGACATTCGAAAACTGCACACTGGTTGAAGAGGCGGGATTGCGATGGTTCATAGGGAGATGATGATAAGGGAAGAACAAAGACGCGACAAGGAATGATGACGCTGTCGCGACAGCGGAAGCCGAGCCATCTCCGCAGGTATCCTCGGCGCCAGTGGACCCGCTTGTCTCGACCGAATCGTTACACACGCACACACCCATCAGCAACACCGTTGCAGCCATTCATCGACTACACTCAACGCGAGCACCGATTGAAAAGCACATAAGCCCCTGTTGACCAAAGCGACTTGATGCAACAGTTCGACAGTAATGACTACTGCACCGGACCAGCAGTACGCATTCGACTGCACATGGCGCCCATGCTTGCCGAGCGACTGCTTCGCACTACGCGACATCACCATATCCGTTTATGGTTTTCGTTCTCCAGTAACGTACGAGTTCCGGTATAGAAGATATGGCTAACAAACAGCCATCTGGCTCCCTATGTCTCTAATCATCTCCAAGAAGCAAAGTGGTTCCGAATCCTGGTTTTCGTCGCTTGAAGAAGAACGGCTCCCATTCTACGGGTCCTGCAGTAACGGTCAATGGCCTTGTCGCTAAATATCACTTCTTGGGATCCATACTCTCATATGTCTAGAGAGAGCTCGGGAACATAATGTTTCACTCGCGCGCAGTGGCTGTTACGCAAGGCGGCTCCTCTGTCATCTTGAACGCTACTCATGTTGCACCATACACGATACTTCCACATGCAGCTCAGTCAACTGTCGCAAAACCTCTTCATCATAACCATAGCACATTCTGGATGGTTGGCCCAACCGTATGCGGCGCGGATCCGTCTATTTCCAGGGATACGTCTCGCCGCACGGAGCCTCAACACATGCCTATACGTTCTTCCTTAAGATTGTGGGGATCTTCATCGGCGTCAAGCAGAGAATCGCATACTCAGGACGGATTCTCTCGCCTGTTGATGCCGTACCATGAAGATAAATAGGCTGCAATGCTATCCTCTTCATCCTGTCAGGATATCTCGTTCTACTGTCGCGAAAGAGGTTATGCCCATGGCAGCATCTCTTCCTTAAACTGGAGAAGTGGGAGTACCATTCTTGAAGCGTCCCAAAACTACTGCTGTGGTAGTCTACCGGCGAATGCATATGATGGCTGTTGCGGCCACTGGCTTACACGCACGTGGTGTCGTTCAAGCTTCCATCGAAATGGTCAAAAACCTGGAATACCCCATCTCATCAGAGTCAAGACGACCATATCATCTCGAGCCAACCCTCTTGGTCATCACCACAGTTCGCTGTCGTTCAACATCTACGCGAATGAATACCACAGATATGAATTCCTTGCGACCGTATGGCATGCTATGAACGTCTTTACGCTCTCCAGGTTGCCACATGCAAATCCTGGCAAGCGCGAAGCTGATCTCATGTCTCCGGAAGAAGCCAGGTTACGACGGCTCAAAATTTGCGACTGCCCACGAATCAGTATACGCACTCTAAGCATCTCCCTATACTTTCTTCTCGGCGATGCTCAGATTTGCCATCTTGTGTATCTTTGAGAGCCAAGTTGAACTTCGCAAATGCTATTCGTCTGCATTGCCCGGAAGATTCTCGCATACTCCGATATGTGAGGAAGAACTCTTCGTTTCTTGACAGCCGCTCCTTGTCCACGAGTCTTGCCTCTCGGCCGCAAACGTAGGGCGACATGTCCTGGTCGCACCATTACCTTTGTGACCGGATCTCAGAAACGCTCTTATACTGAACGCTCCCACGGTCTAACTCAGATCGCACTTGGTGTCTTCCGGCCATGTTACAGAATGACTCTCTTCCCAGAGGATGTCTGGTAAGATATGCGTCCTTTGTCTCCTTTGATGCTTTGTAAACTGCCCGTCAGGCTTTCCAGCGATGACTGTGCACTACTGCGCCTCTGCTTGGAAGCATTTGCCTTGCCAGCCCTATCTCGATATTGTCGTTGACACGTTGATCGATCACATACTGTGTCGCTATGGTGCGGAAGCGGCAGCGCGGGTATTCGGAATCCGCATCCGTTGAAGGACAGTCGATCTATGCCATAGCTCATCGTCGGCCTGCAATAATCGCTTCCCTGGACTACCAGCGTTTGGGTTTTGTCGCCAGCTGGTGTGCGTCCACATGGGGTTGATAGGACCAAACATCTTGGACTCGCAAGCTCAACAACAGATCAATATCTGACCACTATGTCAGCAACATGATAGAGAGTTCTAGGTACTCTCGCCCCTGAGAGATACGAGGGGTGTGCAAGTTCGCCGGTATCAGTCCCTGTTGGCGATCGAGGAGGTGTCGGTGGAGGATCGGATCGTCAAGGAAGGTAGTATCGAGACGCTGCGATGCGATCAGCTTTGCCTGGTCATGACCATAAGATGTACATACGGCCGTACCGCTATTCTTTCGTGGTTCTTGGATCCTCATTGCCTTGCTTGTGGCCTCCCCGCTCCTCCCTTTGTCGTAAAAGTGAGCATAGCTTCACACAGACGCTAAGCGAAAGCTCCCACGACTCCCGCCTACGTATAAGTACCCCACCAACTTCAGGGTCTGCCTCTCCGGTTCTCGAATCTCAGCTACTGGAACTGTGATATCAAATGGGTGCACCTCCCTTCGCAGATATTCGCCTGCAATCTGCCACGATGGCCGCTGACAACAGCGATAATCTCAAGCCCAGGCCTGCCACTTCACACATCAACATGGACTACTACAGCAGCGATAGCAACAACTCCGAGGCCGCGAAAAATGACCTGGTAGACGGAGAAAGCGATAGCGACGAGCACATCCGAGATCTAAGCGTTGGCAGTCACAGTAAGTACAAGAAAGCGTAAGCTTCACGGGTCGCTAATGCAGGATCAATAGGCCCCGAATCATGGATGGCGTATAACGACGAAAGCAGAAAGCTCAAGACCGAGCTGTCCATGCATCTCAAGAACAAGGACAGAAAAGAGGTAGCACGGGTCCAACAGGAAATCAATGATCACTTTCGGCGTGGTGAGGTAGATATTAGCCAGCTTGATCCTGACACCATAGCACGCCTAGAGGCAATTGACGGTCCGGAACCTCAAAGCGCTCCCCGTAGCGCTGTCCGTCTCCCAACTCAGCCTTCTGCTTCCCTTTTACACGCAGGCTCATCCCAGGCTCTTGTAGTTACGCCACATTCTTTACCACTATACCTCAACCTCAACCGCATGAGTGCTCCACATATTGCCGATAACGGAATACTAGAAGCAGGCAGTACACGCGCCCTGAACGGTCTCAACCGGGCCCTTTACTGCAAAGCATCACCAGTCAATCTGGACTACAAGACACTACTCAATTTTGAGATGACTCTGCTTGAAATGACAACTGTAAGTTCATGTTCTCGTTTTCCTCGTCTATTCTATACACGTGCTGATTCACCACCGTATAGTACATTCCATTGGCATTTTTGTGGTTAGGTGGCTTCCTCTCTCGCGTCGAATCTGCCGGAAGAGGATGTACGATTGTTGCACAAATGATGGTGAGCAAACCCAGAAGTTCTGAACATAGAATCATGGTGCTAATTCCGTTAGCTTTGGGTCAGAGGCCTTGACAATGGTACCGACTTGAAGAACAAGCTCGGAAACCTTCGCAGTACGATGCAACACAAGCTTAAGAATTATGGAACGTCCGACAGCACCAACAAGACTGCCTCCTCTTGGGTCCCTACAAATATCATGACCACCAGAGCCAAGCCAAACTTGACCGCGGACATATCCCTACTGCGACTTCGGCACGGGGTAACTCGCCCTCCTCAAGGTCAACATCGTGGTCGTCTCACCATCGCCATCGAACATGCATATATCTGTGGCCATTGGGGTGTCATGCTAAGCGAGGTCGAACGGTATATGGAACACTTCAAGCTGGAAGTACCTAAGAAACTCACTGAGGACGCCGACAAGCTGGCTATCAAAGATTTCGAGAGCATCTATGAGGCGACATCCCACTGAGAACATCCCACGAGCTCTGCACATGCGCACTCTTGGGCTCCTTGCCCATTATATAGGGCAAGCTGAGAGCAGTGAATATGCGATGTATGGCACAGATGTTTGTTTACGACGGAGACTTAACGGCCAATCGGGTTATAGAAGCCACCACTTGGTTTGGATGTATTCGCGAAAGAGATCTTAATTCAAGTTTTTATTCGCAAGCGAGGCGCTTAAGGCCAGGCTGATCACTTGGCTGACAGGCTGACAAAGATTCTGGTTAGGTATAATATGTGCCTCGGAGTTCTATACCCATATCTTTCATGATCATAGTTTGTATTCACGGCAGATGAGCTCGAAATAGATTCTCGTTCGTATTGTCATGTGATGGAGCTGAAAACCTGTTTTGGCATCTCGTGTTAGTTTTTGTGCGGCAAAGGGAAAGATTGTCAGTTGTTGTGAAGGTGTCTGGATCCGGGCACATCTCGTCCGTTTGGGGTTAGCGTATCTGTCCGTATAGCGATTACATCGTCATTTGCGCTTCACAATTGAGGTGGTTTTGTCTGTCCTACCTCTCGCTAAATTTGTGCTTCTATAACGCAGGGTTGTCCATCTGGGCTGCATGCATGTTGCACATCAGATTGGGCACTAGATAAGGCTTTGCGTTGTCCAACCGTGCCACCCAACGCCTACTGTACGGCAGAGCGACCACGCCGCACTCGCTATCGAGGCGTGCAGCGCACATACCTGGCAAGGCAGTCTCGACATGCTGCGCACGCGCGATTTTTCTTTCGCACATGATGACTTGGCCTGCGACAGCTGCACATCGATGCGCTCAGCAATGCCGGTCCATCTGAACCGTACCTACGTATTTTCGTGGCATCTCTCTCAACAAGAGCTTGAAGGTTTTCACTGTGTCTCATGAGACGCGGCTGGGCACGAGCAAGATAAGCTTCGCGAAGGATTAAATGATCCCAGGGATGGTACTGTGCCGTACATAGCGATGCCGGCAACATACCAACAATTATCAAGCACGAAGTATCCAGCTCGCGTAGATATAGCCAAATGTCGTCAGCTGTCCGTCGGTAGATCTCCATGCAAGACAATCAGCATGGTAGCCTACCTCCAACTGCATACAACACAATCGTCGTGTCACTGTCCACGCCGGCACTCACCATCCAACACTGTACGGTCCGATGTTGTCAGCACACGACTTCAACCGGTGGATTCTCGTCGGCGCATTCGCGGGATGACATGTAACGGAACGACTCCTCCCATATCTTGCATGAACATGGGAAATGGACGACTATTAACAACATACGCGGCGCGGTCTGTTGACGAGCGAGCCGTCGTTTGTTTCCAACAGACGTGCGACGTAGAAGCCGTTTCAAGGAGTGGACATGGGTCAGGAAAAACAAACGAGCCACGCCCAACAAACAGCCTTGCTGGCCTCGTTTCCAAGGAACACGTTCGCTGACTCTTTTCGTGCTCGGGCCTCAGATCTATAGCAACGTTGGGTCTAGCCTTACCGCATGAAGACGGCACGGTTTCAGAACTTCATGCACGCCAGCTGCGCCTGTACGCCAGACGCCGCTTTGCAGCGCGCTGTTGGTGTTATGCGCGACGCGACTGTTGCGGTTGGACGAGAGCCGCGACATCCAACACGAAAGAACACAAATTCTCGCCTATGAAACTGCGGATAATACTTCGCCTTGCTGCAAAAGCCTATTTTGCGGCAGTGACAGCTTGAGTCCGGTGATATTTGGTGGCGGATATTCGCTGCCCCGCGCTGCCCCTGGCCATCATTTTACGGCGTCGAGGGCGTCGGACCCTTGGCGTGGAGAGACCTTGCATGTCATCCCCCTGGGTAGCATATAATTGCGGCCACGGCAGGTTGGTGATCGGCATAAGCATATACGCCTCTGTGTCCCCTTGGTGCCTTTCCTTGTCATACAAACATTGTTTCTCTCATATAACGGCTTTATTCGCTTCTTAACAGACATCCATTAACCCCCCGGATACGGTTGCATATATCAACGATACGCTTCTCTTCTTAAGATCACATCGCAAAACCCGTTCTCGCTGTACGCAAATCTTACGCTATGTCTTACCAACCACAATCGCCTAGTGGGCTTCCCAGCTCTCCACGAGCAAACCGCCAAATGCAGATGCTCTCTCCACTCGACACGTCATTTCCCTCGGATTCATCGCAAACACCTTCGCCATACTCCAGCACATCCGAGAAGCAATCAGAAAAGGTCCGCGACATCTTCGCCGATGCTACCATTCCTCTCAGCCCAACATCGTCAACAAGCTCGACTAGGAAAGCAAACCCTTACGAGGGTCTTGAACCCCGGAAGCGTAGCGGCCTCGCGCGACTCTTTTGCTGCCTTGGCCGCGAAGAACGCGCACGACGAAGGATGAACAGGAGTTTGGAGTTTGAGAAAGTCGGCGAAGACTGCCATTGGTCGGAGTATTAAGGACACGAATTATTCAACAACATATTTGATGATGGAATTTCGCGGCTTGCCATAATCCGCATGCATATCCGTTGCGACCTGAAACACGACATAACGGGACGTCTACCCACCGAACCTCCAAACATCTGACAGCTCGGATACCAAACAGACACCATCGGGTTCCCCGGTGTCCGAATCACGAAACAACTTGCGATACAAGAGTTGATCGCATGCTCAAACACTCACCACACAAACATTGTCTTCATACTGTCACTGCGACGTTTCTTATGTTTATATTTACAACATATTCTCGGGCTTGGATTTTCCGGTCTTTCTCATGGCATTGCTATTGTCTGGATAGACATGCAACTGCCGCTGTTTCTCTATCTGTTCAGCGTTGGTGTTGGGGTCATTTCTGCTATATCCGGTTCACAATCAGAGACCATTTAACACGCAAGACTGGGAGAGCGAGCACAATCTCGTCATGCAAGACGAAGGCAAATACAAAATCGTTATCATGCAATGTCTACGTACCGGTCCGCTGCGTCGCTCATCTCGTGCTTTGTTCTCCTTTGCCACTAACCGCCTGATCAACAAACTCTTCAAACTGACACGCATCCCTCCCCAGCACCCACTCCAACACATTGCTGTTCCCCACCAGCCCTCTCGCATCATAGAACAAAATCATCCTTTCCGCAGTATCTCTACTCCGCCTATCCGCCTGCGCAGCATCTTCAAGCTTAAACAACCTCTTTAGCAGAGCATCCACCGCGTCCCCAAACGCCTTCTTCTCGACCATCATCTGTTTACCAATCTTCCCCTCAACGACACGCAACGCCTCTCCAAAACTGATAGGCTGATGTGTCGACGTAAGCGGATACTGCGCATAAAAATGCTTCTCCCGTTCCTCCGCTACAACCTTGAACACTTCAGCCAAGTCACTCAATGCAAGCATCGAGAACCTATTTTCCGTACTCCATAGGGCAGGATACACCGGTTTATCCTGTTGTGCCAGCATAGCGACAGGTATGTTATCCATAAATGTGCTCGGCTGAAGAATGGTGAATGGAATCCCAGATTCCATTATCCATTCCTCGACGACTCGTTTACAGTCATGATTCAACATTTTACTGAACTGGCTGTTCAACACACTACTCAATATGAAATGCTTGAACACCCCGTTGCCATCAGAGTAGGCGGCAACGGCGGCGTCAATCATCATTTTGCCGATTTCTGGTTCGTGGGGGTGGTAGGAGGGGCCTATGTGGATGGCTGTGGTAACATTTTTGAGGAGTGAGGCGCAGTCTGAAGGGGAGTAAAGGTCGGCTTGGATCACTTCAGCACGGGGATAGTCTTGTTGGAGACGGGTTTTGGAGGAGGAGGAGTGGACGGCTAGGCGGATGTTCTGCCATTCGGAGAGTAGAGGGAGGAGTTTGCCAGCTTGTTTACCAGACGCAGAGGTTATTAGGAGACGGTCTTTCGAGGGATCTGCGGGCATAGTCGCTGTTGTGGGCTGTGTGAGACAAGATGGATGTGTTTCGAGGGCATTGAAAGCGCTGAAGTGCAGTGCTTATACTCGTCAGATGGAGACGTGTCTTGACGTCACATTCTTACGTTCTTACGTGGTGTACGTGTCCGACCTGTCCATTGGGTACCTAGGTGTTGGGGAAGCGCTCACGGGAAGAGTATACGGCATTGTTCAAGGACACGACAGGACGGTGGTGTCGTCTAGCCATAGACTTTGCTGCCCTGACATTCTACAATTCCCTACACATCCACCTAACTGGTCAAAAGATACTTCTGTAGTATATTCAAGACCTATAGCAGAGCAACAAATCAACATGCATGTATCCCATTTGCTGAAATTTGAGGTCATCAGGTGGATCAAGAGAGGAACTTGCGAACGTCAACCACAACATGCAGGTATACTTCGCAGACAGCTTGAAGCACCCGTCCCCCGGACCCGTGTGCGGGGAACGTGCTCTTCAACATGGGATTCGCATTGGAGATTTCTGCTCACGAACAAATCGTATTCGTTGCTCTTGCAGCTGACGTACTAAGCATAGATGCCCTCGGGCGCATCCGCCGCCGATGCCGAAGGGCAAAGGTGTGGACACGGACACGTTGGTACGGACTGTGGCTCTGTGGCTGACTCGAGCCTCTTTAATCACATGATGCTCAGAGCCTCATCCGTCACATGATTAGTATGAGGCTCTTGATGACCTTGCGCGTCGCGTTTCCCAAGCTCGGTCGAGAAATGCCTCCCTCGGCTCCTGAGCGAAATTGCCGGCTCGTCGCGCCCGTGTTTAGTGGGGAGGTCAGCGCGGGGCACCCCAGAATCGCGATGCTGAAGACTCCGGATGGATGGCAATTCGCAAACAGGCTGGAATGGAAAACGTGGCCTTGGTGTCTTGGATGTTCTGGCACATGGTGCAAAAGATATAAAGACGGTCGCATGTGCTCATCCGGTCAAACGGCCATAAGCCTGCAGGCATCACGTCACCGGCATCGTCTCTAACCTTAGTCCGACAACCTCGGCTCCTTGGATTCACAGCTCCACCATTGTCATCGCAGCCAGCGCGTGCTCATTTGGCCTCGGATCTGCTGAAGCTAGGACTCTTGATATCATATTCTGTCATTTTTCCCCTTGTTACTTTACATATCTTCATTTGTGATGTTCAGCAGAGCTGCACGCGCGCGAGCACCCGCCTCGATACTCCGCAGACCTATTTTGAACCAGTCCGCCTTTGCAAAGCCCAGAGTATGTTGTTGTTGCTGCAGTGTAAACAGACGTATAGTGGGGGGGGATGTATGCTGATATTCGACGCGCATAGATTGTCGCAATGGCGCCAGCAAGAAAACAGTCGAGTTTGCCAGCGGGTAAGTGGACACGCTCTATTCACATGCTTGAGACATTGCAGAGCTGACGGCCATGTCTGCGCAGGCTACAAGGAGGACCACAGCAAAGGCGCCATGCTGCGCTTTGAAGATTCTCTCCCACGACTCCCCGTTCCCACACTAGAGGAAACCGCAAAGCGATACCTCAAGTCCGTTCACCCACTCCTCTCCCAGAAGGAATTCGACGCGACCACAAAAGCTGTCAACGAATTCGTAGCCCCTGGTGGCCCCGGAGAGAGACTACAGAAGCGCTTGGTGGAGCGGAGAGAGGACCCCAAGCACAGGAATTGGATCTACGAGTGGTGGAACGATGCCGCCTACATGGCCTACCGCGACCCCGTCGTGCCATACGTCAGCTACTTCTACTCGCACCGCGATGACAGGAAGAGGCGAAACCCGGCAAAGCGTGCTGCTGCCCTGTCAACAGCCGTGCTCGAGTTCAAGAAGATGGTCGATCAAGGCAGTCTGGAGCCCGAGTACATGAAGAAGCTCCCCATGGCCATGAGCTCCTACGAGCACATGTTCAACTGCTGCCGTGTCCCCAAGAAGCCGTCAGACACCAGCGTAAAGCACCCTTACAAGGAGAACGCGCATATTATCGCCATCAGGAAGAACCAGTTCTGGAAGATTGCCCACGAGATCAATGGAAAGCAACTCAACACCAGCGAGCTCGAGCTCCAGTTCAAGCGCGTTTACGACAAGGCTGAAAAGGCACCCGCAGTCGGCAGCCTCACGTCTCAAAACCGTGATGTCTGGTCAGACGTATATCCCAAGCTCAAGGCTGCTTCGAGCGTCAATGCCGCAACCCTTCAGGAGATTGAAGCCGCATCATTCATCGTCTGCCTCGACGACGCTTCTCCCGTCACGCTCGAAGAGCGCGCACACCAATATTGGCACGGCGACGGCGCAAACCGCTGGTACGACAAGCCCCTCCAATTTATTGTCAACGAGAACGGCACATCAGGTTTCATGGGCGAGCACTCCATGATGGACGGTACACCCACCCACCGCCTCAACGACTATGCGAACCAGCAAATCTTCAGCAACGCCCTTCCCTTTGACGATCCCAACGTACGCTCCGACCTCCCCAACCCGAAACCCCTTCGATTCGAGATCAACAAGGAGCTGCAACAGGACATTGCCGACGCGCAAGCACATTTCGCCAGCCAGATTGGCGCACACGAGCTCAGAGTACAGGCATACCAAGGCTACGGCAAGGGTTTGATCAAGAAGTTCAAGTGCAGTCCTGACGCCTACGTACAAATGATCATCCAACTTGCATACCACAAGTTCTATGGCAAGAACCGTCCTACCTACGAATCTGCTGCTACCCGTCGCTTCCAGCAAGGCCGGACAGAGACATGCAGGACCGTCTCAGACGAGAGTGTCGCTTTCTGCAACGCCATGGCCGATGCTGACGCCACACCTGAGGAGTGCCAGAACAAGTTGAGAGCGGCGCTTGATGCACACGTCAAGTACATTTCGGATGCTAGCGATGGACGTGGTGTCGACCGTCATCTCTTCGGACTGAAGAAGTGCCTCAAGGAGGGCGAGGAAGTACCTGCTCTGTACCAGGACCCAGCCTACTCATACAGCTCCACATGGTTCATTTCAAGTTCGCAGTTGTCAAGCGAGTACTTCAACGGTTACGGATGGTCGCAGGTCATTGATGACGGATGGGGCATCGCCTACATGATCAACGAGAACAGCATTCAGTTCAACGTCTGCTCAAAGGGACTCGGTTCGGTAAGTCAAGTCGCTTTCGGAACAAAGGAAATACAAGCTAACAACAAACAGGAAAAGATGAGCTTCTACCTCAACGAGGCCGCCGGTGACATGAGGGATATCATGCTGCCCACTTTGGACGCAGCAAAGGCAAAGTTGTAGGCATATTACGCCTGCGTGCTTTGTATTCGTACGGCCATAGACTTCTTCATATGCCAAATATTAACATTACAATTCCATTCTCGGCCCATATCCGTGACTCTGTCTGCCGTATTTTCTTATCGTTGTTGTACCAACTAAACTCCATATACATCGTGATCATACTTTACACTTTGTCTTCTCCAACAGCTACATCAGCCACTCCTCCCTCTTTGTGCTGCGTCTGCGGCTTCGCCAGCCTCGCATTCTTCCACTTCCTCCACCACACCCACGCCAGATACCCCGCCATGCCCACTCCCAACACGACACCAATCGCGATACCTGCCTTCGTCCCCGGATTATCCGTATCATGGTTCGCCTGTTCTGCAGCCTCGGCGTCTTGCCTTTCATCTTCCTCTTCTCACCGGGATTTGCAGCCGAGAAGACATGTTGTTCGCGCGTATGCTTGCCTTTGGGCTGTGTCGCAAAGAAGGCTTGACTGTACGCCGTATGTTCCTGGATGTCACTATATGACGTCGACGACGGTGGTAGTATACCCGATGTGAGGGCTAGAGCACATGCGAAGAGCATGGTGTCGGGTTGTTTGTGGAACCACATGTCGAGTCCAATATCTGCAGGGCTCTCAAAGAAGGAGGGATACAACATGGCTATCTCGATGCTGGCGGTTGTGTTGTCCCGCGAATAAAAGTTATCTTCGTTTGTGATTTCGGTTATGTTATCGGTGGTGTTCTCGCCGTAGACCTCGTCTTCGGCGTTGGCCCAATCGTTGCAGCGTGATGCTGGTGACGGGGTATCGTTGTCAGGGTTAACCTCGTAGGGCTCGAGGCAAACCAGACAAGTTAGCATCATCGATAGTGGTTCGACGTTGCTTGTATCCATGTTGGGGTTGGTGGTCCATGTTGCTTCGATGAGATCTTCTGCTTCTGGCATAGTCTTGAGTGAAGAGATATCGCCCCAATACTGAGTATTTGGATCATGTAGTGCGTGTTCCAAGTATGTCTTCATAGTTGCATCGGAATTCAATCCAGTCAAATTCCCTGTGCCAGGAAAGGTGAACATCAACGGTCCGGTCTCGAGGGGTTTAGGCTGTTCAGCATCGATCGTGCTCTGCGGTCGTCCATCGCGATAGGTAGCGTTCCAGAAGTTGGGCGAACCGGTCACATCGCCCATGCTAAGGATGATGTCTGATATGCTCGTTCCCTCATCTTGGCCGTTTTGTTGCATCTGGAAAACACACGCGAAGTCGCGGTTGCGAATTGCCTTCTGTGGATCTCCTGGTCTTCCATCGTTACCGGTCGGCATTTCAACATCTGATCCCATTCCTTCTCTTGCTACACCAACATCAATCCATACTTCCGTGGCATCCGCTTGATTGAAATCCAAACATGCATGCGAATCCTGATCGCCTTGCACAGCGCATGTAAGACAGTAAACGCCTAGGTTTAGGCCTTCAGTAGTGTCGATGCCAGACCAAGAGGACTGGACAATGTCTTTGCCGTGCATATATCTTGGTGCATCAGTGTCGCTCTGATATGTCGATAGGTACTCTTCGATAGCGTATCGGGTGGTGTTGTAAGTATAGGATGCAGGAAGTGCCAAGTAAGTAGGACCACCGTAGGGAAAGGTCCAGCTTATTTTTGAAGCGATAAATGCCATCTTGCCACCTCTCGTCTATTAGGGTAAGTATGTTGTACAGTGATAGTACGACTGTAACAG